TGTGGGATTACAGGTGTGACTCTGCACTTGACTCCAAGATTTATTTGCCTTTCACAATATGAACCCTATGTTATAGGGTGAAGATTAAATATGAGATTGTACCTAAGAATTTAGAAATTCACCTGACAGTATATGTAAGCTAAAATCCATTTTTGCATTTAATTTTAGTCCTGTCTACATTTAAGTGCTAGCATAGTTAGCTAGGTAAAAGATGAACTGTCTTTGGATAATTCAGAATGCTTCTGTCCAAGTGAAGTTTAAAAAAAAAATGCTTCTGGAGTTCCTGGAACAGGTGGCACAAATTCAGTCAATTGATACCCTCTGGTGTCAAGTCTCACAGAGAGAGACAGCAAGTATCTAACTCAGTGCGGGAAGAAAGGGAGAGCAAGCCCTTCCAGGGCTATTGGTTACAATAAAATGACATTCCTTTTTACCTTGTACCTGGTGCCAGGGCCATATCCCACAGATTCAAAATTCAGCTCGGTTAGTGCAATCCGTATGGGTAATCATAACGGTTTTTGACCTATGTGGTAAGGCCCCTCAACCATCCGAATGGACTTCCCACTCAGCCAGGGGACACTTAAAATGTAACCTGAGGCCGGGTGCAGTGGCTCATGCCTGTAATCCCAGCACTTTGGGAGGCCTAGGCGGGTGGATCGAGAGGTCAGGAGATTGAGACCATACTGGCCAACGTGGTGAAACCTCGTCTCTACTAAAAATACAAAAATTAGCTGGGCATGGTGGCACATGCCTGTAATCCCAGCTACTAGGGAGGCTGAGGCAGGAGAATGGCTTGAACCAGGGAGTCGGAGGTTGCAGTGAGCTGAGATCGCACTACTGTACTCCAGCCTGGGGACAGAGCCAGACTCCATCTCAAAAAAAAAAAAAAAAGAAAAAGTAACCTGAAAGACTGGTTCAGGTCATGAAGAAAAGTGGGGCCTGGGCCATGCCTCATTATACCTGTCAGGCATTAACATTAACATAGACTTTAAATCTGATAAGAGGCATTTACAATCTATTCTCTCTGTAGCCTGCTACCTGAACTTCCTCTGCACAATAAGAACTTTGGTCTTCACAATCCTTTAACCCAGACATTTGCTTTCTATTGATCCCAGGTCTTTAGATAAACTCAACCAATTGTCAACCAGAAACTTTTTAAATCTGCCTATAACCTGGAAGTCTCCCCACCCCCACCCCATGCCTGGCTTCAACTTGTTCCACATTTCTGAACTGAACCAATGTATTTCTTAAGTGAATTTGATTGAAGTCTCATGTCTCCCTAAAATGTATAAAACCAAGTTGCACCTCAACCACCTTGGGCACATGTTCTCAGGACCTCCCGAGGGCTGTGTCATGGGCCATGGTCACTCATATTTGGCTCTGAATAAATCTCTTCAAATATTTTACAGAGTTTGACTCTTTTTGTCAACAATACTGTGAAGGGATTTGAGGGAAGGAAATCGCGGGGCTCACCATTGTGACAGGGATCTTCTGGGGGAAAACCCATAGTCACCCCAAAAGACTCCAGAGGTAGTACATACTTGTTCCAGATCTGGTCCACAGTTTATATTTGCCAGACTCTTGACTAGCAGCACACAAAGAGCCACCTAATGGGTTTGACACAACCACCAAGACCAGAGAATAATGTATAAAGCTGGAAAGTCAATTTGCTACTGGTATACAGTAGGAGTTGGATATTTAGGTTCACTGATCACCACTTCTATCTATGAAGACAACTCCACAGGGAAAGAAGTCCCACATCACTAAGACGTTGTTTGGACCCTAACCTCTAAACAATGGGTTTGTGTTGGATGAGTTTAATGAGGATGAGCTTAAAGAGGGGGAAAAAAGCAGGCTAGCAGGTTATCACCAACTTAAAATAGCAGGTTCTCTCCTACAGAGATAGAGACCCTTGTTAGTCCCACCCCATCCACAGATATCATTGTATTAGTTTCCAAGGATTGCTTTAGAGTTTCTGAGGAAGTACAACAACTGAGTGGCTTAAAACAACAGAAATTTATTACATGACAGTTCTGGAAGCAAGAAGTCCCAAATCAAGGTGCAGGCAGAGTAGTGCTTTCTCTGAAACCTACAGGGGAGAATCGTTTCTTGTCTCTTCTAGCTTTGGGTGTCTGCTGGCAATCCTTGGACTTCCCCAGTTTGCAGGTGCTTCCCTCCAGTCTCCACCTTTGTTGGCAAGTGGCTCTTTTCTCCTCGTGTGTCTCCTCTTCTCGTAAGGACACGAGCTATGCTGGATGATAATCTCATAACTAAACTAACCGGCAACAAACCTATTTCCAAATAGGGTCATCAAGGTCATTTTTTTTTTTTTTTGAGTCTGAGTCTCTCTCTGTCACCCATGCTGGAGTGTAGTGGCTCACTCTCCACCCACTGCAACCTCTACCTCGCCAGGTTCAAGCGATTCTCCCACCTCTGCCTCCAGCAGCTGGGATTACAGGCATGTGCCCCACACTTGGCTAATTTTTGTGTTTTTCTTTTTTTTCTTTGAGATGGAGTTTCACTTTTGTTGCCCAGGTTAGAGTGCAATGGCACAATCTGGGCTCACTGCAACATCCACCTCCCGGGTTCAAGTGATTCTCCTGCCTTGGCCTCTCGAGTAGCTGGGATTACAGGCATGAGCCACCACACCCAGCTAATTTTGTATTTTTAGTAGAGACGGGTTTCTCCATGTTGATCAGGCTGGTCTCGAACACCCGACCTCAGGTGATCTGCCCACCTCAGCCTCCCAAAGTGCTGCGATTACAGGTGTGCGCCACCATGCTCGGCTAATTTTTGTACGTTTAGCAGAGACAGGGTTTCACCATGTTGCCCAGGCTAGTCTCGAACTCCTGGCCTCAAACAATCCACCAGTCTCGGCCTCCCAAAGTGCTGGGATTGCAGGTGTGAGCCACTGCACCTAGCCTGCATAGGGTCATATTCTGAAGCACTGAAAGTTAGGGCTTCAACATATCTTTGAGGGGGACATATTGCAACCCATACAGTATTCTTGGAACTTTAAACTGCGTGAGTTTTTGTACTAGAAATTCACTGCCCCTTCAGGCACTATGCATTCCTCTAGTCTTGTTACTCTTATGACTTTAAGAAATACAGAATTTGGTCAGTTTTAGCTGAGAAAGTAAACTTTGATGACTTGCATCAAACAGGGACTGGCACACGACTCCTGGAATTTCCAGTAAGAGAATGTGAGTAGGGGGACAGTTGCCAACTAGGTGGCTGAAAGATCACATGTCGACAAACTTTGAGGGATACATAATTAAAAAACTAGCTTGAACCCGGGAGGTGGAGGTTGCAGTGAGCCGAGCCGAGATTGCGCCACTGCATTCCAGACTGGGCAACAGAATGAGACTCCGTATCAAACAAACAAACAACTAGCCCTTATAATTGTTTTTTTTTTTTTTTTTTTAAACACGTGCATCTTTACACAGTTAAATTTTACTACTTTTTTTTTTCTGCAGATAAAAACTCAGGAGTTGAGAAATGATAAATATAATAATCAATATGAGAAAACCATCATGATTTATCAAGCCTGGATAAATAATTTAATAAGTTCAGCATAGAAGACCTTGCTTTTCTTTCTCTTTCTTTCTTTCTTTCTTTCTTTCTTTCTTTCTTTCTTTCTTTCTTTCTTTCTTTCTTTCTTTCTTTCTTTCTTTCTTTCTTTCTTTCCTTTCTTTCTTTGTCTCTCTCTCTCTCTCTCTTTCTTTCTTTCTTCCCTCCCTCCCTTCTCTCTCTCTCTCTCTCTGTTTCTTTCTCTTATTTATTTCAGTAGGTTTTCCGGGAGCAGGTGGTGTTTGGTTACATGAATAAGTTCTTTAGTGTGATTTGAGATTTTGGTGCACCATCACCCAGGCAGTGGAAACTGCACCTAATGTGTAGTCGTTTATCCCTCACCCACTCTCACCCTAGCCCTTATAATCTTAAGATTTTTGGGTATTTAGGGACATCTCATTCCTTCCTCTCTTCTTTGTTGCATTCTCTCTTTCCTACTCCATTCCCCCCACCTTCCAAGTAGGACCACCTTTGGTAAGAATGTGAACACGTTAACATAATTTTTCAAACCTTCAAAATTGAGGTATAATTACATACAGTAAAATGAGAATGGCATGCAAATTTGTGCCTTTTTTAAAGCTTAGTAAACGTCATAATTTGGTTATAATTTTAATTTTTCTGGATGCATTTGCTTTGCCTCACATCTACCATGCTCAGCCGTACACAGCTGCCCTTTATTTTAGAATTCTCTGAAGTGCTGTGTTGTACACAGGGAGCTTCTCCTGACTAGAACAACCTTACCTGGCACCACTCTTCCCTCAGGACCCAGATTCTTCTTTGAAACCTTTCCCAAGCCCCTTTGAATACTGCAGCTCTTTCAAAATGTATGTGGTTCTTTTTTCCCTGTTCAATTATTAATCGAACTAGGTAGAGTTCCTCCTCCAAGAAGGAGGTGGGGGTGCGATGTAGCTTGTCTGATTTTGCATTCCAAGTGTGTACCCCAATGCCTGACACATAGTAGGTGCTCAATATACTTTTACTGTCAATAAGTGACAATATGGTAAATTCAGAGTTTTCATAGCGCGGTCACACGATCTCATTTAATGCCTATTACAACGCTAAAAATTTCTAATTACTACCATCCCATCATTCTTTTTTAGAGTGTGGAGACTGAGAGGTTAACGGTCTTGCCCAGCGCCAGTCAACAGCAAAACGGAACTAAAATTTCAGGCTGGACACCACACAGCGTGTCGAAGTCAGCACGAACTTGGCGCTGTGACTTTTCCTTAGAGGGGCCACTTCGGCTTACACTTCCGGATCCTGGGCACTGAGACGCTAAAAACCCCGGCGGGCAACTGGGGAGCGGGACTACATCTCCCAGAGAGCCCCGGGGCTAACCTGCAGGTGAGTGGTTTACATTGATAGCCAATGTGGCTGCGAGGAGCTCGTGCAGCCCAATCACAGGCCGGAAGGGGCGGGACCTCCCACGCCAAGGCCAGATTGAGCGCAGAACTAACGGCGCGCTGAAGAGTCCTAAATGTCTACGGGGCTTAGAGCCGGATGCCACGTTGTCCTCCTCTCCGGGTTTTCTCTTGGGTCCTTTTCTGTGCCCTCCCGCGACTCCGCCTCCGGCCGCGCGTGTCTGGCAGCTAGGCAGACACCAAGGACTGGCCGGGAACCCGGGAAGAAAGCACGTGCTCCAGCAGTTGCCGCGCCGCGCGTCCGCCCGTCAGCCCCGCGCCCGGCCCCGAGAGAGGCCCTAGGGCGCAGCGGGCTTTCGGGGTCCTCAGTTCCCCCGCGACGCGAGCCAACGGGAGGCGTCAAAAGACCCGGGCCTTCTGTGGCAGGTTCGCCTGGCGCTGGCTGGCGTGGCCCTTGGCCGTCGTCACCTGTGGAGAGCGCGTCTTCCCCGCCGCGCCCTCTGCGCGAGGAGGAGACTCGACAGCATGTCACCCGCGCTCCAAGACCTGTCGCAACCCGGTAATGCTGCGACCCCGTCCGCGTGGTTCGGTTGTGTTTCTTAACTCGTGCTGTGGCCTCCTAATCCCTGGGGCGATTCCCTTCTGCGGCGGGAGACGCCCGGCGGGGTTTCCCCGCGTGCGGGCGGCACCTTGAGAACTCGGCGCGGTAGCCCGGAGGGCCCCATGATTTGCTTCACTCTTTCTCCGACCTTCACCTCTTCCTCCTCAGGCAAACCATCAAAACCTGCAAAAAGCTTCCTCCCCTTGCCCCCGGAACACATTCTTAACGTCACAGTAACTAAACTTTCCAGTTCGACGCAGCATAAACCAGCTGGGCCCCCTGAAGTTTCGCGTGGTGTGACGTAAATATTGTTGCTCACCTATTGCCAAAGAAAGTTCAGTCGCGGAGAGACAGACGAGGAAACTCAGAACTCTTTAAAATTACTACTTGGAACTTTTTGTTTTCTGCGTCTACGCATACTGCTGCAAAACCGCAATATGCATAGACTCACTGTTAAAATAGATGAACAGATCCCACCCTCCAGATACCGAGATGGGACGTAGTAATTTCAAGCGATTCTGATATTGGTGGCCCTGGCATCAACAATGAGAAAAAGCTAGTTTAGCACAAGAACTGAGCGTAATGTTAGCTTTGTAATGAGCTCTGGATCTCTAAGGTCATGCCTGATTATAATTTGTGGGCAGATACGCTCATAAAAACGTACTAGATGTAGCACCGAGAATTAGTGATAAGCACAGAACAGTAAATATCCTATGACATAGTGGGGGATGTTTAGCTTCAGGAAGAGGGGGAATACTAAATTCGTAACGTGCAAGGAAATTTATCAGAGGTTAACTGGTAACTCTTGATTCTTGGGTTCTGACAACGGGACTGATAGGATTGTCCTTGAGACTAGTAGGACTGTGGCTGAGAAAGACATCACTGCTGTTATTAAATAAGATGTAAACCTCTCATAGAGGTTTACATCTTATTTAATAAATGATCATAGGGAGATCATATGTTTATTTGGATAATATCTTTTACTCATAATTTCTGGCCTCCCCCTTCCCATTTAATTTAAACAAGTAAAGTTATTTCTCTTTCTTCTGAATTTAGGTGTCATTATTAGAAGCAAAATGCCACTGAAGACTTAAAATACTGTGAATAGTGAGTGATTTTTTTTTTTTAAACAGAAAATGAAAATTGTTGAATGTTTGAATCTAGCCTAATCCCTTCACCCCAAGGCTGGCTTCTAGAGTTGAGCACTGAGTGGAGTTTAACCAAGTCTAGGGCCTCTGAAGTTCTGAATCAGGCCAGTGCGCCTAGAAAAGACCTTAGAGGTAGTCCAGCATCTGTCTATGTGAGCAACTTATTTTGGGATTAGAATCAGATTTTAACTTCCTAATATCCCTTAGTAGTTTACTGGTGTACAATCTTAATGAAATTTTAATGGAGAGCTGAGAATTCCTGATTCTCAAGGTTGGGCCTTAAAACGAAATGCGACTTCAGACCATGTTTGTGTGCCCTGGGGAAGGAGGATGGTGGGCTAGCAAATACATCTTGGGAGAAAATTTTAACTACAGCTTCTAAAGGTTTCTTGGTTTCATCCTTGCTTAGTACTATGAGTGTTATTTGGAACTCAGTTGATGAATGATTAATGAAGGAATGAATAAATGATCCAGTTAATTGCTATCAGCCTAATTCTTCTCTAGGTTATTAGAATCGAAGGAAATAATATATATTAAAAATGGAATACTGCACAAGCGAAGAGATGCCCACAGAGAGGCTGGGCGTGGTGGCTCGCATCTGTAATCCCAGCACTTTGGGAGGCTGAGGCAGTCGGGTCACCTAAGGTCAGGAATTCGAGACCAGCCTGGCCAACATGGTGAAACCTCATCTGTACTAAAAATACAAAAATTAGCTGAGTTTATGGTGAGCACCTGTAACCCCAGCTGCTCAGGTGGCTGAGGCAGGAGAATTGCTTGAACCCTGGAGGCGGAGGTTGCAGCGAGCCGAGACTCCAGCCTGGGTGACAAAGTGAGACTTAGTCTCCAAAACAAACAAACAAAAAAACCCAAAAAACAGTGTAGCAAGTGTGTGCAAACTAGAAATTAGAGATCTGAAAATGAAAGAGAAAAGTATCTTGCAAGTGACTTGTAGGTCATTAGTAAGACTTTTTAATAAAGCAAAGAGGGGACACTGGTGAGAAAGCATTGGGATTATTTGATGATAATGCAGAAAATGAAAATGTGCTTTTGCTCTATGTGTTCCCCATTTAGCACAGTGGAAAGAGGAGTCCTAAGTAAGTCAGACCTACTTGGGGTCATTTTACCTTCAGGGGAGATGAGTTCTTGACACTGCAATTTGTAACTTACATGCACATATTAGATATTTATTTGTTTAGGCCTTCATCTTGTCATTCTTTAGGCTAGTTCTTAAAGGTGGTGCTAGCTGACTTACCCCGCCTCCAAATCTGACTAGGGCTTTAACCACTTATTCCCATGTTTATTTTTTGGAACACTTGCTGTGAATCAGAATATTGTTAGCTAGAAAATAAGATGTTAATGGCAGGGGAAAAAACCCCACAAAGTATATTCCCTTAATCCACTCAAAACTGGAGAAAATACTGTGTGATCTCTTAGGCTTACAAGCCAAGAATGTTCCTTGGGACTCTCCTCTGCACTGCAGTTATTTACATATACTTATATATGTTAAACATAAAAATATTTCTGAAATAGTGTTATAACTAGTCAGCTAAATGAAGGAACTAACTGCAAAACTATATTCTTATATTTACTGTGAAAGACAATCAAAAAGAACCAGCTTTATTTAGAACTTGACTAGTCAGTAGTTAAATATACAGAACGTTCTAGACCTAATGAACTGAATACAGATAAATACAATATTATTGTTGTTGTTTTTCATAGAAGAGTGACATTTCAGTAGATCCCCACTCTGCCAAGGGAAAGAATTGTCAAGGTGGCTTATTCTTTTGAGCAAGTTCTGATAGTAATTAGAAACCGGTGAATTAGAATGGTAATTAAAGCCAGTGAAAAATGACCTCCTACTGGAAAAGCTGGAGGAATACAGAAGGCTAAGATAGTGGACACTTCATACCAACAGATCTTCTGAAGGAAGACTTCTTAGTTTCTCTAAATGGGAAATCTTACATTATCCTCTAAAGGAAAAATAAGCAAGTAGATAATGAGGAAGCAATGGTTTTTCTTTTTTTCTTTTTCTTGAGACAGTCTCACTCTGTTGCCCAAGCTGAGTGCAGTGGCATGATCACGGTTCACTGCAGCCTGGACTTCCCAGGCTCAAGCAGTTCTCTTGCCTCAGCCTTCCTAGGAGCTGGGACTACAGGTGCACACCACCATGCTTGGCTAATTTTTGTTTTTTTGTAGAGACGAGGTCACTGTGTTGCCCAGGCTGTTTTCGAACTCCTGGACTCGGTGATCTACCTACTTCGGTCTGGCAAAGTGTTGGGATTACAGGCATGAACTGCCACACCCAGCCTGAGTAATGGATTTTTAAGGGCCTCAGTTGCATAGGAGTTTTTTATTCAGTCCGCAAAATTCCTGCTCATATGTGTTTTGTTATATATTCCTTTTTGTCTGTATTTTCCATTCACAATTCTCTTGTTTCCATAGACTGCCTTTTTCACATATATTCGTATATTTATACGTTTTGTTGTAAACTCTATAGGTATTTTTAAATTCACATTGTACATTACATTCTGGAATGTACAAGGAACTAACACAAATCAATGAGAAAACAAATTAGCTTTAGACATTGAAGAATCTTCCCCCAACCTATCGTCTATTATTTTTGTCTATGGTGACTTTCATTTAACAGAAATCCTTGGTTTTTATGTAATCAAATTCATCGTTTTTTTTTAAAATTAAGAGGTTGGTCTTTTTGCATCTTAAGAAGTTCCTCTTCATTTGAAGTCATAAAGTTCTTCCACATAAATTATACAGTAAGTTTGTCAGGTTTCTAAAAAACCAAAGCAGATGTTTTTAAAAACTTTTGATCTCTTGCCTATATGGTGGCTCAACAAACAAGATACCAGAAATTGCATGTGTGGGGCTGGGTTGTTTTATGGTAAATAGTGAACTGTCTTAAAGTCCAAAAACAAAGCTTATTATTTCTGGATTGAAAAGGGTATACAGTAAGGGCCCCATGGAAAAGTACTAAGACTTTTTATGAAAATGAGAGGAGGGGTGGAGGCTCTCTGAGTGGTTAGATTTGCTAAACATGTGTGCACTCGCTCAGTGGAGAAGATGGGAAGAAGGGCGTGTAAATAATAGGATATTGATTGATATTGATTAATCATTTTGCTGATGTCAAAGAATATACTTCACTGTCTGTGGAAAAGATTGCCTTTTTTTCCCTAGAAAGTTTGAATACCTTTTAAATATGAAATGTCACGTGTATGACCTATTTCGCCACTGCCACACCCCATGCTCACACCAGTCTTATAATTCAGTCACCCACTTAAGTTCACGTGATGTCATTTCAGGGAGAATTGCAGCTACATCCTTTTGAGAAGAAAGCGATTCATTTGGGCATGTAGGTTACAGTCTTTAGTTCTTTGTCTTCTCATTCCTCATGTGAAATTATCTACATTTAACAGCTTTCACTGGGTATTTTCTTCTTTCACCTGACTGAAGAAGACATTACCAAACCTGCAAGTATGCCATTCCCGCCCCAACGTGAACAACTGAGAGCTTCAGGCTTTACATGATTTTTCACAGCCCACTGAACTTTGTAATATATAGAACACAATCGTTAGAGCTTCAGTCCCAGCTCTGCAATAATACCAACATAATAAGAGTAGCTAATATTTATCAGATGTTTACTATACATCAAACACCAATGTCTCATTTCATGACTTGTGTGACTTAAGAGGTCCAGTTCTTAACATATGGTCTCATTTTGGTATCACAATTCCAATGATGAGGGCAGGGCCGATGTTCTCTCATCTTGCTGAAGCACGGAGAGGACTTGTCTAAAATCCCATAGCTACTAAGGGGAACTGGGGCTAAAACCCAGATTTCTTGGATTTTCACACCCTGCCACTATTAGCTTAAGCCTATCAAATTCTGAGTGCTTATTGGCTGGTAGGGTAGTCACATCATGGAGTGCCTAAATTAACGCTGCATGTGAATTTACCGTGTCTACTATAGGTTGAAATGATGCCCACTGCCTGATGCCTACCAGTCTTTCTGTTATACATGCTTCATTAAGCCCTACCTTTTCTCCGCATTTCCCGAGAAGTGGTTTTCTTTGGTTCTTGAAGTACTTTTGGTCAGATCATTAGAACTTAACTTCGTTCCTTTATCAGGAAGTGTTTTCTCTCACCTGCGAGTTCAATAAACACAATTAGCCAGTGAGGTGGCTTTGGAAAGGAATAGTACATCCTGAAAGAAACATAGTGCTTTGGAAAAGAAATGAGATATTGGATATTGCAAATTTTTCTTTCAGGTTACTAGAGCCATCTTCCTGAAGCCCACTTGGAGAAAGTCACTCAAAAAAGTTCTGTGACCACCATTTAGCCCCAGTTCCTGTGTTGTATACTTGAGACCCTGGACAGTAAGACAAGGCAGGGTTGTAAGTTTGCACCCAATACCAGCTTACAAATATTCTTAAGTTACTGGTTTGGGTTTTAAATTATCTTTGCCTGTTGTTTCTCATCTACCCTCACTTTTTTGTCATTTCAATTAAAGAAATATTTGCCAAGTACTGACCTTGGTGTTGCTAGGCATGAGCTCCAAGGAGCTCAAATAGCTTAGAACCAGCTCCGTTTGACTTCAGCTTTTCTTGCCTCTTAGGGAGCACAGAAGGAATGGGTTGGTGTCATTAAGGTTTGTTTTGAGTAACATGTATTCACTCTGATATGCTATGGGGAGTTGTTGAAGGTGTTTGAGCAGAGGAAGCAACTGGTTTAAAAAATTGTTCTATAGGAAGATTTATCTGGTAGTGGTTCATAGGATGGATTGGAACACAGGGCGACTGGGTATGGTGGTGATCTCTTACCTTTGTAGAACACTTGATAGTTTACAAGGCACTTCCATAGATGTATGATCTCATTTGCATGGATGCAAACTTGAGCTCAGAGAGGATTGGTGATAGCTGGCCTGTGTAGTAAGGGCTTGAAGAAAGGGGTTGTCATAGGGTGAGAAGGTGGGACCATTGTGCATGGCATTTTAGAGGCCAAATCTATAAGGCTTGGGATCTAAGTAGATGTTGGTTATTAGGGAGAATAAGGAGTCAGATAATATTGAGATTTTATGGTTAGTTTTCTGGGAAGGGTGTTGCCATTTACAGAAATCAGGAGATGAGACAGAGAATATATGCAAGTTTGGTTTTGAATATTAGATTGAGGGGCAGGTGGGTAGTTGAGGTAGCGATATCCAGTGGATAGTTTACAAGCTGGGTCTAAGATTGGGGCCAGGTGTTTTTGGTATTTAGAAGGTCATTGGCGTCTTTAGAAAGTAATTTCAGGAGAGTGGTGGAAGAGGAAGCCACCTCAGAAAGATAAGAAATCGGTGGTTGCTGAGGTGGAACTGTGGGAGTGGGAAGGGCTAGATGGGGGAGCAGTGGGAGGTGTTGGTGATCATGCGCTCTTCCTTGGGTGCAGAAAGAAGGGAAATAGAGGAGCCAGACTGCAAGAGGATTTTGAGGTGGAGAGGGTGTGAATTTGAGGAGCCTCCAACAGAAGACTTCTTTGTATAGGATTAGGTGAAATCACTTGTGGAGTGAGGAGGAAAAGGATTTGGTGCTAAAAAAAGCAGAAATTGGGACTGCAGATGTTAGAAGTATTGAGGGAGGTCAAGAAAAGGTGAACCAAAGAAGAGGCTGAACATTACAAATTTTCAGTGACTCCAGTCAGCATAGTTTTGTGGCTTTCCAGTAGGTCATAGAAACCAGAAAGCAGGATTAGAAGGAGTAAGCATTGGGCCCTTTTCTGGACTGGGAATTAGAAGTCAAGGAGCATGGGGAGAGTTGAGAAGTTCAAGGGTGTTAGCCAGTTATTATTTCATAATTGGGCAGAGATGAGTAAAACTCTGTTTGCAGGCCATTATTAGTTCTGGCAATAGGTGAGGGAGAAGGTCAAAGCTAATATTTTAAAGAGTAGTTTGGAATTATTGATGGTTTTCAATTTTCTCTACTAAATCATTTTATTTAGGGAGAGCAAAGTCTTGTATCACTGGCCCATTATTGCCTGTTTTCCTCATCTGTAAAGTAGGAGAAGTTATAGCCTACCTTCACCTTGGTTTTGTGCTTCACCAGGGATTTTGTGCTGTGTGCAATCTTGTATTAGGCTTTGTTAGGATTTAACGGCCTTTTTGGCCAGCATTTTCCTATATAGAGTTATGAGTGCATCTTTTATGGACTCCATTTACTCCTTATTGCAGATTATTATAAATTTCTCTCAAGCTCCTCCCTCACACATCTTTTTTACTTTTCATTCTTTAAAGTAAAACTTCCATTTTCTTTAAAGCAGGTCTGAAGAAAACCCCGCGCGATGAGATCGATGCCATTCTGCAGAAGAGGATTATGGTGCTGGATGGAGGGATGGGGACCATGATCCAGCGGCAGAAGCTAAACGAAGAACACTTCCGAGGTCAGGAATTTAAAGATCATGCCAGGCCGCTGAAAGGCAACAATGACATTTTAAGTATAACTCAGCCCGATGTCATTTACCAAATCCATAAGGTAAAGTATTCCCGGGTTGCGAAATGTATTCATTCTGTTATTCTGTGAGCTATTTCATGTATCAGGGCAGATTGCTATGCCAAGTGCTCTGGAGAATAAAGAAGAAAGAGGCAGTTTATTCAGAAAGCAAGTTTTGGACATCAAATAAAAGTTATATACTGTGTTGGGCACTCAGGATAAGGGGATGAGATAGGTAGGTTGTCTGCCCTTGAGGCATGTAAACTCTAGTGAAAAACTATGAGATTCTGGACAAATAAGGGTTTTCACACTAGTGAATGTGAGAAAACTATCTTATTCAAGTCACTGCAACAGCCCTGATGAAGAAATGCTTAAAGGTGGTGTCTTAGCTTCGGCTGCTATATTACCTGTTACCATAGACTGGGTTATACAAGCACACATTTATTTCTCACAGTTCTGGAAGCTGGAAGTCCACAAAGTGCCAGCAGATCCTGCGTCTGGTGAGGGCCCTCTTGTTTATAGATAGCTATCTTTTTGTATCTTTACTTGACGGAGAGCAGAGAGAGGACAAAAAACTCTCATATTTCTTCTTATAAGGGCACTGTTGTGGTCTCAATGTTTGTGTCTCTATGAGATTCGTATGTGAAATCCTAATGCCCAGTGTGATGGTATTAGGAGTTGCCCTTATAAAGAGGCTCAAGGGCACTTATTCACCCCTTCCACCATGTGAAGATACAGTGAGAAGATGCTGTCTATGAACTGGAAAGCTGGCGCTCACCCATTATAAAATTCTAAGATACAACTATCACTCATGTGTTTCATATTTTAGTCTAGTTTTCTATATTTGGATTTTAAAAAATTAAATTGGGATTACATTGCTTCGTACTGTCTTATAATTTGCGTTTATTACTTATATACCATGAGTATTAAATATTCTGAAACATGGTTTTAATAACTTCATAATCTATTCTTTGTATATATCATCATTTATTTAACTAATCTTCTTATTCCTAGGCATTAAGTTTATTTTCAATTTTTCTTGTTCTTTTAAAAAAACTTAAATTAGTTCTTATGAAACAAATCTCGTAGATAATATATTCCCATTTGACTATACTCTAAATTGCTAATTTTTCCCTAGAGATAACCTCTGATGTTAGTTGGTGTGTGTCGTCCCAGATTCTTTTGTTATGCATTTTCATGTATATATATGTGTGCATACGTGAGTGAATATATATGTAGAAAACTCATAGTACTCTGTTTGTGTGTGTGTTTTAATTTAATGGTGTCGTGCTTTACATATCATTCTATTTTTTTTTTTTAATTTAACGATACTTTGCAGAATCTTTCCATGTCAGTATTTGTAGATATCCATTTTTTTTTTAGCTGTCACATGGCATGTAATAAAGTGGATATATTTTAGTTTATTTAGCTATTTCCCTATTGGTAGATATTTAGGATGTTTGTTATTGTTACTATAAATATGCATATCTTGGTTTTTTTCTCCCAGTGCTTCTGCAAGCATTGTCCATCGACTTAAGAGGGGTTGGGTTTATTCAGTGTTGGAAAATCAAGGGGGTCAAGTGATTCCAGGGTGCTAGTCAGATTGAGGTTGAGATGATCCAAAGAGTGGAGCCAGGAACACGAGTTTCGAAGAGAGAGCACAAAGCAGCATCAAGATCTTCAGGGTTTCAGTAAGGATGTGACGCTGGTTCAGAGGGACTAGGAGATGTAGACTGAAAAAATTGTGGTCAGATGTTGAGATCTCTGAGATGGTATACTTCTCCGTAGGCATCAGGTTCTGCCAAAGCAGGAAGAAGATAAGGGAACAGAACTACCGTTTGTTGAGTGCCCATTATGTGCCAGACACTTGATGTTGTTTTTTTGAGACAGGGTCTCACTCTGTCACCCAGGCTGGAGTACCGTGGTGCCACTGTGGCTCACTCTAGCCCACTGTGCCTCACTTGAACCTCTGGGCCCCAGCAGTCCTCCTGCCTTAGCCTTCCAAGTAGCTGGGACTGTGGGCATGTGCCACCATGCCTGGCTAATTTTTTGTATTGTTTTGGTTAGAGACAGGGTCTTTCTATGTTGCACAGACTGATCTTGAACTGGCCTCAAGCAGTCCTCTCACCTTGGCCTCCCAAAGTGCTATGATTATATAAGCCACTGTGCCTGGCTGATGTGTTACTTTATATTAGCAGATAGCTACCCTGTGAAGTAGGGTTATAATATTTTTGAATGAGGAGACTGAGACTCAGAGAGTTTAAGGGACTTGATTAAATTCTTATAACCTTAGGATGTTAACATTGTCTGAAGTCAAGTTCTGTGTTTATTTATTCATACCACATGCCTTTCTGTGAAATCCTTACACCTTTTTTGCATCTCTACCTTCTAATGCAGTGCCTTACTCTTAGTAAGTGGTCAAAAGATAGATGGTGATAATAGTGGTAATGAAAGGGCATGTTTATTCCGGCGGGACAAAAAACTCTAAAGCTCATAATTGACATTATAATCTCTTGTTGCAGGAATACTTGCTGGCTGGGGCAGATATCATTGAAACAAATACTTTCAGCAGCACTAGCATTGCCCAAGCTGACTATGGCCTTGAACACTTGGTAAGAATTCCATTGTTCCATGTGTCTAAGATACTTATAAGCGTTTGCTGCATTGGTAGTTGCTAGTGAGTAAAGCACTAGAAGCTGCAGAGTCAAGCTAATGCCTAGTTATCTGTTGTTTATGATGAGACGGGGAAAATGGTGTGAATCCTTCCTGCTTGTGAACATGGTGGCCCATTCATTTTCCAACTGGCTGCTTTTATGGGCAAGTAATAATCAAGTATAAATGATACTTATTATGCAGTAGCTGTTGATAAAGGCATAATCATTGGCCGTATGCACACAGTATTGTGACGCCTTTTTGAGTATTAGATGGCAGCCTTGGTTTCTTTTTTAAAAATTGTGATTAAATACACATAACATAAAATTTATCATATTTAAGTATACACTTCAGTGGTATTAAGTACATTCACAGTGTTCTGCTATCATCACCACTGTCCATTTCCAGAACTTTCTCATTTTCCGAAACTGAAACTCTGTACCCATTAAACAGTACCTTCCCATTCTACCCCCAACTCCAGCCCCGGCATACTCTATTCTACTTTCTGTCTCTATGAATTTGACTATTCTAGGTACCTTATGTTGAATCATGTAGTATTTGGCCTTTTGTGACTAGTTTATTTCACTTAATGTAATGTCCTCAAGGTTCATCCATGTTGTTGTGTGTGTCAGAATTTCCTTCCTCTTTAAGGTTGAATAATGTATCATTGTGTGTATATACCGCGTTTTGCTTATTCATCTGTTGATAATTTGGGTTGCTTCTACCTTTCGGCTATTGTGAATATGCAGTGTTGCTATGTACATGTGTATACAAACATCTATTCAAGTTCCCACATTCAGTTTTTTTGTATATATACACAGAAGTCGAACTGTTAGATAATACGGTAATTCTATGTTTAATTTTTTGAGGAACTGCCATACTGCTTTCAGAGTGGCTGTACCTTTTTTTTTTGAGCCTGGGTCAGATAGTATAGTACATGTTTCGGCTTTGTTAGCAAAGTCTTTTGCAACTACTCAACTCCATCATGTAGTGTGGAAGCAGCTATAGACATTATGTAAATAAATGGACTTACTTTATCCCAGTAAAACTATTTACAAAAACAGGCAGTGGACCCAATTTGCCCTATGAGCTGCAGTTTGCCAACACCTATTTAGGATATTCTGGTTATTAAATTCCTGGATGTGGTTATTCAAGACACATAGGATCTTAGGAATTCAAAGGAACTTGAAAATCACGAGTCTAGGTTCTCCCGACTTGGTCTGTGGAAGAGCTTCTGGAGGGCCGTGAACCTTCTTAAATCATAGGGAACACTGTGTGTGTGTGTGTGTGCATATTTGCTTTTTATTTCCTGGTGAGAGGGTTCATAGCCCTTTATCAAATTCTCAGGTGGTTAATAATATGCAAAAAATTCAGAATTACTAATTCCAACTATTGTACACGAATCAGGCCCGGAAAAGTTGCAGTGGGAACTGCCTGGTCAGGCAGTGACAGACGAGTCCTTGCACCTGTGTGTTTTGCCTCTTAAGCCTGTGCTGTTTCCATTGCCTTATTTTTTTCTTAATTCTCAGAATATTTAACTACATAGGTTATTCTCTGACATGCTAGATGTCTAGGGATTGCCCTTTTACCAGCTAGCTCATGGTTTGGGAGGAGAACCTAAAAGCAGTTCTCAAGGATTCTTATCTTTGCTTGCTGCCTTTCAAGTCTGGAGCTGATATGCCTGCTTGGCTAAGATTTCACTCAGACCTCAGATTAATTCACTCTACATTTCGTTACTGAAGAACACTGGGTATTGGATGGTCATGAATCCATTATTTATTGTGTGGAGGAAAAGAAGGACAAGCTAATGTTTGTGGTTGATACATTAGGCCTACCGGATGAACAAGTGCTCTGCAGGAGTGGCCAGAAAAGCTGCCGAGGAGATAACTCTCCAGACAGGTAAGGAATGTTCTTCTCTTTTTTTGCACACGTGGTTCCTTTGATATAGTCAGCTATAACTTGGCTGTCCTTATTGCAGTTTTTCCTTATGTGGCCTTTGGCTTATGAGCAACACTGCAGACACTGTATTTTACATATTTGTAGATTACTTCTCTGCAGTTTCATGATCAAGCACTCAACATCTTTGAATTGATGCCAACCCTGTGGTCCTCGGGTTGCTCTTTCAGCCTGGTTTAGCCTGGCTTGGTAGCGAGGCCCCTGACTTCCTTGTGTATTTAGAGATGAAATAATTTATGTCTCTTTGGAAGCACATCATCAAGTCATTAAAAGTAACAGCTGGCTGTTTTGATGATCTTGGCTATTATTAGGATATTTGATCTCTTTTTTTTAAAGCAACCCTCGTCCCTGTGATTAGCTGATATAGGTAGAGATATTGCCTTTCAAGCATTTTCCCTTTATACTATTGATGTCCTTGAAGGCTCTGTGAAGCACACAAAAAAGTGTGGCATTAGATTCAGTCTTGCTGGGACTTGAAAAGTGGCTCCTGAAATAACTAGCCTCCTGGCTGGATGCCATCAGAACACTTGGGCACCAGCTGGTAGGAGGCTTTGAGGGAGGGAAAGGAATATAAGAAATATATGGAGCCCCTTAAGATTTGGAAACGTGAAGTTATTGCCAACGGGAAAGCAAAATTGCTGTGAAGTTATACACAGCATACTAATGAAGACCAAAGCAGTTTACATGAACTCTGTTTCTAAGAGATAATGTTTAAATTCATGGAAATGCATAGACTATTACTCCAGCAGAGTCACAGGTCAGAGGACAGTGAACCAGCTAAAGCAGGGAGAGATAAGGACATTTTTCTTATACCCATGTTATTGGTTAGCTTTGGGGATGCGAAAGAATATTTGGGCCTGTAACTTGTTCAAAAGCTGGTTTATCAATTAGCTGATAGTCTTCTCCAGTTAAATTACAAAGCATAGTAACCAGGTTATTGAGTGGCTAAAGTCATCAAAGGTAGTGAGCGGTATGACCCTGGCTTCTGTGTAATGAACACAACTTCCCACGCCATTTTTAGAAGCACCTGGACTCCAGGGCAGAGGAAAAGTTATTGAAGAAAAATTTGCTTTGCTTCATACTTCAATTTCAGGCTTTATAATTGTTAATCCTGATTTAGTATTTCCTTCTAGTGAAGGGCCTGCAATATGGTACTAGAAAGCATTTCAAGTTAAATGCTACTGTGAGGTGATTTTGCAGAACTTATGTTAAGTTCAAAACCTTTAGGGCTTTGTAAAAATAGGAGGAGAGGGAATTTGTCCAAACACAGCTCTGGTGATAGAAAAGGATTACTTACTGAAATGTTTTAGTCAGTTGTGTGAGAATACAGAGTTTTGGGGACTGGTTTTGTGATGATACGTGCATATCTCCTATACGGCATAATTTCCTTAGTGGGCTCTGGGGCAGCCCCATGGTCAAATATATATAAGCAGAATCTATGAATCATCTAAGTTGGATAAAGACTATAAATAGTCTCTTGCTAGTTTAGGAGAGGTCAAGTTTTATTGTCAAATTGAAAAAAAAAGTTTGGGCTTTTAGAGCTTTTTGGATTTCAGAGTTGTGTACAAAAGATTATAGATCTGTGTTCTAGAAAAAAATCTTATTGGCTATTCATTCACAGCAAAAAATGTTCAGCCACTTAGAGATTTCACACTTGTTTTTCTTTTCCCAAAGGAATTAAGAGGTTTGTGGCAGGGGCTCTGGGTCCGACTAATAAGACACTCTCTGTGTCCCCGTCTGTGGAAAGACCAGATTATAGGAACATCAGTGAGTATTTACCGTATATAATCGTTGATCTTGGGCAAGTACCTCTGTGCTTCAGTAAGCTATAAATCTGTAAAATGGAACCAATAATAGGGTCTACCTTAGAGTTACTGTGATTTAATCCATGTAAAAGGTGTACAACAGTGCCTGGAATATAGTAGACATCTAAATAGAAAGTTAGCTATGATGATGATTATTATTTGAACTTGCTTTCAAATGTATATGGTGTTGTGTTAATGCTGCTTTGTCAGCTGTGGAAATGAAACCAACTAAAATAAAGCTGTAAACTCAGAAGTTGAGCAAATTTGGATACTAGGTTTGTGGTCTATTATAGAATAGCCCACAATATCCTCATTTGTCAGAAGGCAGTCTGTACTATCTAGACATCTGTATTAGTCCATTTTCACACTGCTGATAAAGACATACAAGACTGGGCAATTTACAGAAGAAAGAGAGATTTAATGGACTTACAGTTCCATGTGGCTGGGGAAGCCTCATAATCATGGCAGAAGGCAAGGAGGAGCAAGTCACATCTTACATGGATTTCATTAGGCAAAGAGAAAGCTTGTGCAGGGAAACTTCCCCTTATAGAACCATCAGATCTTGTGAGACTTACTCACTATTACAAGAACAGCACGGAAAAGACCTGCCCCCATGATTCAATTACCTCCCACCAGGTCCTCTCACAACACGTGGGAATTCAAGATGAGATTTGGGTGGGGACACAGCCAAGCCATATCAACATGTTGGCATTATACATGTTATAAACTACCATATATAAACGTACTTATATTGAGATCTGACAAAACATCCAAATATCTAGGTCAGTTTCTAAGCATCAAGACTGTAGAAAACAAAATGCATTAAAATATCAGAGCTGAATAGTCATGATACCATGTCTGGTAATGCAGTCTGTGGAGATGACAAGATCAAGCAAGTATAGTTTGTAGGTTTTTGGTTTATAGAACTTTGTGTGTTGTGATACCACACTTTTTCACCAGGAGCTGCTCATACCAGACTTATGTATTGTTGATGCTCTCTTTGGTCTAGACATGCCAGTGGGGAGCTAACTTCTCCTTGCTCTTGGGCTGTACAAGGCGAAGTACAGTAAATCTTCACTTAACGTCATTCAGATTCTTGAAAACTGCATCTTTAAGCAAAATGATGCATAGTAGGCCCTCAATTAATGTCATTTCCTTCAACAGAATTTCATTATAATGTTGATTAGAAAGAAAATACTGGTTTTGTTACATATTAGTCAAAGTTGCAATTTCTGAGAACCTGTCAATGATGTTACAGGAGGACATTATTGTATAGGCTTCTCTATTGGATAACTGAGCATTTTTTTCTTTTTTGGTTGGGAGATAAAATGGGGAGAGAGATGATCTCTCATGTGGAAATAGATAATCAAATACATTTCTTTTTTTTTTTTTTTTTTTTTTTATTGAGACAGTGTCTCACTTTGTTGCCTAGGATGGTGTGCAGGGGCACGATCTTGACTTACTGCAGCCTCCACCTCCTGGGTTCGAGCGATTATCCTGCCTCACTCTTCCCAGTAGCTAGGGCTACAGGCGTGTGCCATCATGCCTGGCTAATTTTTATATTTTTAAAGTAGAGTTGGGGTTTTACCATGTTGGCCAGGCTGGTCTTGAACTCCTGACCTCAAGTGATCTGCTCGCCTCAGGCCCCCACAGTGCTGGCGTGAGCCACTGCACTGGGCGAGTCTAAGACATTTCTAACAAAAATTTTACCTAGGAGTGATTGAACACTTTTTGTTTGAGACTGAAATTGCCCACCAGATAGGTTTATTCTCTGACAGTGTTGGTGTAAGAGCAGAGACAAAATCTGCAGGCTTGCAGCCCTTTATCACAGAGTGGCTTCAACTCAACCTGCAACCTGTCCACGTCACTGTGGCATGTTTCTCACAGCCATCTCTTAACCAGTTGATTGAAATGAGCTGTGGAAAGAATGATGTATTTCAGAGATGTTGAATAAGGGGTACATGTTCAAGAAATTCGTGCACCTTCCTTCTCACTCCTCAGCTTGTACATGGGAAGTGGAAGTTATGTGGCAGATGTTTAGGAACAGCTGCCTTCAGCTTACTTGCTTACCTTCTGTCCCTGCCACCTTTCTTTATTTGGTTTCTTACAAAAGATCATGTTCTTATGGTACTGGTACCAAAACAGAGATATAGACCAATGGAACAGAACAGAGCCCTCAGAAATAATACCACACATCTACAACTATCTGATCTTTGACAAACCTGACAAAAATAAGAAATGGGGAAAGGATTCCCTGTTTAACAAATGGTGCTGGGAAAACTGGCTAGCCATATGTAGAAAGCTGAAACTGGATCCCTTCCTTACACCTTATACAAAAATTAATTCAAGATGGATTAAAGACTTAAATTTAGACCTAAAACCATAAAAACCCTAGAAGAAAACCTAGGCAATACCCTTCAGGACATAGGCGTGGGCAAGGACTTCATGTCTAAAACACCAAAAGCAATGACAACAAAAACCAGAATTGACAAATTAGATCTAATTAAACTAAAGAGCTTCTGCACAACAAAAGAAACTATCATCAGAGTGAACAGGCAACCTACAGAATGGGAGAAAATTTTTGCAATCTACTCATCTGACAAAGGGCTATTATCCGGAATCTACAAAGAACTAAAATTTACAAGAAAGAAACAACCCCATCAACAAGTGGGCGAAGGATTGAACAGACACTTCTCAAAAGAAGACATTTATGCAGCCAATAGACACATGAAAAAATGCTCATCATCACTGGCCATCAAAGAAAATGCAAATCAAAACCACAATGAGATACCATCTCACACCAGTTAGAATGGCGATCATTAAAAAGTCAGGAAACAACAGGTGCTGGAGAGGATGTGGAGAAATAGGAACACTTTTACACTGTTGGTAGGACTGTAAACTAGTTCAACCATTGTGGAAGACAGTGTGGTGATTCCCCAAGGATCTAGAACTAGAAATACCATTTGACCCAGCCATCCCATTATATTTGGGATATACCCAAAGGATTATAAATCATGCTGCTATAAAGATACATGCACACATATGTTTATTGTGGCACTGTTCACAATAGCAAAGACTTGGAACCAACCCAAATGTCCAACAATGATAGACTGGATTAAGAAAATGTGGCACATACACACCATGGAATACTATGCAGCCACAATAGTTCATGTCCTTTGTAGGGATATGGATGGATGAAGCTGGAAACCATCATTCTCAGCCAACTATCGCAAGGACAAGAAAACAAACACTGCGTGTTCTCACTCATAGGTGGGAATTGAGCAATGAGAACACTTGAACACAGGAAGGGGAACATCACACACTGGGGCCTGTTGTGGGGTAGTGGAGGGGGAAGGGATAGCATTAGGAGATATACCTAATGTAAATGACGAGTTGAGTGCAGCACACCAACATGGCACATATATACATATGTAACAAATCCGCACGTTGTACACATGTACCCTAGAACTTAAAGTATAAATTAAAAAAATAAAAATAATAAAAAAGAAAAAGATCATGTTCTTAACTATGCATTCTAAACCAGCAGTAGTTCACAGGTGCCAGACCTATACTTGAGATACCCTAGGGCCATTCAGAGGATATTGATGACTGATGTGCTGGGTGTGATTTATTTTTTGCAGAATTTGATGAGCTTGTTGAAGCATACCAAGAGCAGGCCAAAGGACTTCTGGATGGCGGAGTTGATATCTTACTCATTGAAACTATTTTTGATACTGCCAATGCCAAGGTGAGCTAAGGGAGTAAAAGCAGACGGGTGGGCTGAGGGCTGTGGGAGAGTCTCCTGATGTTCAGAGAAGATAATATTAGCCATTATCAAAGTTAAATAAATTATCTGCATTTGCTCCCTTTTATTCTTGAGTGTTTTTAACTGAGGCCAGTACAATAAGAAAAAATTAAACCTGCTTTTGAAGCTTTTAAAATAACTTTTTTCTAATTATGAAAATAGATATTTTGATATATAGCTAGTATAAATGCATATATAGGTAATAAATACATGCTGCTGGTTCTAAATTTGAAAGATACATAAATATACAGAGTGAAAAATGAATATCCTTTCCTTTCCTAGTCTTTAATTATCCAGCTCCCTTTCCAGAGACAGCTACTATTGCCAGTTTGGGGGTCCTGGCAGATGCTGTACAGAAATAAGCATGCGTGTACGTGTGTGTTTGTGTTCCTTACATACATGCAAAGGCACATAAGTTTATGGAGAGAGAAGCAAATATCCTTATACATATGTTTTTACACAGTGTATCTGTAGGATACATTTCTACAAGTAAAATTGCTGAATCAAAGGGTATGTGCATTGTTAATTTTTATCTTTAGTGTCAAATTACCCTCGTTTGAGACTGGACTCAATTATACTCCGTTCAGCAAGAAGTGTACAATAGTGCTGGTTTCACAACACTCTCACTAGCGCAGTGTATTATTAAACTATTTGACCTTTTCCAGTTTGACAGTTTGCCTCACTGTAGTTTTAATTTGTATTTTTCTTACTACTAATGTAATTGATCATCTTTCTTCAGTTTTGGAGCCATTTATATTTCATTTTCTATGACTTACGTCCTCTGTCCTTTTTTTCTATTGGACTTTGGCTTTTTAAAATTGAGTCCTTTACTGAGAAAATGAGGCTCTTCTCAATAATGAACAGCAGCTACTGCCCTCCAGTTTGTTTGACATTTGACTTTCTTTATGGTGGTGATGGTGGTAGTGTGGTGGTGGTGTGTGTTTGTGTGTGCGTTTTAATGGTGTAGGAGAATGTTTCTTAAGTGTTGTATGGTTGAATTTACAGATTGTATTTTTTTGCTGTGGAGGGGGAGACTATAGTTACAGAGGCACTCCTCAGTTGAAGAGAAGAAAAAAAGGGAAAAATGGCCTTTTCCTCCCTAGTACTTTACAGTTTCATTAAATGTTTAATTGTTGTGGGAATCAGACCACAGGTCCAGAGTTTTTGAACTTTTCAAAAAAATCATTTTCTAAAGTACTTGCAAGCAGGAAGAATGTAGAGAGCCACTACCGGCCTGAAGCTGGATGACCACCCTACCTTGTTCTTAACACATGACTTTCATTGGGTTCTTTTTTATATATCTTTTTAGAAATTGTTTCGTGAATCTCCAGTAAACAAATTATAATTTGAAAAGGAATTCAGAAACACATTTTGAAAATGAGAGCAGTAACAAACAAGATAAGGAATATATCTGAAATGAGATTCGTATATACATTTGCAAAGAGTCACGATATTGTTTAGATTAGAAATAAGAGGGATTAACATGAGGGGATAAAGCATTAAAGATATGTTTTGTTGAGTTTCTAAGTTTTCAAATGTGTGGCATACATTCTGATTATATGGAACTAATGTCCCTCATGATGCATCTGGTATTTATTTTGGAGTGAGAAATAGAATCGGGAGCTAACTTTTTTCCTTTAAAGTTTAGTTTTCCTACCACCATCTATTAAGCATCCTGTTATTTCACAGTGATAGGAATGATGTGGAACATTATCCTTATCATCCAAAATTCTGGAGTGCATTTGGATCTAGTGTTTACTGGTAATCTGTCTGCTGATGTGACGCTATTGTACCATTTACCATAACATTAGAATATGTCTGAGTAACTGGTAGGCTTAGATTTTTTTTTTTTTCATTGAGTCCCATCCCCTTTTCCAGATACCCCTTTTCATGGCTATTCTTACATGTTTGTTTTCCATAAGATCTTTAGGATCAATTTGTCTATTTCTAAAGAGGAAATTCTGATATTATTGATTTAGTAACTTTCCATGAAAAAAACCTACCATCACAGGAAAGGTACACGTTAATTACAGGTTGCATTCTGATTTCAGAGAATTAATTGTGAAAACATACATATCTTAAAATCAAGAAATAAAATGATAAAAAGAGAAGATCCATTACCTGGAACTTAATACGTGGACTGAACAGCACAGAATAACATAGGATTTGTACCTTTACTACCTAATCTAAGCTGATGCTGTTTTTTGCAATGATGGATACTGTTGGTTCATATACCTACCATGTGTATGAAAGGATGCGAAAAGCAGGGACATTCTTATTTATTAATTTTTGAGTCAGAGTCTTGTTCTGTCATCCAGGCTGGAGTGCAGTGGCATGATCACAGCTCAACCTTGAACTCCTGAACTCAGGCAATCGTCCTGTCTCAGCCTCCTGAGTGTTATTTATTTATTTTTAATTTTTACTGAGGAAAGGAAGAAAGAATACCCTTTAGCTCCTCCTCAGGAAATACTAGTTCCTAGGTGAACTTTCAGTCAGCTTTTGTTTTGTTTTAATATGCACAGTATTACACTTGAGAAAGGGGTGCTGGAGTTGTGCCTTATAAGGAAGACACTTCTTCCCAGAGAGCTTGATGTGTATCTTATCTGAAGAGGTCTTAGAAAAGGGTGCATTCTAATCAGGAAGTTAGACTAATCTTGGAAACAGTCTCAGAAATAAAGACGTTCTTTCTTTTTTCCCTGACAGGCAGCTGTGTTTGCACTCCAAAACCTTTTTGAGGAGAAATATGCTCCCCGGCCTATCTTTGTAAGTTCTAAAGTGTTTGCACAATACATTCTGTCTTCTATTAATAATTGTCCTTTTGAGCAAGTTTTTCCCCACCTTGCATAGTAGAACTATTAATAGTATCTTTTAGAACTCACCTATTTTAACTTCCATTGTTCACTTCCCTCCCACCACTTCTAGACCAATAACAGTCTTATATCTGGAGAGGCAAGGAAAATGAATCTAGAAGTAGCTGATGAAAGGCAAGCTGTTCAAAAGAAGCCCACTGTATTGGTCCTTGAAGCCAAAGGCTTCAAGGCTCAGTCTCATTAAGGCCCAAGGAGGGGTGGACTTGCATGCTGATGGCCACATAGCCAACACCGAAGACACCAGCCTGCTACTTTATTAACTCAGTAGGCAGACCTCTCTGCTGAGTCCTAAAATTGCTTGGTGAGAAGCGAATTGAATACAAACAAGGGTGTTAGATAAGTCCAATGTTTAACAGCAGGAGGTCAGGATAACTTGATGTTATCTCTGGGAAAACTACCTCTAATAAGACTGGATGTGTGAATTCCAAAGTTGTTTCAGTCATTGCTTTTGCCTCAGTGACTTTCCCTTGTCTCTGTTTCTGTGGCTTCCTGCCTCTTCCCCTAATCTCTTGGCATATGTCTGTTCTGACTGTTATAGAAAGTGCTCCCTTTGAATTTGAGTTCCACATTTCTTTTCCTTGTAAAAGAGCAAAGGAAGTCAGCTTGTTCATTTGATTTTGTCTTTATAGCTATATTCTTGAGTCTGTATTGTTGACTTTGTTTACTTTGTCAATTCAGATTTCAGGGACGATTGTTGATAAAAGTGGACGGACTCTTTCTGGACAGACAGGAGAGGCATTTGTCATCAGCTTGTCTCATGCAGAACCACTCTGGTGAGTGATCCATCTTTCTGTAACTTCTTCTCTTTATGGGGGAACCTTTTCTCATGGCTGTGGAATATGACCTGGGAAGGGATTGCTTCCACATATTTTTACTGCACCACTTCTATATTGAGTTTCCTTTAAGTACTTTCCGACTTTTCCCGAAAGGATTCAGAAGATTGCTGCCTAAATGGGTCAGCCTGAGGGACTGGAAAAGTTCTCATATGGTTGCCTGTTTGTCTGTAGGTGTGCCCTTTATAGTTTGCAGTGCTTTGCAGATTTTAGGGCAGTGCCACTCCCTATTTATGAGGCAACCAGAAGCAGTCAGTCATGGAATAAGGTGGGAATTCTAAAGCTCTGGTTTTTATCTGTAAAGTGAATATGGCATTTGGCATGGTGGTGTGTGCCTGTAGTCCCCGCTACTTGGGAGGTGGAAGCAGGAGAGGATCTCTTAAGGCCAGGTGTTGGAGGCTATAGCTCCTGTGAATAACCACTGTATTTCAGCTTGGCCAACATAGCAGGACCCTGTCTCTGAATAATTAAATTAACATGACTTTTAAAATCTATTTAAAAATATCTCCCTATTTACATTTTATTTTTCATATCAAAATGTTTTAAATCGTGTACTTTGAGTGACATGGAAGAGTATCTGAGTATATATACCGTTTTTTGCCTGGAGTTTTTTTTTTTTTCTGGGCTTTTTTCTTCTATTTCTCCTGCCTGGAAGCTATGCTGGTCCGCTTCCCCTTTTCCCCCGTTTCCGTCCACCATACCTCTTCACTCTGCTGACTTGTTCTTTTTTTTTTTTTTTTGAGACGGTGTCTCGATCTGTCGCCCAGGCTGGAGTGCAGTGGTGCGATCTCGGCTCACTGCAAGCTCCGCCTCCCGGGCCGACGCCATTCTCCTGCCTCAGCCTCCCAAGTAGCTGGGACCACAGGCGCCCGCCTCCGCGCCCGGCTAATTTTTTGTATTTTTAGTAGAGACGGGGTTTCACCGTTTTAGCCAGGATGGTCTCGATCTCCTGACCTTGTGATCCACCCGCCTCAGCCTCCCAAAGTGCTGGGATTACAGACGTGAGCCACTGCGCCCGGCCTGCTGACTTGTTCTTAGCCTTTAAGACTCATCTCAAGAATCTTCCCTCCAGAGAACATTCCCTCTCTCACTAGCCCAGATCGATGTTCTTTGTTTACTTTTATTTTAGCCTTTGCCATAAAAAGTAAGAGTAGTAGACATTTGTTGAGAGTTTGCTGTGTGCCAGGCTCTGTTCTAAGTGCTTTATGTGAGTTCTTCCTTTAATTCTGGCAGTAACACCTTGAGGGTTGGTACTGGTATTAATGTCCCCATTTTAACAAGAAGGGTACTGAGACTCAGAGGTTGTAACTCACCCAAGGTGAAGTAAATAGAGAATCTGGGGACAGGAGCATACTTTTAACCACTGTGTTATATCACATTTTATCAATTATGTGATGTTCTTTTTTTTCACACTTAAATGTTTGTAATTACAGAGCGCATCTTACAGTTGACTTAATGTCATATTGTGGTTTCTTAAAAGGTGCTATTAATTTAAAGTGCATTAATAGACATTTGATTGGGCCTGACAATTAAGAAAATCGTTGTCTTGAACTGGTTGTAGATGACCTTCTTCACAGTTTTTTTTCTGAGCAGTCTCTTCATCTTTATTTCTCTAGTGTTTAGTGGAATTCTTGGCACATAGTAGGGATATAATAAATGTTTAACAGAAAAACTGAGGGTAGGAAGTGTAGGGGTCTCTGAAGACAAATTTTATCTAGTTTATTTAAATTTTTGTGCCTATCCGTGAGTGTTTGGAGCATTCCTCCCTTCACTGTCTTTCTCTTTTCCCGCCCCTTTGCTAAGTCTGAATTTGTTATGTGGTTAAGTAAGTGACACTGTAATGGATATATGTTACTCATCATGTATTTGTCAAAACCCGGAGAATATGCAAAACCAAGAATGAACCCTAATGTACACTGTAGACTTTAGTTACTAATCATGTATTGCTATTGGTTCACATTCTAATAGGTGTACCACACAAATGCAAGATCTTAATAATAATGATGTAGTCTTTCCTAGCGATTAGGTAAAACCTCTGTGTTGTCCTGGGTGTCACTGGAGTCTTTAGTTTGCCGAGAGTTCTCAAGGGCCCCTTAGAGGACGTTCTTCCTGCCACTGCCTCACCTCCAGGAGTCCCAAGATGAGGTTTTATTGAGGTCTAAATAATTTATGTTTTTATTTCTTAAGGAAACATTCAGTTTATTCTGACCTTTGATCCACTCAGTGTTTAATTTAAAAAATAATCCTTTCTATGACTTCAACTACAGTCCATTCACAGAGAGAATGTATTTGCTCTCTATTTCGTTATGAATCTTACAGACTGTATGGGGCAGATAGAAGGCAGCAAATAATATGTGAAAAGGATACATATTCTTTTTTTTTTTTTTTTTTTTTTTTTTTTTGAGATGGAGTCTCGCTTTGTCACCCAGGCTAGAGTGCAGTGGCCAGATCTCAGCTCACTGCAAGCTCCGCCTCCCAGGTTCATGCCATTCTCCTGCCTCAGCCTCCCACGTAGCTGGGACTACAGGCGCCCGCCACCTCGTCCGGCTAGTTTTTTGTATGTTTTAGTAGAGACGGCGTTTCACCGTGTTAGCCAGGATGGTCTCGATCTCCTGACCTCGTGATCCGCCCGTCTCGGCCTCCCAAAGTGCTGGGACTACAGGCTTGAGCCACCGTGCCCTGCCAAGGATACATATTCTTACATATATGTAGGAAACTTTTGCTTACTGACTTGCGCTTATCACAAACTATAGAACAGTGGGGTAGAGCCTTTATATTACTGGTAATTCATCAAATATTTATTGAAATACTACTATATGTCCTGGAATACAGGCCAATGTGGAATAGTCCACACTAGGAGAAGTGCATAAGTAAATTAAAATAGAAAATACACAATGCTATACAGAACTATGAATAAAAATCTGGCAATACATGGGGTAGTGGAGTTCTTGTGGAATTTAGAGACAGCTTGTAAAGAAGGTGACATTTGACATAGGTTTTGAAAACAGGAGACAGAGTTTTCTCTTCTTTTTTTCTTTTGAGATGGAGTCTCAAAATTCTCCTATTATCAACAGCTTGCATTGGTGTGGTACACCTATTACAATATGAACCAATATCAATACGTTATTATTAACTGAAGTCTGTAGTTTACCTTAGGGTTCATTCTTGGTTTTGTATATTCTGTGGGTTTTGACAAATATATCATGAGTAACATATATCCATTACAGTATCATACAGAGTAGTTTCATTGCCCCCAAAATCTGTTGTGCTCCACTTATTTATTCTTTGTCCCAGCTCGCTGGCAAGGAATCTTTTCACTGTCTCTAAAGTTTTGCTGTTTCCAGAATGGAATATAGTTGAGACCACATAGTATGTAGCCTTTTCACACTGGCTTCTTTCACTGAGTGATCTTCATTTCAGGTTCATTCATGTCTTTGTAGGCTTGATAACTTATTTCTTTTTAACACTAAATAATATTCCATTGCAAAGACGTACTACGGGTTTTTTCCATTCACATATTGAAGACCATCTTGGTTGCTTCCAAGTTGGAGCAACTATGAACAAATCTCCCATGGCCTTTCTGCGCTACTCACAGAGGAGTCCATCTGGTGTTGTTCTGGATTCCCATTGTAACTTAAAGGGAAACTTTCATAATGTCTGGAGCCCTGGATGCCCTGCAAATGAAAGAGGAGGATGTCCTTAAGTTCCTTGCAGCAGGAACCCATTTAGGTGGCACCAATCTTGACTTCCAAATGAAACAGTACCTCTATAAAGGAAAAATGATGGGATCTATATCATAAATCTGAAGAGGACCTGGGAGAAGCTTCTGCTGGCAGCTTGTGCCGTTGTTGCCATTAAAAACCCTGCTGATGTCAGTGTCATATCCTCCAGGAATACTGACCAGAGGGCCATGCTGAAGTTTGCTGCTGCCACTGGAGCCACTCTAGTTCCTGGCCGCTTCACTTCTAGAACCTTCACTAACCAGATCCAGGCAGCCTTCTGGGAACCACGGCTTCTTGTGGTTACTGACTTGAGGGCTGACCAGCAGCCTCTTGTGGAGGCATCTTTATGTTAACCTGCCTACCATTGCTCTGTGTAACACAGATTCCCCTCTGCACTATGTGGACATCGCCATTGCATGCAACAAGGGAGCTCACTCGGTGGGTTTGATGTGGTGGATGCTGGCCTGGGAAGTTCTGCACATGCATGGCACCATTTCCCGTGGACGCTTGCAGGAGGTCATGCCTGATCCCTGCTTGTACAGAAATCCTGAAGAAATTGAAAACGAAGAGCAGGCTGCTACTGAAAAGGCTGTGACCAAGGAGGAGTTTCAGGGTGAATGCACGCTCCAGCTCCCGAGTTCACTGCTACTCAGCCTGAGGTTGCAGATTGGTCTGACGTGTGCAGGTGCCCTCTGTGCCTATTAAGCAGTTCCCAACTGGAGACCGGAGCGCTCAGCCTGCCACAGAAGACTGGTCTGCAGCTCCCACTGCTCAGGCCACTGAATGAGTAGCAGCAACCACTGAATGGTCTTAAGCTGTTCTTACCCGGGCTGTTAAGCAACATGGAAATAAGGCTGATGGAAAATAAACATCAGTTTCTTAAAAAAAAAAAAAAGCTCCCGTAAACATTCATGGCAGGTTTTTGTGTAGACCTAAGTATTCAATTCGTTTGGGTAAATAACAAGGAGAGGATTGCTGGATCTTATGGTAAGACTATGTATGTTGTGAGAAACTGCCAGACTATCCTCCAAAGCTGCTTTTCCATCTTGCATTCCCACCAGCAGTGAAGGAGAGTTCCTGCTGTTCCGCATCCTTCCCAGCATTTGGTGGCATCAGTTTTGGATTTTAGCCATTCTAATAGGTGATAGTGGTATCTTGTTTTATTTGCAATTCCTTAAAAACATATGATAATTTGGCCGGGCGCGGTGGCTCACGCCTGTAATCCCAGCACTTTGGGAGGCCGAGGCGGGCGGATCACAAGGTCAGGAGATCGAGACCACGGTGAAACCCCGTTTCTACTAAAAATACAAAAAATTAGCCGGGCGCGGTGGCGGGCGCCTGTAGTCCCAGCTACTCAGGAGCCTGAGGCAGGAGAATGGCGTGAACCCGGGAGGCGGAGCTTGCAGTGAGCCGAGATTGCGCCACTGCACTCCAGCCTGGGCGACAGAGCGAGACTCTGTCTCAAAAAAAAAAAAAAAAAAAAATGATAATTTTGAGCGTTTGCATATGCTTACTTGCCATCTATGTATCTTCTTTGGTGAGGGGTCTGTTCAGCTCTTTAGACAGTTTTTTTAAATTGCATTTATTGTTGAATTTTAAGAATTCTTTGTATATTTTGGGTACAAGTCTGTCATATTCTACTTTCTTTTGCTATAACAGAATACCTGAGATGGTAATATATAAAGAAAAGAGGTTTATTTAGCTCACAATTCTGAAGGCTGGGAACTTCAAGATTGAGTGGCCACATCTGGCAAGGGCCTTGTGCTGCTTCATAGCATGGCAGAAAAGTGAAAGGGCATGTTAGCATGTGTGAAAGAGAGGGGGACAAGAGACTGGCTTGCTTTATAACAACCCGTACTTGAAAGAACTAATTTATTCCCTTGAGAACTAATTCAGTCTCCAGGGAACTAACCCAGTCTCTGGAGAAAGACAGTAATCCATCTTAATGATTTAATCATCTGTAAAGGCCCCACCTTCCAACGCTGTTTCATTGGCAATTCAATTTCAACATGAATTTTGGCATGGACAAACCACATCCAAACTATAGCAAATCCTTTATCAGATAATGTGTTTCGCAAATATATTTTCCCAGCCTGTGGTTTGTCTTCTCGTGATCTTAATACTCTCTTTTGCTGAACAGTTTTAAATCTTAGTGAAGTTCTAGTTATCAGTTTTTTTTTTATGGACCCTACCTTTGGTGTTTTACCTAAAAACTCATTGCCAAACCCACGATCATGTAACTTTTTTCTGTGTTATTTACAAAATTTTAATCGTTTTGCAATTTATATATACGTCTGTGTTCCATTCCATTAGTCTTTGTGAAAGATGTAATGTCTGTGTCTAAATTAACTTTTTCAAATGCAGATGCCCAATAGTTCCAGCACCATTTGTTGGAAAGAATATCCATTCTCCATTGGATTGCCTTTGTTTCTGTCAAAGATTAGTTGAATATATTTGCGTGGTTCTATTTCTGGACTCTATTCTGTTCCATTAATCTGTTTGTCTCTTACCAATTCCACATCGTCTTGATTGCTTGAGCTTTTTAGTAAGTATTGGAGTTGGATAGGTCGGTCCTTCAACTTTTGTTTTTTCTCTCATTATTGTGTTGGCTATTCTGGGTCTTTTGTCTCACCATACAAACTTTAGAGTCAGTTTGTTGATAGTCACAAAGTAACTGCTAGGATTTTCATTGGGATTCTTTTGAATATAGATCAAGTGTGAGAATTGATATCTTAACAATATTGCCTTCCTCTTCCTCTTTATAAACTTGAAATATGTTTTCATTTATTTAGATCCACTGTAATGTCTTTTTTTTTCATATAGATCCAAGTATTTCTTTTGTTTTGATGCTAGTGTAAATGGTTTTGTGGGTTTTTTTTTTTTTGAGACAGGGTCTTGCTGTGTCATTCAGGCTGGAGTGCTGTGGCATGATCATGGCTCACTGCAGCCTCAACCTGCCAGGCTTAATTGATCCTTCTGCCTCAGCCTCCTAAGTAGTTGGGACTACAGGTGTGTGCCACCACGCCTGGTTAATTTTTTTATTTTTTGCAGAGCTGGGGTTTCGCTGTGTTGCCCAGGCTGGTCTCAAACTCCTGGGCTCAGGTGATCCACCTGCCTTGGCCTCCCAAAATGCTGAGATTATAGGCATGAGCCACCGTACCTGGCATGTGTTTTTAATTTCAAATTTTGATTGCTTATATCTGGTATATAAGTAAACAATTGAGTTTTGTATAGTTACCTTGTATTTTGAAACCTTGGTATAATTGCTTGTTAGGTCAAGGAGTTTTTAGTGATTCTTTGGGATTCTGTACATAAACGATCATGTCATATGTGAACAAAGACAGTTTTATTTCTTCCTTTCCGATCAATATGTGTACTTTTTACTTTCTGTCTTTTCTTATTGCATAGGGACTTCAAATACAATATTGAGTAAGCGATGAGAGTGGGTATCCTTGCTTTGTTCCTTATCTTAGCAGGAAAGCATCTAGTTTCACATGATTAAGCTTGATATTAGCTGGAAGTTTTTTCTAGATACTCTTTATCAAGTCAAAATTTCCCCCTATTCCTAGTTTGCTGAATTTTTTAAATGAATGACTATTGGATGTTTGTTAAATAAAATTAATTTTGGAATCATTTCAGATTTATAGAAAAGTTGCAAAGATAGTGCAGAGAATTTCTCTATATTCTTTTAGTTTTCATGTTAACATAATGCATGACTATGGTACTTTTGTAAAAACTAAGAGTATATTACTATAGTTTGAGTATCCCTTATCTGAAATGCTTGGGACCAGAAGTGTTTTTGGATTGTAGAGTTTTTCGAATTCTGGAATATTTGCACTATACTTACAGTTTAGTGTCCTTAATCTGGAATCTGATACGGTCCAATGAACATTTCTTTTGTGGGTCATGTCAGTTCTCAAGAAGTTTCATATTTTGAAGTATTTTGGATTTCCACGTTTCAGATTAGGGATATTTAACCTATATTAACTAAACTCCAGATTTTATTCAGATTTCAAGGATTTTCCACTGATAATCTGTTTTCTATTCAAGGATCCAGTCTAGGATGCCACATTGCACTTAGGAATCACAGTAAAAGGAAAAAAGTAAAATGTGAAAACATTAGAGATCACATAGTCTGGTAACTTTGCAGTTGGCTCATAAATTCTGGAAGACCTCAGGCCCGCCACCTGCTGACAACCTTTTAGGATAGCAGGGTCTCTGCCTGTGGGGTAGGGCCTAAGTCCTGGTCTCCTGGACTTTAAGGGTAGCTTCTTTCCACCATTCCATGTTCCTTCTGCCTCCAAGATTTCCCACCTTTTAAATGTTGCTTTCAGGTCAGCTTTTTTTTTTTTTTTAAAGCAGTGTTAGCTTGTTGATATTTCTGCCCCACAGTATACCATGTGAACTAATTTAAGGAGTCCATCCATAGGCAGGGTCTTTCAGCTGTAAGATTATCTGAAGATGGAGACATTGGCAAAAATATTTAGTGCTGCAGGGGACCTCAATGAGATGGCTTTGAAGGTAGTTGAATAAAAGTGTTTTGAATGAGATTTATTACCCACTTGGTTTTAGATATATTGTCTCTATATATAACTTATATGCATAAATATGAATGAGAGATGATGCTTTTAATATGTTTTTTCTGTTTTTCTAGCATTGGATTAAATTGTGCTTTGGGTGCAGCTGAAATGAGACCTTTTATTGAAATGATTGGAAAATGTACAACAGCCTATGTCCTCTGTTATCCCAATGCAGGTATGTGTTTCAAGGGGGTCACACATGGGGAGATAAAAGTAACATAAGACATGGCGTAGATGAGGTAAGAGATCGTGAATAAAAGATCTTGTTTTGCAGGTGTTGGTATAGTTGACACTTAATAAATGAAGAGTATCTGGGTGCAGTGTTTCCCTGTAGACCTGAGGGAAGTTCGGCTCACCCTGAAGCTTCAGAACAGTACAAAACTTCTGGAAATGAGCTTAGTCACATAACTGACCAGAGTTTTGCCTTTGGTGACAGCGTAAGCCTTGTGGACGTGACCAGAAAGATGGGTGTAAAGAAGAGAAGAGAGACCCCGTTTCTCTGGTCCATTCTATTAGTAGAAGAGCAAAAGAAGAATCCTGTTTGGTGTTACCTCTTTCTTCTCTGAAAGCTTGGACTTGCAGTTCATTATATGGAAATTTTTTGAAGATATTTGTAGACAGTTCTCAAACTTCCCATTGAATATTGGTAATTTGTTCAGGGTTAACCAGATTTCCCTGTGAATGTATTTGATCACTGCTTAGCTACTTAGAGCGAAAAATCGTTTTTCAGCCTTCTTTCTCCAAATATATCATTTTAATGCACGATAAATTTTATTTCCCACCAGCAGTAAGATAACTGGAAGCAGATAATAAATAAAACAAGAAACTGGATTGTTATAAGCTGAAGTCTTACTTGGGAAAATTTATTCGAAAGGAGACTGGCTGATTTTTGTTGGTTTTTAATGGCATGTTAGTTGCTCATTAATTAGTTCAAAGGTTATGTAGTATTCCTTCCACCCCCACCCCCAAGCGGCTGTGTAACAAGAATGAATGAATTTCCCTTATGGGAAGAGGTGGGGCTGGGGGCATTCTGTTCTGCCTAACAGTGAATAGAATCTTTTCTTTCAGATGGAAAAGAAATAATAGAGTTCATTTTCCTCTGCAATTTTGTGTGTGTGTGTGTGTGTGTGTGTGTGTGTGTGTGTGTAAGTTTTTTGGAAGGTGTGGTATCTTTGTTTACTGTGTAAATATTATGTGTTTGTTTTTGCAAGTAATTTAATATAAATATAAAATTATATAGTTATTAACATAAAGTCTTTAAAAATACAATGTATATTTGTTAAGGCAATTTGCAATAATAGTTGAATTATCCCTTCTCAGGTCTTCCCAACACCTTTGGTGACTATGATGAAACGCCTTCTACGATGGCCAAGCACCTAAAGGTCAGGGGTCCTCCTTTCACTGGCTTTTTAAGAGAGGCAGAGAGATTGAATAGAGTATTTAGAAGGAGAATTTTCCCTGGAGAAATCCCAATGTACATATAACAAAGAAAAGTTTAGCTACCCCAAATTAAGGTACTAGAGGCACAGGGGAGGACTAACTGTCGGCATCCTTATCCTCAACTGGCACTGGTGGCTGTTGGAAAATTCTCACTGGGGTCCACTCCAAACAAATAATTGAGACTTGGCTCTCCTCTGAGATGTTGCTTCCCCTGCAGCCTTCCCAAGTTGTAGCTTTCTGCCGTCACACCCCTCAGACTGCTGGGTGGAGTAGATGTCCCCCTGGCCTCCCATCGTCACCCCCATCATTCTCCCTGTCTGTCATACACCGGCCATTGTTTAATCCTAGGTCATGAGACCGTACTGTCCACCGCCGCTTCTTACTGCACTTAGCTACTAATCCCTGGGTGTCTTTCCCCTTGTTCCTTGAATTTTTAGCTTCTGTTTCACTGACATTCTCTCTCAAGCTATTTCTGACTTACTTCTTATGATATCATTATCTTTGTAGACGATCTTTCCAATACTCTTGACTTCTCAGCTCCTTGACTTTGTCTCTTAGTTATGGTGTTCTTTATTCAGTAGCCTATGGTTAAACGCTAGACTCATGCTGTCCCATATCTAGCCACTACCATACGGTTTTTGGAGCCCTTGAATTGTGGCCAGTGTGACAGAGGAACTGAATTGTTACTTAAACATTTTAAAAATTAATGTAAATTTAAAAGTCTGTACTCTATTTGTGTTATTTGAAGATGTGTTATCCAACTCACATTCATTCAGCTCAGCATATGGGTAAAAAAAAAATCATTAGATAGGCAAATCTCCCACTGAACTTTATTTTTTGTGTTTATTTTTTTGAGACATCTCTGTTGCTCAGGCTGAAGTTCAGTGGTGTGATCATAGCTTACTGTAGCTTCGAACTCCTGGGCTCAAGCAGTCCTCCCACCTAGACTCCTGAGTAGCTGGGACTGTAAACACATGCCACCATGCCCAGCTAATTTTTAAATTTTTTGTAGAGATGGGGTCTTGCTATGTTGCCCAGGCTGGTCTCAAATGCCTGGCCTCAAGTGATCCTCCTGCCTTGACCTCCCATAGTGCTGAGATTATAGGTGTGAGCCACCATACCCAGCCTCTCACTGCATTTTAAGTGGTATAAAGGATTTCACAGCATCTGAACTATTCTTTGCTTTTATCCTATGTCTAGGGCATGTGACATCTTTATATCCAGAGTTAAGTACATTTGACTCTCTTTTTATTATAGTCTTAGTTGTTCAGGAAGTATAGATGGCTTTTATGTTGAATTGGTGGGAATGAGTTTAGAATTCAGATGAACTTGCTGAAACTTTGTCTTTTCCTAAATGCAGGATTTTGCTATGGATGGCTTGGTCAATATAGTTGGAGGATGCTGTGGTTCAACACCAGATCATATCAGGTAATAATCACCTATAGACAATATATCTAAAACCAAGTGGACAATCAGATAATACTCTAAATATGTACCTTTTGTTGTGGGCTGAATTGTGTCCTTCCAAAATTTGTATGTTGAAGTTCTAACCCCTCCTGTTTCAGAATGTGGGCTGTATTTGGAGATAAGGCCTTTAAAGAGGGGACTAAGGTAAAATGAGGTCATACAGGTGTACCTAATCCAATATGATTGGTGTCCTTTGAAGAGCGGGACACAAATGCGCACACAGAGGCAAGACCATGTAAAGACACAGGGAAGAAATAACTAGCTACAAGCCGTGGGACAGGCCTTAAAAGAAACTAACCTTGCCTGACGCCTTCAACTCAGACTTCTGTCCTCCAAGTTATGAGAAAATACATTTCTGTTATTTAAGCTACCTAGTCTTTGGCACTTTGTTACGGCAGCCCTTCCTAACAAGCTCATACATCTTTATATTATGAAAAATTTTAGAGAAATAATAAAATGGACCTCTATATGCCTGTCACATAGTTGCCATAATTTTCGATGTTTTTCCGTTCTTACTTCATCTGTCCCTCAACTTTTCCCCCAGATTATGTAAAACAAATCCCAGTTATTATGATATTCTATCCTTAAATACCTGAGTAATATTTGAATGCTCAAAGAGGACAGCTCATATTTATTGTGGGCAAATACAGGCCTCCATTAGATTCCCTCGTGGAAGGAAAAGCAGGTGTCTTGAGGTCAGGAGAAGCATCTTCACTTTGCCTGGTTCACAGTGGTTACTTTAATTCATGTTTTCAAGTGAGTGTGTGAAGGAAGGGAGTGAAACGAGCATGACCGTGTGTTTCATTCCTTAGAGTTTTATAGCTTATAGGAAGATTGGAATTCAGTGATTTGGAATGTCGTTTAGGACTGTTTATATTTGTTTTTTTCCCTGGAGTGACTGATGATCATATTTCCAGCCAGTCATCTCACTGTTCCAAGTCTGTTTTCATGTGTGTAATATGTTCACTCTACCGAGTTACCTTGTAGTTCACTGCTTTTGTTGACTGATGTGATAGACTCTTAGTAAATTTTATATATATATATAAAATATATATATAATATATATAATATATATATAATATATATATATATAAAAATATATATATATATTTTTTTTTTTGTGAGACGGAGTCTTGGTCTGTCTTCCAGTCTGGAGTGCAGTGGTGTGATCTCAGCTCACTGCAAGCTCCACCTCCCAGGTTCACGCCATTCTCCTGCCTCAGCCTCCTGAGTAGCTGGGACAACAGGCGCCCGCCACCATGCCTGGCTAATTTTTTGTATTTTTAGTAGCGGCGGGGTTTCACCGTGTTGGCCAGGATGGTCTTGGTCTCCTGACCTCGTGATCCGCTCGCCTTGGCCTCCCAAAGTGCTGGAATTACAGGCGTGAGCCACGGCGCCTGGCCTAAATAATAATTTTTAAAATATCTTGCAAATAATTTCTGAAAGCTGTCAGTAAATATCACTTATCTTTGGATCAGCAACTATTTCTTTTTGTTTTTGTTTCCTCTTTAAAAAGAGGAGTTGTGTTAAATGTCTGTGTGTATGTTTGTGTGTATCTATATTTATATCTCTGTGTATATGTTTGCTTCTTTTACTTAGACATTCACATTCTAATTTGGGGACAGTAGAGTAGAGCAATTCTTACTGGTCCTGATAAATTTAGTGGAGTAGTCAGATTTTTCTGGTTGATCAAAGACATGATTCATTAAAACTGATAAGGTTCAGTGGAGTGTGAATTACCAAAACAAATCTTTAAGAGTAATTATTTTGGAGTTTTAGTGCTTTATGGCTGTGTACCCGCCCTACTGTGTGTGTGCTGTAGTAAAAGCAGATCCACTGGACCTAATTCCCTTCTCTCCTAGCCCCTCTGCTTGTGCCTGCTCCTTTTTGTCGAAGGTGAAATCCTTTTTCTGCTCACATTTTGAGTAGGAAGCAAGGATTGTGTGTGTGTAGATTTGACAGAGTAAAAGACATCTGTGGATGTGGGGAAGGTGGAAGGAAGTTTGCAGTTTGCATTTGTGCTAACTGTCATGTAGCTCCAGGTTCACGTCTCAGAAAGTAAAAACAACCCAGCCAGCGCATAGCCGACGGGCAGGCACACAAAAGGTGCAGTTTATAGATTAATTTTCTGCATTGCTGAGAAAACTAAAAGGCATAATTGTTGCTGCACACTTGGAATTAAGTATATAACTATATATATAGTTATGTTAAATAGACAATTTCATAGTTAAAAATTAGTTTTGAAATTAGTTTCATTAAATATATTTTATTCTGAATTAATGGAAATAGTGTTTTCTCTTTCAACTCAGGGAAATTGCTGAAGCTGTGAAAAATTGTAAGCCTAGAGTTCCACTTGCCACTGTTTTTGAAGGACATATGTTACTGTCTGGTAAGTCATAAAGACCTGGTATTCGTCATTTCAGAAACCATTTGTAGAATGTGACTATTCTAAGTGGTAGTGATATTTGTGCTAGGCAGCTTGCTTATTAGGTTGAAGAAGAATCCATATATTCTTGGCACTTACATGAATTCTAGTGAAGAACCCTTTGTTTTTCCAGGGCTGGGGCAGGATGACATCAACTTTAGGGTAAAAGTGAAGGAAGGCCCAGGTGATTTGCCCAGGTAGGGTCCTTGGTGGTGGCTCGATGGTCCTATCTTTATTGTCCACTGTTTTGAAAACATACTCTTGGCCACAGCCTAACAATTTTAATTTTCAGGTTGAAATTAGTTAGAAAATTCCAAACTGCCAAGGTGTAATGTTTGGTAATAGCAGCAGCATTGTCCTGGAAAATTGTTTGTTTCTGAAATATTCTTGTTGTAATCTTACATTTACCACATGTTTAGGACATTACAAAGACTTGTGGTATTTATTTTTTCTTTGGTTCTCAACAATCCTTTTGAGGTACGTAGCCTACCTTTTTCAGCATTAATTTTGTGTTCAAACAAGGAACGTTAGTAAACTAGGTCATCTGGCCAACTGTTAGAAAAATAACTTTAAATTTCATATTTTTGCTTCGGTATGTTCATGATATATTAAATGGTAACTTCAAGCAGAAAAAGTATGATTTTTTAGAGAACCTGCAAATAACACATATGAGGAATTATGTTCCCTAATAGCTTAGAATTTAACATCTCTCTGAATTGAAATATTTTTGTTTCATATGTTGTCCTATGAAAGGTAAAATAAATTACAAATGACAGCAAAAGTAGTGTCTACTTTTCTCACTCAGAACATAGCACAGAATTAATCCCAATCAGTGAGTGTGAAGTTGGGTTAATAAACATACCAACTATGGTCAGGCTAGCCTTTTTTTTTTTTAAATACTCCAGAAGGTAGAGGATGAGATTAGGAAAAGTAGGATTCATGGTTTATGATACTCCCTCTCTGGAAATAGTGGCTTTTATCAGAGAGAGGTGTGGCAGGAAAATTTATTTATTTCATCCCTGGAACTTAATGTTAGTGCATTACTTCAGCCAAGCACTAAGAGTGGAAAACATTCAGCCTTTGCCAAAATTGAAACAAGAGAGCCATTTACGTAAGATTTTAAAAAATAATTTACATGTAAGAATAAAATAATTTTTTCTTCAATTTGAATGTCATATGCTATTGCTAAATTGCTTTAAACAGTCACCTTCCATCAGATTTTAAAAGAGTGACATCAGATGTGCTATTTAAAATTGTTCTTTTATAAACCACAAGCTTGAGAGAAGTGTGATCTTTGTATCAAGTACTTCACATTCATAATAGATCATTCGCACTATGTGTGAGATGCTTTGGCGGGGGAGTCACACGGAAATGTCAGCATTGAAATGTTGGCTCCCTGCTTGCCTGTCCTGGGAACCTCAGGGTCAGACTAAGATCGGGCATACCCTGGGACTAGCATGGAAGGCTGGGGCCATGAGGATCATTGCCGGGTGGAAGGGAAACCATAAGCCAATACTGGGCGTGGAAAGCGATAATCTCAGTGCACCAAGCAGCCTGGAATGCTTTTATAATGACCCAGTTTATAGTCATTATTTTTCTCTGCCTCATAGCTGTTTCTTCCTAAGCCCATGCTTTGACAAAGGTCTTAAAAGCCATTTTCTCTTATTAGCAATGAAAGCAATGATTGTGGGTGCTAATTCTGTGCTTATCAATGTTATTCAGTTTCATTTTTACAATAACAGTATAAAGCAGACACTTTACTGTCTTTGTAAACTCAGAGGCATATGGGAAGTTGCCCCAAGGTTGTTCATTCAGGTAAGTGATTTGAACCCAAGGCCGTCTGTCCCCAGAACCTGCCTATAACCACCTAGTGAGACTGCCTCTCCTAATACTTTAAAGGTAATGGATAGAACAAAAACAGTTCAGAGCCTTTTCTATAGTGATACTTCACACTGTGCGTTTGAGACTGCCTCTCCTAATACTTTAGACATAATGAATAGAACAAAAACAGTTCAGAGCCTTTTCTATAGTGATACTTCACACTGTATGTTTTTACTTCAGTGTAATATATCCACATGTATTATCTGATATTTGCCCCTAAATTGGCCAGTGGCAGGGGAGATGTTACGATGTTGGTAGATAAGGAAACAGGCACCAGAAGTCCACCTGGCTTACCTAGAGCCAGCTCATTAGTGATAGACCTGCCACAGTGACTCCTGTCTCTCAGGTCTCAACCTGGGTCCCTGATTCAGCCTTGTTGATTATGGGTTCTAGGCCTCTGGATCAAAGAAATGAAGTAACGTTGTAAACACACCATTGGTGGGATTGAAAAAGCTTACTCCGTATAGCTTCAAGCTAATATCTGAGCAGACAGCTGTGGAACACCTCTCTTTCAATTCTAACTTTGTCCATGATTTTTGCCCCAGCCTCTTGGTTAAATAGGGGTTGATGATTATTTTTTCTTTTTTCTCAGTATGATTAGGTCCTTGAGGTTATTTGCAGCATAAAACTCTGAAATATTTCTTCTTTTGAGAGTCTGGTTGTAAATGTAGATGTAACAAATAGGCTTTGCTGCTTTTGAATCTCCCTAGAGACAACTATGGCCCTGCTTCCACATTGGATCTCCTGTCTGCTCAGATGGGCTGTGGTGCAGGAACTTCTCTTTCTTACTGAATACATTTGCGTCTGTCTGTCTTATGTCATCCATATGCATTTGCAGAAATTTTTCAAAATGCTTCTCCTTTTAAGGTCTGGAGCCCTTCAGGATTGGACAGTACACCAACTTTGTTAACATTGGAGAGCGCTGTAATGTTGCAGGATCAAGGAAGTTTGCTAAACTCATCATGGCAGGAAACTATGAAGTGAGCATCTTAATAAGACCCCTGAGGCATCTGCCCATGTCTTTGGCTAGACAGCATGTAAATGAAACAGCTCTCTGCCTTTGATAGTGTTATTAGCAGAGCCGCTAGAAAGTGTGAGAAGATGGTAATGTGTGTTTGCAGCAGGGTGGGCTGGTGGGAGGACAAGGCTTTGAAAAATTGAAGCTGCTGTTGTCAATATTTGTTAAAAAGTACTGCATTTGGTGTATGAAGTAGGATGAGATGGGAAGGATCCAGGTTCTAGCTATTTCTATTAATCATGAAATAAGTTAAAAAATTTGAGAAGGCTCTTTATTTTGTCTTCTCACAAATCCTTCTAGGGAAAGGGAAAGACAGGAAAATTCCTGTCAGTTCCTTACGGCTGCATCGAACGCTCACTGTTGAGAGGGTATTATGAATCTTGTTAGCTGTAGACTAAAATAAACAAACGAAAGAAATAGACCCTTGCCTTGGAAAGTTTATGTGATAGTTTTAGCCATGGTGTTTTTAAGCTCGGTCACTCTGTGGATGAGCATAATTTAATCCATACAGAGCATACCCAAGACTCCTGGATAGATTTTCCTATGAAAATATGAATTTAAAATTGGAGGAATTTGGCCGGGGCTTTGATGATAATTAACTTTGTCATCCAACTTTCCTCACTTTTTTGCAACCTTTAGGAGATCTTCCAGAAACCAGTATCAGAGCTGATTTAGTTTTCATAACAAGGAAAGGACCGTGTATCCCCCTTCATGGACCTGTTCATTATTATCTGATGGCATCCCTGGAGGCGTGTCTTCCTTCCTAGTCCCTCAGCTGGCACATTAGCAGGGCCTGGTTGCCCAGTTTCACCACTTCCCCTGTCAGTTGTCTTCCCCTCATTCTTGCTGCTTTCCAGTGCTCCTGTATGCATCCATCATGAGCCTTCCCAGTTTGGAAGTTCCACAGGGTCCAGGAGGCTCGCTTCTGACTCTGTGCCTTTGTTCTTGTTTGCTTCCTTCTGAAGTGCCAGTGACTCTTCCTAGCCATAGAGTGTTCTTCAGCTGGCAGCGTTTTGATTCTTATGCCTATTCTATGGTGTCCCTTTGGTGGATTTGATAGATTTGACACTGAGAGCATTTTAGGAAGAAGCAAACAGGTGAAAGTAATAATATCTATCATTTAATAAGGTCTTTCTATGTGCCATCACTGTGCTAAGCACTTTATGTCATTTCTCATTTAATCATCACAGCCTGGTGGAGATAGATACTGTGGTTATCCCCATTTTACAGGTGTAGAAACAGAGGCTTGGGGAGGTTAAATGACTTGCCTTTTGTTTTACAGCAAGTAAATGATAGAACCCAAGTCTACCAAGCATGTGCCCTTAACCACTCTGCTATCTCTGCCTAGTGGAAACACTAGGAGGGGGCAGTAGAAACAGGAAGGGACAGGTGACTCTTCATTAGAGTCTAGCTTTTATGTCTTAGTGATCCCTTTGTGGTTTAGTGAAAAGAACATTGACCTGAAAGAAGTTCCAGTCCTGTGTTCTTACTCAACTCAAATGTCTTTAAACAAACTGCTTCATCTCTCTGAGGTTGTTTGGGAAGGTTAGACCTTGAAGCTGTTATTCCGTGATTGTTAAGAAATAGGTCAGATATTGGCATTTCCATTTTCCAGGTCTTTTGACCCTGTTGCTTACTGTCTTACCTCCTGTCTGTTTGCTCCAATCCATTCCCCATTAGCCAGCTGAAGATGCTCCCTCTCAGTTAGCTTTCTCCATTTTGGTTTGTGGCGACCTTTCCCTTTCCTGGATGTTGAGATCATCTTGGCATTTGACCCACACATTGTATGGCAGTGTCCGGTAGTTTTTTATGTGACTGTGACATGTGCCCCCAACTAGATATAAACCCTTTAAGAACCAGGATTGTGATTTACACTTCTTTTTATTCTTTATTGTATTTAAATTGGTACTGATACTAGAAAACATTTTTTGATTTACTGAATTAATTGCTTTATTTATTTTGAAACAGAGTCTTGCTCTGTCACCCAGGCTGGAGTGCAATGGCGTGGTCTTGGCTCACTGCAACCTCCACCTCCAAGGTTCAAGCGATTCTCCTGCCCCAGCCTCCAGAGCTGCTGGGACTACAGGCACCCGCCACCAGACCCAACTAATCTTTGTATTTTTAGTAGAAATGGAGTTTTGCCTTGTTGGCCAGGCTGGTCTTGAACTCTTGACCTCAAGTGATCTGCCTGTCTCAGCCGCCCAAAGTGCTGGGATTACAGGCGTGAGCCACCGCGCCCGGTCCAGATTTACTGAATTGAATTGTGATCCTTTTTCTCTGTGCGGCCTTGGCTCAGTGCATATGGTGCTTCCTTGTGGCATATGCCATAGAGTTTCATGCCTATTCTATCACAATGAGTGCTAAAAGTTTCTATTTTATTTTCTTGGGCTAAAAAAAATCAAGACAACATCAGCATCTACTATTGATTTTATCCTTGCTTATTTTTTTACACTATGAAGTGTACAGTGAAGACTCAAATAAACAAAAAGTCTCTGTCACGTTAGTTAGAAGGCATTATGGAATATGTATATTTTGCCCAACATTGTTCAGAGTGGGAAGTATATAAGACTCTTTTTGGAACACTTATCCTACAAAATATTCCTTAGATGGTCATAAGTGGGAAATGCTGTATTCTGTTTTGGGAAGGTTGCAGTGTATAATAGTACATTAAAGAATTTGAAAAGCCTTCCAGTGTTATAAAACCTGCTGAAACTTATTTAACTGACATTTCTTTTCATGTAACTCCTATTAACAGCCTGCAATGAATACTTTCAGCAGATACTGAAGAGTTATATAGTTTTTGGCAAATACTGAAGAGTTACATCGTTTTGGATGGTTTCTCTAAGGACTTTTTTTTGGAGGAGTTGGGGCTTGAGCTGGGTCTTAAGCAATATGGAAGGGAAAGGGATTGCGTTCCAAGCAGAGGAGACAACATGATCTGCAGCACAGAGATGGGAACAGATCTGGCTGGGTGAGGGCTCCAGCAGGGGTGGAGTGGGAAGTTCAGTTGGGTAAGAAGATGGGGCCAGCTCAGAGGGCCTTGACTGCCATGCTGAGGAATTGAGAATCTTCATGGTAGGAAAACAGCTTTGGTGGATTCTAAGCAGTGAGATGATGTGATGGAAGAGATGTGTGAGAAAGGTTAATTTGTGATGAGTGATGGGAGGACAGCAGGCCCAGAGTCAGGGAGTCTGGCTAGGTAGTCTTTGTAATTTGAAAGGATTGCTGGGAAGGGTAAGGAATGACCTCGTTAGCCTTTTCTCAAAGTACTGTCTCCTAACGCTGCTTCCTCTCTCATTCTTCCTTCAGGAAGCCTTGGGTGTTGCCAGAGTGCAGGTGGAAATGGGAGCCCAGGTGCTGGATATCAACATGGATGATGGCATGCTAGATGGTCCGAGTGCAATGACCAGATTTTGCAACTTAATTGCTTCCGAGCCAGACATCGCAAAGGTTATACAAAGTTTGTGTTTATCAGGGGGATTTACTTGTCTCACTTTGTCACTCATTTAACTGTGCCAGTTGTCCCATTAATCTGTGAACTCAAGAACTGGTTTTCTGAGCACAGTAGTTTCTGATTGTCAGCTTTCTCAGATAATGATAACCTTTCCATATAAAGCAGATCTTGGAGACAGCTGTGGCTTCAGCCTGGCTGTTTCCAAGGCTTCTGGGATTGTTCATGAGAATTGAGTCTTCTCAGATGTCTGGACAGAATAACAACCCACTTTCCCTGTCTGTGAAGGAAAATCATTGGCTCTATTTCTGCCATAGGCAAGGGAACTCAGTGATTTCTTTCTTATAACAGAAAGGAGAGAACTTTCAGGCTTATCAGACTAAGACAAAAATACAAAACAAGATTAAATCAAGAGGTTATGTCAGCTTTTACATTTGTTCTTTAAAAGGTGAAAGTTGATTTTTGTGTCAGTCTTTCAAACATTTTTAAATGAGTTCTAAAATTTTTAAAAATCTTACCTTATTTTTCTGCCATTAAGCTTGTTATGAGGAGTGATTTTTTTTTTTTCCCCCTCCTGAGGCAGGGTTTTGCTGTGTGGCCCAAGCTGGAGTGCAGTGGTGCAATCAAAGCTCACTGCAACCTCAGACTCCTCCCACTTCAGTCTCCTGAGTAGCTAGGACCACAGGCACGCATCATTTAAAAAATATTTTTGGTAGAGAGGGCAGGTCTTGCTGTGCCACCCAGTCTGATTTTGAAGTCATAGGCTCAAGCAGTCCTCCTGCCTTGGCCTCCCAAAGTGGTGGGATTACAGTTGTGAGTCACTGTGCCTGGCAGGAAGTGATTTTTGAAGTTCTTTTTTAAAGAAACTTCCTAGTGCTTCAAGAGTTGCATATTTCAGGTTGAGCTGTTGGTTTTTTATTAGGCTTCAGCAGATTTAAGTTAGAAGTCTGTGGTAAGTACTGAATTACATTTGCCCATCTTTCATTTGTGTCTTAAAACTCTTTACTAAAAAGTCTCATCATTCTTCTGGGAATAAATATTTTGAGAATTTAAGGTACAAAGAAGCAAGACAACTTGTTCAAAGTTAGTTAGAATCAGAGGTATAGCCAATTGTTTATCAGCTTAGTATTGGGAAGAGGGTAGACTCGCCTTGTAAGGCCCAATCAAGTCAATGGACTATTGACCCTACTTTCTTTCCTCATCTCTAAAATGGGATCATCAAACCCCCTTTGTGAATTGTAAAGATGCAAGTGCTTTATCAACTGTGAAGGACCCCATGTAACTCAATAAATTATTAGTGTTCTGATTGCCACAACAATTTCTTATCTTTCTTGGTTTTGCCCTACTACCACAATTTATTGGAGGCCAAATTTCGACCCATGGGGTAAAGCATAAAATCGTTTTACCAGCACGTTTTCACCAGTAGGGTTGGGACACCAAACTATCAGCAAGCAAATATGAGCCGATACACTGGCCTGGTATTGTCGTTGCATTTGACCCTTTTCTTAGCAAACCTGTCATTACTAGCATGCTAAGAAAAAGCATGGTGGAGTGCCTGTTCTTTTTTGCTCTTGTTTGGTGGCGTGGCTTAGGAAATTGCTGACTACTCATTTTTCAGTCCTCAGTTGAAATGTTTCCTGCCCGGGGAAGCTTTCCCTGGATTTTCCCGCCCCATTCTCCATGCTTCCTAGATTGGGTTTGGTGTGTGCTTCCATGGCAGTCTGTGCTTCTCGTATGCTTTTAGTTTTTACCACACTTTATGTCATTACTTATTTAATTATTTATCTTTCTAAGCTCAGTGGAGCCAAGTACCTGGCTTTCTTACTGTTTTCCCTGTATGGTTCTAATATGGTAGTCACTTAATTATTTATTGAATGGCTTAATTGAATAATGTGGCCTATGCTGGGAGCTGTGGTGTGCACCTATAGTTTCAGCTACTTGGGAGGCTGAGTGGGGAGGATGCCTGGAGCTCAGGAGTTCAAGACCAGCCAAGGGAACATAGTAAGACCTTGTCTCTAAAAATACAAACATAATGCAGCCTAGATCAGTTGCCTCATTTCATTTCTTTTTATCAATCTAATTCTTCAAGCCCTTCCTTTCACCTTTCCTAGAACAGAGGTATGAATTAAAAGGAACCTATTCTCAACTGTGCATTTCAGTCTTGTCCTTTATTTTAATTATATGCATTTGTTGATAATTAGATCTATTTTTCCTTTCTAATATTAAAAGTCTTTTTTTTTTTCAGTAAAAAAATTCAGTAATTTGATTTTCTAAAGGAGAGGTTGAATTTGAATAACTTCGCTAGAGGGCTGTTCCCAAAGGACACAAGGCTAAACATGAATTCCTAAGTTAGATCAGGGATGTCTAAATCCTATCTGAGGTGTTTGCCTCAGGGCCTAGGCACTTGAAAGTGTACTGCACTGAAGCTGGTGAACTGATCCCACTGATTTCATTCTGATGTTCAGCTATGATCTTTCAGCTATAAATCCCTGGCCCATGCATGGAGTATCTTGTAATACTGAAATTACTCCAAGTATTTTGGTCTTAAAGAATAAGTGTATTAAAATTCTGTCTCTGACGTATTACTATTATTTGTTTATTGTTTTGCTAAAGAAGAAACAGGGAATACTTTAGAGCTTTTGAAAAGTAATTTGTAGTGACTTGTGGCCTCTCTGTGATTTTCTTGCCTTTCTGATCTCAGGTACCTTTGTGCATCGACTCCTCCAATTTTGCTGTGATTGAAGCTGGGTTAAAGTGCTGCCAAGGGAAGTGCATTGTCAATAGCATTAGTCTGAAGGAAGGAGAGGATGACTTCTTGGAGAAGGCCAGGAAGATTAAAAAGTTTGGAGCTGCTATGGTGGTCATGGCTTTTGATGAAGAAGGACAGGTGAGTGATTTCTTTTGGCCTAATCCATTGTGTTACCCAGGTTAGAATGCAAGTCTGAAACAGCTACATATATATGTACACATATACATGTATCTCTTTCTGTATACATTCATATACATATGCGTACATGTATCTGTATACAGTCATACATCATGTATTACTTAACAATGGAGATATGGTCTGAGAAATACATCATTAGGTGATTTTGTCATTGTGCCAACATCCTAGAGTGTATTTACACCAACCTAGATGGGATAGCCTACTACACACATAAGCTAGATGGTATAGTGTATTGTTCCTATGTCATAAGCTAGTGTAGCATGTTACCATACTGAATACTGTAGGCAACTGTAACAAAGTGATAGGTATTTGTGTATCTAAATGTATCGAAACATAGAAAATTTACAGTAAAAATACAGTATTATAACCTTAGGGAACCATTGTTGTTTATATGATCCATCATTGATTTAAGTGTCCTTATGTGGTCAATGACGGTATATGAAAATCTGATATATAGTAAAGTCTTTGTATTCATGAAGAAAGGTTGAAGTATTCAGGAAATGCTGTTGGGACGACTGGCTATGCATCTGGAAGAAAATAAAGTTAGATTCCCATTTCCAACCATATACTAAAATAAAGTTAGCTATTTGCAACATGAATAATAGTAGTGGGTGAATATTCCTAATATGCAAAGTTTCTGTAAGTTGGAAAGCAAAACACCCCAGTCAACCCAATAGGAAAATGGACAAAGGAAATGAGTAACAGTTTATATAAAAATAAATAACAAATAGCCAATAAACTTATGAGAAGATACTAACGTTTGTAAGCATTAAAGAAATAAAAAATAAAGAAATAATGAGATTAGTTTCCTTTACCAAATAGAAGAAAAAATTAGAAGATTGATAAATGGCAGCCTTCATAATACCTCTGCCATAGAATCAGGGTGGGGCACATGGGAAGCTTCAGATATAATAATAATTCAACTATGTGATAAACTGATTATTGTTACGTTTTATACTTTACATAACTTTTCATGTATATTTTGGTACCTATTTAAAACCACTAAAAAATCTGTTTCTTATTATTAAGCTCTTCTGGGAATCTAGTAATAAGGTTGAGTATATAAGGATATATGTTCACATTTATTGTAGCATTGTGGTAGCAATAAGCTAAGAACACTAAATGTCAATTACTAGGGGAATGCTTAAACCTTGGTCCTTACTACATAGAATACTGTGCAGCAGTTAAAAAGAATCAGGAGATGGAACCATGTCTTCAATATATTGAAAAATGAAAAAAGTGAGTGACATGATCCCAATTTTACTTAATATAAAAGTACTTACATTTACGTATGTGTGTCTGTATAAGCAGAGAAAAGAATTTGATGGTTGTCAACTGGGGTAGTAGGGATGGTCTGAGTTGGGGATGGTCTCAAATGGGGACATACTGACCGAACAAGTAATGGGATTATATGTACTTTTTCTTTCCTTTCTGTCTTTCTTTGTTTTTAAATGTATTTTTTTGTATGAAAGATACATTTTCTTTCATTGTGAAAAAATTCAAATCATCCAGAAGAATGCAAAAGAGAGAGAATTTTGATCGTTAACATATATTGAACCTTAATTCACACCAAGCAAGTACACAACACACATTAAATCACTTCTTCCTCCAAGCATATAAACCGTGGGTGTGTATTCTTGTTATTTTTGAATGTCATGTGAGGAAACTAAAGCACAGAGATGTCCCAGGACTTGCAGTTGTCACACAGCTAACAGTTTGCAGTGCTGGGATTCAGGTCTAGGTGATCTGGTTTCATTCTTCAGGGCCTGTGCTAAAGGGTCGAGTGAAAAGGCTGTCAGGGAAGAGTTGGCCTGTTTAGAAGAGGTGGTCTTGTAAGATCCGTCTGAGGAGGGAACATTTGAAAACCGGAGTAAAATGAGAGAGCAAGCCACATGGCCATGTGGGGAAAGAGCAAAAGAGGTTTCAGCAAATGAAAACTTTTATAAGATGAGATTATACCTGGTATTCTGTAACTCTTTTCCCCTACTCAACATAATGTTGGCATTTTCCCATCTTAGTGAATAGGGATTAAAACTCCATGGTTTCTGGTTGCATTGCATTCTGGTATGTTTTACTTACTATCTATTATTGAATGAAATTGTGTTTCTAATATTTTAGTAGCATGAACAGTTCAGTGACCAATGAATATCCTAATTCATGCAGCTATTTCCCCTTGTAAATGATTTTTCTTAGAGTCAGTTCATTGAAGTGGGATTGCTATGTCAGAGAGTGCACGCATTTACTATTCTGAGACACATTGTTAAAACTGTCCATCTGAAAAGTTGTTATCTTCCACTAGAAGTTTAGTGTGGTATGGGACCTTTTGATAATTGTATTTTCTGCAGATAGGCAAATAGTTCCGTAAACAAAAAGGAAAACAAAAACCCTCAGCCTTCTAGATCCTGAGGCAGCCACTTTCAGCTTTTTAAGCTGATTCTTGTAGCATCTACCTCTTTATCTTCAAATTCCAGTTTTAGTTTTTATTTATTGACTTCCTACAATGATTAAAGGTTTTTTAGCTTTTCACCATCCACTGCCCTGACTCTGTACAGCTTTACTTTTATCCTTCCCAGTATAGTTCATTTTAGCTATAATCGTTTTCAGTGCTTACATTATTAAACAGTATAAAAGCTGAGCCATGCAATAGTATACTATGATTGCTTATCCTTTCTTACTCTTTATTTGTTTTCTATGAAGGTAATACTTACCTTTTTGTTTGTATTGTTTTCTATGTATTTCGCCTTCAGATTGTACCCCAGTTGTGTAAACCTCCAATATCCAATGTAGCCAGACACATTAAGAGGACTGTCATACTACTTTTTTGAAGAATTCTCCCTCCAAGTCTTCTGACATGACCCGGAACGGCTGCTCAGTAGGCCAGCTGCACAGCTGTGACCTTCCTCCTGGGGTTCCATTTGCCTTTCTCTTAGGTTTTTAGAACTCATAATTTCCTCATTCTTGGTTAACTTTTTGTTTGGGTCATTTGGTAGAGTACATTCTCTGGTAGCTTCTTGTGAAAGAAAGCATGGCAGTAAATATTTTTGAAATCTTACGTGTCAGAAAATGGCCGTATTCTACTTTTACACTTAATTGGCAGTTGTATGGGCATAGGAGTGCAAACTTGAAGTTGTTCTGTGTTTTCAAAATACTGCTCTTTTGTCTTCTGGTTCCCACTGGTATTGGTAAGAAGTCCAGTGCTGTTCTAACTCTTGATTATTTTTGTGAAACTTGTTTTTCTATTCTCTGGACGCTTTGGGAATCTTTTGTGTCCTCTGTGTTCTGAATTCTTGCGATGATGAGCCATCCATTATGCTGGCACTCAGTAGGCCTTTCATTTGTGAAAGTCACAGCTGCAGTGGTAGGAAGTGTCCTTGGATTGTTTTATTTTCTTTTTTGGTACATGTATTATTGAGATATTGAATGTTTTGGACAGATTGTCTAATTTTCTTATATTTCTCTCCTATTTTCCAACTCTGGTATTGTACTCTGTATCGGGTGAGATTTTCATATCTACATTTATCCTCCAGACCCTCTATTTAGAGTTTTATTTCTTCTTTTTCCAGAAGCTCTTTTTTTGTTATCTGAATGTTCCTTTTAACAATATATATAGTGGGCTGGGCATGGTGGCTCACGCCTGTAATCTCAGCACTTTGGGAGGCCGAGGCGGGCGAATCATGAGGTCAGGAGATCGAGACCATCCTGGCTAACACGGTGAAGCCCCGTCTCTACTAAATATACAAAAAATTAGCCGGGTGTAGTGGCGGGTGCCTGTAGTCCCAGCTACTCAGGAGGCTGAGGCAGGAGAATGGCTTGAACCTGGGAGGCGGAGCTTGCAGTGAGCCGAGATCGCGCCACTGCACTCTAGCCTGGGCGACAGAGCGAGACTCTGTCTCAAAAAAAAAAAAAAAAAAAAAAACCGGATATATATAGCAACTTGTTACTTTTTAATGAGGCAAATATCTTCAAATATATCCTGAGCACTTACTATGTGCCAGACCCTATTCTAATCTCTGAGGAGACAGCAGAGAATACACCCTAGTCCCTGTTCATGTACGATTTATATTCTTAGGGACAAAGGGAATAACACATTTTAAAAAAATGTATATATATATGAATAATTGGCCAGGTGTGGTGGCTCACACCTGTAATCCCAACACTTTGGGAGGCTGAGGCAGGTGGATCACCTGAATTCAGGAGTTCGAATTCAGACTAGCCTGGCCAACGTGGTGAAACCCCGTCTCTACTAAATACAAAAATTAGCCAGATGTGGTAATGCATGCCCGTAATCTTAGCTACTGGAGAGGCTGAGGCATGAGAATTACTTGAACCCAGGAGACTGAGGTTACAGTGAGGTGAGATCGCACCACTGCACTCCAGCCTGGGTGACAGAGTTAGACTCTGTCTCCAAAAAAAAAAATAATAATAATAATAATAAACGTGTGTGTGTGTATACACACATTGAATGGTATTGAATACGGTGAAGGGAAATGAAGAGTATTTGATCCCCCCTCAGCGTGGAGATGGGGGAATATTATTTTATGTAGGATAGTTTGGGAAGGCCTCATGGACATGTGACATTTTAGCAGAAGCCTAGGTGAGCCGTGTGAAAATGTGGGGGAATAGTGTTCTTTGCAGAGGGAATCTTGGGGTAGATAGATGCTTGTCGTGTTTGAAAACCAACAGGGAAGCCAGAGTAGCTGGAGCAGAGGGGAGAGGAGGAGATTGGGAAGATACAAGGTTGGAAAGGTGGCACGTCAAATCACATAGGGCCTTGGCGGCCTTTCTTCACACTTTTGGTTAACATTGTTACCCAGTGTGAGTGGGGACACCATGGAAAAGTTTTGAACAGAGGGGTAAATATGATCTGACTCATGTTTAAACCCTCTGGTCCTTTGTGGAGAATGGTCTGTTAGGGCCAAAGCAGAAATGTTAGAGTTTATTGCTCTCATTCAGATGAGATATGGTGATGGTTAGGGCCACGGTGAAAGCAAAAGAGGATGTTAAAAATCATCTGTTTCTACATATATTTTTAACATAGAGCCAATAGGATTTGCATTCACATTGAGTATAGGTTGTGAAGGAAAGAGGAGTCAGGGATAATTTTAGAATTTGTTGGCTTGGGCAATTGAAAGGAAGGAGCTACTGAGGTAAGAAAGACTTTGAGAAGCAGATTTGGGCTGGGGTAAGGAGAAGTTTGGGTTTGGACATAGTATGTGGTGGGCATGTCGAGTGTGCAGTTGTGTAAATGAGTGGATTTTGTGGGCAAAGTCTGGCTTGAAGATAGGATTCCTTTATTTGGGAATTATTTGTACATGCTATTTAAAGCAGTGAGACTGGCTGAGCTCACCAAAGGAATGACTGTAGAGAAGTCCTAGGAGTAAGTGAGTCTTAGAACCACAGTGCTTAGCGCACTGGGGAGAAGAGGAAACACCATCAGAAGGATATGAGAAGGAGCAGCCTACATGGTAGGAGGGGAGTTAGAAGAGAGAGTTCCCTTAGAAGCCAAGTGAAGAACAAGCGTCAAAGAAAAGGGCATGATCAGCTGTTTAAAGAGTTGTGGATAGACCAAGTGGGATGAGACCAAGGGTTTACCATTGGATTAGAAATGGGGTCATTTGTGATCTTGCTGTACTGTTTCCAAGGAGATGAAAGCTTTATTGGAGTGGATTTAGAGAGAATAGGAGAAGAATAGAAGCAGCAGTATAGGCAACTTTTTACAGTTCTGCCATAAAGGGGAGCAAAGAAATAGGGTGGAAACCAGGGGGGAAATACGAAGTTAAGAAAGGATGTGTGTTTATGTATATATGTGTGTGTGTGTGTGTGTGTGTGTATGTGTGTGTGTAGATTCTGTGACAGCATGTTTTTGTAAGCTGATGAGAATGATCTGGGAGAGAGAGGGAGGAATTGATGCAGGAGAGAAAGGAGGCATTTGCCAGAGCCATGACCTTGTGAGTTGAGAGAGATGGCAATCACTGTGTGAGTGGAGGGGTGGCTTTAGATCAGTAGCTGGGCAGTTTGCTCAAAGTGCAAAAGAGAAGGCAGAGTAAAGAGTGCAGATCTGCAGGCATGCTGGTTGATGTGCTGGCGGGAGTCTATAATTGCTTCTGTTTTCTCGGTGAAGTTGGAAGCAAGGTCAATTCAGAGTGAGAATGGAATGTTGCGCCTTAGGGATCTGTGGTGCTTAACCAGGAGTGCAAAGCAGACTCACTGTAACAGGGAAGGGCAGTCACTGCTGGAGCTTTTGAAAAAACATACACACCCCTGGACTTCAGCCCTTGAGTTTTGACTCATTTGGTCTGGGATGAGGCCTGGCTTTAGACATTTTAAAGCCTTAGAGGTGATTCTGATGTATCTTTTGGTTGAAAACCACCAGCAGAGGTTATTTAATTTAGTCTTCAGAGTAACCACTGAGGTGGCAGCCATCCCGTTTTACAGTGGACCAGTGTCATGTCTAGGACATGGTGGAACCAAGTTTTTACCCTTGGTCTTCCTCATTTGAAGATGGGTGTATGCTTCCAAATCCTATGTTCACCCTGTGCTTTGTTTATTGGCACTGCTTAGTGCTTGGTCTTGTCTAAGGATAGGTTTTCCCAATTTAGACTTGACTGTGACCACAAATTAAAAGCAAATGTAGGAAAACAAAATAACCTGCTAGTTATGAAATATATACAAATTAGAGCAGCCTTAAGGTAATGTTTTATCCCTACTAAATTAGTAAAGTTAAAAATGGTCAAGGTCTATGTAGATACAGCAGTGATATAACTGAAGCCTCGTTTGTTGCAGAGTGTAGTGTAAACTGGTACAGTCCTTTTGAAAGAGAATATTAATACCTGTCAAGAGACAAAAAATTGTTTATACCCCTTGAGCTCATAATCTTATTTCTGGGCAATTATTCCAACAAAAGAATTCAGCAGCGTAAGGATACTATATATGCCAAGATTTTACACCAACATTATTGAAAATATAACAGCCCAAGTGCCCAACTGAAGAGAAATAGATAACTTAGGTAACATAATTTTACTGGACTGTTCTCCAGAACATTTAAATATTATACAGATTATGGAGTTGCATGTATGCTCACTGTCAAATTGTCATAAATATTGAAAATTATAAGAAGCAAAGCAAAAATCCTGTATACTTTCAAAGTTAAGAAGCCAGCAATGCAGGTATTTTTTATATAAAGGCATGTTTTCTGTTGATTGAGTTGTCATAATGCTCTTGGATGTAGCAATCAGTTAAGAACCGGAATTTGCTTTGCTTGGATTGACACCACTGATTATAGGGGAAAAACAACAACTCCCTCAAATGGGAAGCTACTGTTGCGGCTAAGCAAGGCACACCAGCTTTGTTTCAATAGCTGGCTGCTGTGTTGGAGTCTTTGGTTAATGTCTGTGATCCATGTTGCAAACAAAACTGCAAGGTCAAGACCAGATACGACAGGAGGCTGGGCCTGAGACTTCTGGATTGAAAGGCAACGAGAAAGCATTTCTGTGTTTTTCATTGTTGCTGATAGTTTTGACCAGCTGTTATTCTTAGCTCTACATAACAAGATACAGGACACCTTTATTATTGAAATTTCTATGGGACAAGTATACTGACTCTAGATTTAGTTCTCTTTTTCTAAATGAAATGATTTTTAATTTTTTTCATATAATCCATAGGTTCACAAAAATGACTTTTTTGTATGACAATTTTTGATAATGTGAAGTTTCTTAGAAATATAATTATCACATAATAGCAGAATAGTCTATATTAGTTTTTGTTTGCACATGTGTAAACTATATAAAAGAATAATCAATATATGCAACACATTTTCCTTTTTTTTGGTTTTCTTGTTTTAAAATGATTTGAAAATAAATTTCTAATTATGAGAACCATTGGATCTTGATTAATATCTAAATAATCCTAACCTACAAGATAACAAGGAATTGGTATCTTGCCAATGTTTAGATTTGTCTCTGAGGAACGTGGAATGTCTTTCCAATTACTCATTCGATGGAGTTGTGTAATTATCCCTAAATAGGAAATCTCTAGATCATTCCTATGTGTTTTGTTTGTTGTTTTTATTGTAAGTGACATATTTTTTCTTTGGTAGATTTTTTCCCTTTGGTTGTGATTTTTAGATTTTTTCCTTTGGACACTTCCTTTTCTTCAGTGTTTACCTTCCTGCTTGTCACTGTCTCTCTTGAAAGGCACAAATATCCATTTCTATCACTTCTGGTTTTTTTTGTGTTTGTTTTTGTTTTTTTTGAGATCAAGTCTCACTCCGTCATCCAGGCTGAAGTGCAGTAGCACGACCTCAGCTCTGCAACCTCCGCTTCCTGGGTTCAAGCAATTCTCCTGGCTTAGCCTCCCAAGTAGCTAGGACTACAGGCGTGTGCCACCACAACTGGCTAATTTTTGTATTTTTAGTAGAGGTGGTTTTTCACCATGTTGGCCAAGCTGTTCTCAAACACCTGACCTCAGGTGATCCACCTGCCTCAGCCTGTCAAAGTGCCGGGATTACAGATGTGAGCCACTGCACTGGGCCGGACCACTTCTTTTTTTAACTACAGTCCCAGAATGGGCCTCTGCTTCCTCCAGGGTTCTCTTGCCCATCTTCAACTAGTTCAGTTGGATTTTAAAACTTTAACTCACCTCTGAAGTTAGCCCTGTTCCATCTCTGCTCCTTTTCAGACTACATTAAAGAATCTAGGTTCTTTAAAGAATCAACATTAAAGAATCTACACATTGTCCTTCTCTTCCTTACAGTATCTGCCTTGATGACTAAATCAAAAATTGTTTTATTGCATTACTCCCTGAGTGTCTGGTATTTTAGCAAAATCTGAGCCATGAGCTTCTTAAGAAGTAAAGCCTTGTACTCACTGGTCACAGTCTAGCTTCTCTATGGCTTAAGAGTTTGATAAAGCTATACATGGCATTTATTCCTTCCTTCTTGCTGCTCAGAGTATCACTGAGTTTTTCTTCTACTCCAGCTGAGAAGGTGCCACATCTCACCTGTCAGTGGTTCTCACCTGGCTTTACATTAGCATCACTAAGGGGCTTTTACAAAACACTTGCTGAGGCCTCATCTCCAGATTCTGATTTAACTGGTTCAGGGTGAGGTGTTACTATTATAAAAAACAAGCAAACAGAAATCCCTCTGGGTTATTGTAATGTGCAGCCAGGGTTGAAAGCCCTTCCTGATGGAGTAAAGCTCCCGTTCTGTTGTTTTACTGAACTTCTATTCTGGATCTGTGAAATCCACAAGCACGATTGAGGCTTTATTGGTGTGTCTGTCCCACAGCTCTGGTGAGGGGTAAGACAGAAGCTTGGTGAACCTAACATGATATGACCTGCTCCTGACAAAGGCCTGTAAACCAACGCTGTGTTCACTCTGAGAGTCATTATTTAATCAAGTGACAGAGGTTGAGTGACACTCAACCACTGTTGCACAGGGTTGTGCAACCCTGTGGCACAGATACTGTGCTAGGCACCATGAGAACAATTTGACAAGGGCTTCATGCTTATGGAGGTTAGAGTTGATGACTCTGTTTTGGTTCTAGAAATGAATTCCTGTCCTGAGGATGCTCCTGCTTGTCCCACAAGCAAGGCTGTCTTTGGTACACAGCTGGGCCCTACACCCTACTCTCCTGTGGGTAACATACTGTTCACTTCAACCTGCCCTGCTTGGCCAGATAATATTCATGGCTTAGGAGAGAAATGACCAGGACCTTGACTTCTTCATCTACCAACCAGACTAGGTTACTCAGTAATACTAGTGGCACTGGTCGTCCCTGTGCCTTCTCTCATAGTGAGCTTAGCTCAGCCATGAACCTAGAGCCTAGAACTCTATTGGGCTGTCTGGTGAAGGGTGAGCTTTAAAAATTCAAGACTAAAGGCAGCTGCAAATGACCTGTTTCTGACCAGTTTTTTCTGACACACATCTCAGTCTCAACCTTTAACCTTTTCACTCTAACTGAAGGCAGAGGAAGTAAGCATTGAGAAAATTCCATTAAGGAAGACGAAAGCTCGCCACCTTCCCTAAAGCCTGGGTGCAGTGAGGCCACAAAGACTACTTCCTGTCTCCCTTTCCCTGGGCCGCTTTGTCTGCTGACTCCTAGAGACACTTCCCTCCCAAGTAGAGGTGAAATCTCACCCCAGCAGCTGCCCGGAGCGATTAAAGAGACCAAAGAAAACAGTTGAAAAAGAATACCAAAGTAGTAAGTGATCAAAAGATTAGATCTAAGAGAGTTCTTTTCATAATTCCCCTACTCCTCATTTCTGTTGTCTAGGGCCTCACTAGATGCACTTGACCTATGTCAGTGTCCCCACCCCCTCATCTCCACAGAAGTCTGCAATGCAGATTGCAGTAGGGTTGGCCATTTTTCAGGAATGTTTTTCACATTCATTGAGAATTGACCTTCAGAATTGTGACTAATTTTTTCTTATCACTCTAGTGATAGCAAGCAATCGTTTTTAAGAGTAGATTTGATTTTTCATACAACCAGAAATCATTCAGGATGTAATTTGGTAAATACCCTGTGTTGAGGTTGTAAATTTGATCTGAAGACAGTTTCCATGACAAAGTTCAGAAATGCTTTGAGTAAAAGCAGCATTCATACATAATGTTGAGCACGTACGTTGACAGGCACTGCTCTGGGCACTGGGGATACAACAAGACTGGCATTCCAGCTAGGAGAGAGGAGTTTACCAATTAATAAGTAACAAAACAGCCAAAAATACTAAAGATGTTGCTAAAATAATACAATTTCTGGAAAGAAATACTCTGAAGAAGAGTGGAGGAGGTGAGGAAGGGTGGAAGTGGCTGGTTTAGGGAGGGTGATTTAAGGTAGGCTCTGAAAAGGGGGCCCTTGGGCAGAAGCCTGAGTCCTATAAAGCACAAGGCCATGTCACAGTATGTTCTGGGTAGTGGCAGCAATAAATGAAAATTGCAGAGGGAGGAATAAGCTTGGCGGGTTTCAGAAACACCAAAGGAGCAATGTAGGGGTCGCGGAGTAGAGGAGAGGGCACATGGTAGGAGATGAGATTGGAGATGTAGGCCAAGATTCTGAGGCTGATGTGAAGCAGCTGGGGGATTGGGGGATGAGTGTTGCTGGAGTCAGTGTTTTGCCTTTTAGGGACATTATTTTGAAGGTAAAGACTAATTTGTATTTATGACTTAAGACACATGTTAAGCCAGTGTTATAATGGGTGGAGGTGAGGAATAAATGCATATCCTTGAATACACTTAGAGTGTTCTTGCAAAAAGATCTGAGAAAGCAGTGGCAGTGTGAACTGGGTGATAGGTTGTGACACTGCTGGCAGGTCAAGAGAGGAAGGGGCACTTACGTTAATCTCTTCTTTAGTAATATTTGATTTTTTATCATATGCATGTATTTTTTAGAAGCTTTTTCATAATATACCACGTGTGTATATGTATAAGATTTGATTTTTTTGCGGAAAGTATAGCTGCTGTGTTTGTGAACACAGAAAGAGATCTTTAAACCAACCTCTCCTCTGAGATAATTTGATAAGTGATCGGAAGCTACTTGGCATTTAGATTTCTGTGAAATCCAAGCATTGACACTTGAGTGTTTTCAATGAGTGAAATGTGCTCTAATAGATAACACTTAATATTTTAATATTAATATTTTATTAAAATAAAATAACAGGTGTTTAATATTAATATTTTAATAGATATTTAATTTTTCTATTTCAAACTACATCTTTTGCTCTTTTCTCTAGGCAACGGAAACAGACACGAAAATCAGAGTGTGTACCCGGGCCTACCATCTTCTTGTGAAAAAACTGGGCTTTAATCCAAATGACATCATTTTTGACCCTAATATCCTAACCATTGGGACTGGAATGGAAGAACACAACTTGTATGCCATTAATTTTATCCATGCAACAAAAGTCATTAAAGTAAGTGTAGACATTTTCTCTCCCAAGTCATGGCTCAAATTCGTCCCATGGGTCTAATGAATGGTTAGAGCTGACATATATTTATTGGCTGAAATGTTAACATTCTTGTTCTTAGTAAATAGTTTTTCTGAAATGTAGGAGACCTTATTTTTTTTTTTTCTTTAGTGGAGTTTTAACTTGTGTAACCAACAAACTGTAGAATATAACAGAGCCTGATGAACTCGCTTGAACCCAGGATGGTGGAGGTTGCGGTGAGCCGGGATCACGCCACTGCACTCTAGCCTGGGCAACAGAGTGAGACCCTGTCTTGAACAAAACGAAACCAAACAAAAAACCACAGAACCTAAGAAATAATTAATTATGAAGCATATGAGAGCCTTCATTTAGGTCCCAAAATAGAGCATAGCGAGCGCCCTCATCTGTCTCTCCTTTTGCAGTTACACCTCATTCTCAATTTTATAAAGTAGCCATCGTCCTGAGTTTTATGACGCTACTCTGTTGCTTTTCTTCATAAATTTATTGCTTATACACGTAGATTTGATTTGCATCATCCATGGATTTTGTATTTGCAAATTCATACACTCACTGAAGTTTATTTGTGACCCCAAAATCAATACGTCACTTCTGCAGTTATTTAGACATACCCATATGCAGAGTGGTGGAAAATTTGAGTGGCCCAACCCATATTGTTCCCAAAGAGGTCAAACATGGCAGTGACCTACTTTCTTATTTCAGCTCTCGTCGTGTACACAGATGTCCTTTTTGCAGTCTAATGCCATATTTTTCACATTTTTGTGCTTTTTGTTGGTGAGGTCACTTTTTAAAATGGCCCCATACTAGTGCTGTCTAGTGTTCCTAAGTGCAAGAAGGCTGTGATGTGCCTTATGGAGGAAATATGTGTGTTAGACAAGCTTTGTTCAGACATGCGTTATAGTGCCATTGGCTGTGAATTCAGTGTTAATTAATCAACAATAAATATTAGATAAAGTATCTTAACATGAACACACAGAACAAGGTTATGTATTCATTGGTAACCCTGTATTTCTCCTAGGAGCAATGCTCTGGTATTCCCTAATTTAGTGTTTGCAGTGACCTTAAGGAACATAACTACCACAAAATAATAAGAATTGACTGAATATCTGAATGATATAGTTTGGTTTTGTCTGCTTTTGAGCCTAATAAAAAGAATCATAATATTTTTATGCTTTTTTTTCTTGCTCAACTTCATTCTAAAGATTTATCTGTGTGTCTGTAGCTGTTTGTTCATTTTTATTAATGTATAATATTCTGTGGTATAACTATACCACAATTAACTGTTCTGTTGTTAATGGACATCTAGTTTCCAGCTTTTGGACATTATGAACAATGCTGCTCTGAGTATTCTTATATATGTATCTTAGACATACATGCCTGAGCTTCTCTGTAGCATATACCCAGAAGTGGAATGGTTGGCTCATAGTAGTAGATAATGACAAACTGTCTCCCTAGATTCTTGAGCCAATAATAGTAAGTGAGAGTTCCTGTCATTCCACATGTCTGATGATGCTTGTTATTGTTATCGGTATGGTTGGAACTTCAATTTCCTTTTGTCCTTTTATAGTTGGTCAAGTTTATAGTGAACTAGGGAGTTTGTTCATTTAGGCTATGGAAGCCTTCTAGTAATTTGTACGTTTAATGAATAGGGAATTCCTCTTTGTCTTTCTGTGTGTGTGTGTGTGTGTGTGTGTGTGTGTGTTTGTGTGTGTGTATGTGTGTACTCACGTGTTTTCCGTAGGGAGAATGGAGTCTAGTAGGAAAAACTACTTATGAAGCAGCACCTTTGTGATACCATAATACAGCAAGCTTTGCTCTATGTCTAGTAACAGGAAGCTCTGAATTACTTTGAACTTCGGATGGTTTTTGTTTTTTGTTTTTTTTCTCTCGACTCCTATATAAAGTTTAAGAGATGTGATTGCTGTTTTTAGCAAAAAGGGGAATCTTTTCATGTTTTAAAATTTTTGCCAGGAAACATTACCTGGAGCCAGAATAAGTGGAGGTCTTTCCAACTTGTCCTTCTCCTTCCGAGGAATGGAAGCCATTCGAGAAGCAATGCATGGGGTTTTCCTTTACCATGCAATCAAGGTATGGTAGAAGAACTCTTTGTCCTGCGGAAACCAGCTTTTACTTGGGGTAGGGGTTTTCAAAGTGTGGCATCTAGGCTAAGTCTGGCCTGCTCCCAGTTTCTGTAAATAAGATTTTATTGGGATAGACCCACACCCATTCACTTGTATCTTGTCTGTGGCTGCTTTTATGCTGTAACTGCAAAGTTGAGTAGCTGTGACAGAGGCTATGGCCTAAAATAGTTTCTATCTAGCCCTTTACAGAGAAAAGTTTGCTGATCGCTGACTTAGGGTATCACTGTAAATTCTCATTTTTATTTGTATTGCCCTTAGTCTGGCATGGACATGGGGATAGTGAATGCTGGAAACCTCCCTGTGTATGATGATATCCATAAGGAACTTCTGCAGCTCTGTGAAGATCTCATCTGGAATAAAGACCCTGAGGCCACGGAGAAGCTCTTACGTTATGCCCAGGTAGACAGACAAGTGTTCTAATGGATGGATTTTTCCTGTCTTTGAATGTATTACTCACCCACAGTTAGTAGACCTTCATTGTGGAATAGAAGCAAATATCGAATCATATGTTTAGATCACTGAAGATTTCTACAGAGAGTTGCAGAGATGGTGGTGTAGCTAGGGCAAGGAAGGATAAACAGACCATGCCTAGGCTGCTTCCGTATTCTGGACTTAGGTTTCTTTAAGTTTATTTTAAAATGTAAAATTTATTTTTCTTGTACCAAGTAACATATTAGTTCTAGAAAATTTACAAAATTCTGGTAAGCAAAGGAAGAAAATAAAAATCACTTGTAATCCTACCACCCAAAGTTAAACACTTGAGACTTTGTTATAACCTTTAAGTAACGGGAGTTTTTTTTTTTTTCTCTTTGCAAAATGAATATGCATGCATAGGTACATGTACACACATTTTTTTTTTTACAAAAATAGAAGTATAGATGCTTTTATGGTAATATTTTTTTCTTAGCAGTGTACTGGGAACATATTTCCATTTTACTTGATATTTTTCTACCTCATTATTTGAAATAGCTGTTCTGGATTTTCTTGTGTGGCTGTGTTAGCATTACGTGGTCCCCAATGTTACGTGTTTTGGTTTGTATATCTGTTTATGTTAGGATCTAGTCCATCTGTGGCAAAGTTCTGCAGTTCAAGGCTTGAAGTCTGTGCACATTTGATCTGTAAAAAATGAGTATAATTATAGCTAATTCAAATACCAGCTTGTTTCTCACTTACATGTTGGGCGCAGTCCTAGGCACATGAAGTATCTATCATAGATGCTGCTTCCTAGAATTCAGTTTAAGGAAAGTTGAGATCTTTACCTCAAAAGAACTTGCATTTTAATCTGTTTCAGAGAATGATGGCAAAGGAAGACATTTTTCCGACAAAGCATGTTGAGAAAGTGGTAGGATGCTTTTGTGTCTCTTGCCAACTTTGTTAATATTTTCCATGTTAGAATCTGAATTTAGCTCTGATAGAACAGCCAACTTTTCCTCTTCTACAGAAGAGTAATAAAATGCTCCGGAAGAAGGATAGGGCACGCTGAGAGTAACCACATCCTTGTTTTATCCGCCTTACTGGTAGTAAGACTTAGATTTCTGAAATTGCTTATGGAAGCCTTAGGCTCAACAAAGCTGAAAGGAGTTCAGACACTGTGCCAAAGCTCACATGACCCTCCTCTCAGTTCCTTAAAAACATTTCTAGTTTCTCATGTGGACCCAGGACAGAATGTCTCATTTGGTTGTGGCAGATATAATCAAGTTCTACTTCTCAGCACATTACTTAGGAAACATTCCATAGATTTTAATTTTTTTTCCTATTAACCGTTTTTGTTCACATAGACAGAGTGCTTAGTCCTGTCTTATTCTTTGAACGCTGAGACATGGGCGTTAAACACTATTCAGTTTTGAGTCATGGTCCATCTTCTACCTAGTAGGGGGCCCTTCATTAATAACTGTCAGAGAGTTCTGTTGCAGGCCAAAGGGGCATCATAGCCTCTATTGTCATGAAGTTATTTTAGACAGTTCTTAATTAACCCGTGAAATGATGTGTTTTTATCTTTTCCGTGATCTATCCAGAGGAGGCAGCCCTGTCACTTAGGAAAGGGGCTCCTTATTTGTAAGACCATTCCCATTTCAGGTTTTTTTAGCATTGTATTTTGTGCTAGACATTCTTTTGGTCTGTACTCTCTTAGCGATTGTTTACAAGCTTTCATTTCTGTATGTCATGCTGAGCTGCCAAGAGGTTTTGCCCCTGGAGGCACTGTCAAAGTGAGGGAAATCTTAATAGCAATTGCAAGAGCTTAACAATTCATCATAGAAGAATTTCCTCATTCTTAATGTAACCATGAGGGCTTCTCATAAGCCACTGATCTCTCTGTCAGGGAGGCTGTCTACCTTCAAGGTGACTTCCGTTGCCATTAAGAGAATTAATAACCAAAACAGGTATCCTCTAATAACTCCTGGGAGTCACCAGCTCTGTAGCAATTCCTTAGGATGCGCTGAGTGCAAATGGAGCACGAAGAGCAGGAATATTATGAGGCAAATAAGAGTCAAGGGATTTTTTCTCTTTTATAAGAGAATGATCTCTTTCAGTTATTGCAAATGAGGAAGTCTGCACCCAGATTTCTGTCTGATATATTATTGAAACTGGTGGGAAGAGTACTGCCTCTCATCTTCCAAGACTCTCTAATCTCACGTTTGGGGAGGAATGGGATTTTTCTGAAAAATAATTTTCCTGATTGAGTTCAGACTGACCTGTGGTAAGTAAATTATTTTTGACAATAAAAATTTCCAGATACCATGTAATTTACGTGGAGGATCTTTATTAAATGGTACCCTAATGGAGGCCAGGCCTCCTGTGGAGTGGAAGGATTGCTGCTCTGGATAGAATGGATGTGGAATGACCCTGGAGCTTGAGAATATTCTTGATACTTTCTGGGAAAATTTTCTGTTCTTTGATTTGGCCTTGATCGCTCCCTTCGTCATTTGGGCTCACATTCTTCTTTGGCTTTCTCTGCAGCAGTTTACTTCCTTTTATAACCTACACAATCATGAGGCCCCTGTGAGGCAGAAGCAACTCTAGAGTGGGAAGAAGTAGTTTTTCTCTTTAGCTTTGTACACGTACAGATACAAGGAGTAGCCAGATGGACACGACATTTGCTTGGTCAATTTGCTTTGTAGCTTTCTATCTACTAAGCTTCCACAGTGTGCCTGGGTCTGGTCTTCCTTAGTGTGTGAAAACTGTGTGGCACCTTGGATGTATATCATGGAGAACTCCCTATTGAATAACTACATGAAAAGTAAGATGGGCCTCAGCATGCCATTGTGTATTTCTGAAATAACTGCTTTTAACTGTACTGTTTCATTTTAAGTATTGCTTTCCTGAATCAAATTCATCAGGTTTGGAACATAGCTATCAGGTGGGATAGTTTTTAGACATTGCAACCTCCAACACTTCAGTGAATTCTTTACTGCTGTTTGTAACCTCTTTTGCCTCTGTCCATAATCACATATTTTTTGCCCCCTTCCCACCCCATAAATCTGGCACATTGTGGTATTTTTCTGTGGACACACCAGATTCTTTTTTCAAGAGTGTTTGGAACACACTGCCCTGTTTTTACACAGCAGAACTCCATCCGCCAGGTAGGAATTGTCTGATTGTGTGGCTAATAGAACAAATGGTGTTTACAGGCATCAAGTGATGGAACTGTGAACCTTAGAGGGACGGTTTCTTTTTTGATTACTATCTCGTTCAGGTTTTTCAACATATGAGAGTCATTGTGTTGTTATTATTCCAGTTACCTCTTTGGCCCTAAATCTTGGAGTTCTCCCCAATTCCTTCTTCCTCTCTTTCTTCTTCTTCTTCTTCTTCTTCTTCTTCTTCTTCTTCTTCATTATACTTTAAGTTCTGGGATACATGTGCAGAACGTGCAGGTTTGTTACATAGGTATACACATGCTGTGGTGGTTTGCTGCACCCATCGACCCATCATCTACATTAGGTATTTCTCCTAATGCTATCCCTTCCCTAGCCTCCCAAGCCCCCTACAGGCTCTGGTGTGTGGTGTTCCCCTCCCTGTGTCCATGTGTTCTCATTGTTCAGTTCACACTTATGAGTGAGAACATGCGGTGTTTGGTTTTCTGTTCCTGTGTTAGTTTGTTGAGTATGATGGTTTCTAGCTTCATCCATGTCCCTGCAAAGGACATGAACTCACCCTTTTTTATGGCTGCACAGTATTCCATGGTATGTATGTGCCACGTTTTCTTTATCCAGTCTGTCATTGATGGGCATTTGGGTTGGTTTCAAGTCTTTGCTATTGTGAACAGTGCCACAAAAAACATATATGTGCATGTGTCTTTATAGTAGAATGATTTATAATCCTTTGGGTATATACCCAGTAATGGGGATTACTGGGTCAAATGGTATTTCTGGTTCTAGATCCTTGAGGAATCGCCACACTGTCTTCCACAATGGTTGAACTAATTTACACTCCCACCAGCAGTGTAAAAGCATTCCTATTTCTCCACATCCTCTCCAGCATCTGTTGTTTCCTGACTTTTTAATGATCACCATTCTAACTGGCGTGAGATGGTATCTCATTGTGGTTTTGATTTGCATTTCTCCCTCCTCTCCTTCTTAGTTATTGTCTATTAATACCTTTATGTTTGTCCTTTCCTTTCCTCCTGTTACCACTGCTGAGTCCAGGCCTTCATCAGGGACTATTCAGATGTTCTCCCCATTTTGTGATTCCCTTAAACATGTGACTTTGAATGTTAATCTGCAGCTTTAGAACTTTGAATAATGTCTCCCCTTTCTTCCCATGCAATTGCCTGGAAGGTTAAATTTAAACTCCACAGCATGGATTTTTGGCCCTCTGTGGCTTGGCCTCTACCACCCTGGACAAACATTACTCCAGCAAAATCAGCCTTTGTGTAGCATTAATTCATCCAGCTAATATTTACTGAAGTGTCGCTCTGAGCCATTTATTTGATTGAACTTAGAGGATCTAACTAGTAAGAGAGATGTACCCCTACCGTCTTAGAGCCTGCAGCTCAGTGACACATGCAAAAATGTATAGAGGCGATTGTCACCCAGTGCAGCAAGTGCTGTGAGAGGGGAAGTGCAGGATGCTAGGAGAAGCCTCAGGGAGATTCTGACCTCAAACTAGAGGTGGTCAGGGAAAGCTTCCCAGGGGACATGATAGGTCAGGTGAGACTTGAGAGGAATAAAGGAGGTAGGCAGGCCAAGGTTTGGGAGTAGAGTGCAGTGCTTGTGGTCCCTGCCAGGGGAGAGAGATTTGCATCTAGCCAGAGTCTGGCATTGTCAAGGTACTGCATAAATGTATGTCAGATGAACAAATGTGAAGGCCTGGAGGTGAAGAGATGATGGAGAGCGTAAGGAACAGAAGTGTTATGGATGGCTGGAAGGTTGTTGGGAATGGCAGAAGAGGAAGCTATAGGAGAAAGCCAGGTCAGGTGTCTTAGTCAATTCTTACACTGCTGATAAAGACATACCTGAGACTGGGTAATTTATGAAGAAACTGAGGTTTAATGGACTCACAGTTCCACGTGGCTGGGGAGGCCTCACAGTCATAGTGGAAGGCGAAAGGCATGTCTTACATGACAGCAGATAAGAGAGAGAACTTGTGCAGTGAAACTCCCCTTTGTAAAACCATTAGATCTTGTGAGACTTATTCACTATCACAAGAACAGCACAGGAAAGACTTGTCCCCGTGATTGAGTTACCTCCCACTGCTTCCCTCCCACGACATGTGGGAGTTGTGGGAGCTACAAGTCAAGATGAGATTTGGGTGGGGTCACAGCCACACCATCTCATCAGGGCATTGGATGGTGTGGTGGGGAATCAGTACCATGTCATGAAAGCAATAGGAAACTTACACAGAGACTTTTTTCACAGGGAGCAGTTGGATCAGATTTGCATTTTAGAAGCATCTTTTTGGCTACAGTGTGGAAGATGAATCAGAGACCAGAATGATTCTGGACTGTAGAGACCACTTAGTTCTTGGGCTATGAAAATGGAGGCAGGGTGGAGAGAAAAATATTGAGGTGTGATCATTAGGATGAGGTGATTGATTGAACTTGAGTAGTGAATGGAAATTCAAGGGTGATACTTAGGTTTCCAGTTTGGCAGCTGGTACCACCAGTTGAGGTGGAGAAAACAATAAAGTAATGCAATTTATCGTGTGTGCCATGATCATTGTGCTTTTGTTCCTTTGCTGAATCTGCCCCCTCTCATCATTCAGCTTCTTTGAAACCTTTCTTTGCCACCATAGCTTACGATAACCATTCCTCCCTCAAAATTCATACGTACCTAGTCTATATTATGTACTCATTCAGCCCTTGACATATACTCTCTTTCTTTCTTTACATATTTTCTACCTCTCTTACGATATGGCTGTCTTGGTCATGAGTTTGCTCTAACAGGATACCAAAGACTGGGTAATTTATAAAGAAGTTTAATTAGCAGCTGGAAGTCCAAGAGCATGGCCTTGGCCCCTGGTGAGGGCCTTCTTGCTGTGTCATAACATGGCAGAGGGCATCTCATGTGAAGAGGGCAAGAGCAAGAGAGCCAGAGAGATAGCAAACCTGCTTCCATGGTAGCAACATTAATCCATCCGTCATTCATTCGTTAATCCATTCATAGGGGCAGGGGCATTAGGTTTCCAACACAACTTTTGGAGGACACCTTCAAACCATAACAATGGCAGAGTCCTTGAGAGCATAGTCTGTGTCATACCTCCTGGTGTGCCCACCTTTGATGTCTGACTTAGCTTCATTATGGCCTCCCTGCATCTGTTTGTGGGTAGTGGTTATCCTTGTTGAGAGCTTTGAAGGCTCATCGGGTTTGGAGTATAGCTTCTCTTACTGTCCTGGAAATATTTTGTCTTGAGTTGTTATTTTTAGAAAAGAGGGAAAGGAAAGAATGGAACTTTACTCTGTCTCTACACTAACTGTTCAAACCCTAAAAGATTTCTCATTTTTCCCTCCCCTTCCCTCAAACATTCATTGAGATCTTATTTTATGCTGGACAGTCTACTAGGGGCTGGAATAGTAAAAGAAGAATAAGATACAGGTTTTTATTTTTTATTTTTTTTATTTTTTTGCCATCAAATAGTTTTGTAAGTGACGAGTTGTATCCATTTCTTGGTTTCAATTTCAATTCAGACTCAAGGCACAGGAGGGAAGAAAGTCATTCAGACTGATGAGTGGAGAAATGGCCCTGTCGAAGAACGCCTTGAGTATGCGCTTGTGAAGGTGAGTTACAGGAGCCTGAACTGGAGGGCTGGAGCCTCATCGTGGCTGACTGGTGCTGTTGCGGGCGGTGTGGTGCTGACAGTAGCTGGAGAAGGAGATGCTCTAGACCACTGATTCTCAACCTGGGGAGGTCCCCCTTGCTGTCCCCCAATCCCCCCACCATAGCACATTTGACAGTGTTCAGAGACATTTTTGATTGTCATAACTGTGCGTGGAAGGTATTACTGGCATCCTATGGCCAGGGATGCTGCTAAACATCCTACAGTGCCCAGGACAGCCCCAAACAACAAAGAATGTTCCCTCCCAGGTGTCAGTAGTGCTGAGGCTGTGAATCCTGTCCTGGACTAAGTTGCTGTCAGTTGGTCAGCAAGTCAGTTTCATAGTTGGAATTTTAGGCTTTAGGCAAGATCAATAATCTCTTGGCTACAGTTTCCTCATGTGTGAGTCTGGAGAATCTCAGAGTTGTTTTTTTTTTTTTTCCTCTTTGGCTCTGGAGTTTAACATAGTTAACTCTTGCACCTTTTGAGATTCACATATTTCAATTTGTGGAGCTAGTCGGCCAATCCAAGGATCACTGAACTGGGGACCTTGAAGGAGTGGGGCTTGCCATTGAAGGGTAGGTAAGTCAGTGGAGGCTTCATGGATTTGAACTTCATTTAAGGGCCCCGTCCAGTGTCGTTTCTCCCCAGCCCTACAGCATTACAGTGAGAAAACGTACTGATTTCCCCACAGGTATTTATTAATGTATAATCTGGTAAAACACTAAGATACAAAATGTATTTTATGATGCATTTGAACTTACTAGTCCTTCTTTGTTAGCTTATTTTACTGAGGTACATTTTAAAGCATTTTTTTAATTGGCATATGAAATTGTATGTATTTACTGCATACAACATTCTGTTTTGGAAGTGTATGAGGTATTTACTTTGTATCAGTAAAGCCAGCTAAGCACTTTATCTCAATCCTCAAAATAAACATATGAGATACTATTGTAATATTCTAATTGAGGAAACTGAGGCTTATTGAATTGCCTAAATTAGTGATAGGAAGCCAGATTGAACCCGTGCACTCTGATTCTGGAACCTATGCTCTTAAGCATTTTCATGATGGCTCTGTGGAGGTAATGCAGTTTTTTTAGGTGATCTTTTTTTTCTTTCTTTTTTTTTTTTTTTTGTCTTTTTTTTTAGGGCATTGAAAAACATATTATTGAGGATACTGAGGAAGCCAGGTTAAACCAAGAAAGATATCCCCGACCTCTCAATATAATTGAAGGACCCCTGATGAATGGAATGAAAATTGTTGGTGATCTTTTTGGAGCTGGAAAAATGTTTCTACCTCAGGTTGGCAAAAGATGGGGAGAAATTTTCACAGTTGCATCTTTTCTTTGTTATTTAATACATGCTGATTTGGGATGTATTTCTCAGGTTTTAATTTGAACAAGAATTCAGTGGCATTGGCTAGTCATTCCTGCTCTAAATGTGTTTAGGAGTCGTGTCTGGAAGAATCCATCTTTGGAGTGGTGTGGATGTTAGAAATCATCCAAAAATTCGTAGCATCATAATCTATCATAATCCTTATGTTCTAATTTTTTTTTTTTTTTTTTTTTTTTTTTGAGACGGAGTCTCCCTCTGTCGCCCAGGCTGGAGTACAGTGGCACAATCTCAGCTCACTGCAACCTCCGCCCCTCCAGGTTTAAGCAATTCTCTGCCTCAGCCTCCGGAGTAGCTGGGATTACAGGTGCATGCCACCATGCCCAGCTAATTATTTTGTATTTTTTTAGTAGAGACGGGATTTCACCATCTTGGCCAGGCTGGTCTTGAACTCCTGACCTCGTGATCCACCCGCCTTGGCCTCCCAAAGCGCTGGGATTACAGGCATGAGCCACCATGCCCGGCCTTATGTTCTAATTTTTGTATCACCTCTTACCCCCAATGCCTATCTCTCCCCTCCAAAAGTAAAATAAAACCCAAGATAAATGTAGAGTTACTAACATTAAGACTTGATTTGACCAGGCACTATTTATCTGTAAGGATGCATGTTTTGAGACAAATGTTTCTGTTTTAAATAAGAGTACATTAGGGGGTTTGTTTAAAGTAAAACCAGAACTCTTATTCTGATTTACAGCAGCTACTAACCACATCAGCTAACACATACTTGTTAAGCATGTAGGTTAGTGACTGCAGCATTTCAGAAACTAAAAGGCCCTCATCTTGCCTAAATGTAAGGCTAGATTTTTTTTTTTTTTTTTTTTTTTGAGATGGAGTCTCGCTCTGTCGCCCAGGCTGGAGTGTAGTGGCTGGATCTCGGCTCACTGCAAGCTCCGCCTCCCGGGTTTATGCCATTCTCCTGCCTCAGCCTCCCGAGTAGCTGGGACTACAGGCACCCGCCACCTCGCCCGGCTAATTTTTTATATTTTTTAGTAGAGATGGGGTTTCACCGTGTTAGCCAGGATGGTCTCGATCTCCTGACCTCGTGATCCACCCGTCTCGGCCTCCCAAAGTGCTGGGATTACAGGCTTGAGCTAGATTTTAAGTGAGTTGTAAAGCTGGGGATTGAGAAGAGTAGGCTGGGAATGGGCTCATGGTGGAGAAGCTTTGGTCCTGAAGGATACATAGAACTCTTGGATAAAAGATAGAGGGCCTCCTAGACAGAGGAAAAAGAAACAAGCAAAAGTTCAGAAGAAGAAATTGCAACATTTGATTTCTAGCCTTGTTTTCCTTCTGCTGTCCCTTATTATTCACTGGCTTTCCCTCCAGGGAGCTTATCCTTTATTCTGCCTACTGTCAAAAGACTCCAGTGTGGCTGTCCTGAAGTCAAAGCATGCATTCTTAATGCATGCCCAAATTTCACAAGTGGCCATCAGCAGTTGTTCCTGTGGTTTGGGAAAGATGCCTGGTTCTATGCTTTTTTCCTCAGGTTATAAAGTCAGCCCGGGTTATGAAGAAGGCTGTTGGCCACCTTATCCCTTTCATGGAAAAAGAAAGAGAAGAAACCAGAGTGCTTAACGGCACAACAGAAGAAGAGGCAAGTCGTTTTGTTCAGGCCTATGGGCCTTCAGTGAGTTGACCTGGAAGACCTGAGGTGGTGGTAGGGGCCTAAGCAGTCAGGCTTGGCTGTGTTCGTTATTGAGGATAAAATAGAGAAATGATCCCACATCTGTCGCTTTTTTAACCAAATATTAGAATACTCTGGGACTTTCTTTTGAATGTAGCTTTATCACATTTTTAATATAGATACAAATTTTCAATCAAAACCTATGTTTTCAAGACAAAGCCATTTCATTCCTGTATTCCTTCATTAACCGGTCATTTACAAAGCTCCCGTGATGTGCCGAGTACTGTGCCGGGCACTACTCACCATAAAGGTCTGTCCCTGCCCTTGAGGCAATTGAGTCATGCTTGTTTTTAGAAGACTCCTAACTGAATAGTCTCTCTCTGCTGGTGATGTCCTTGGCACCACTTCTGGATTCAATTTAATTCTTGTTGGCTGCACCACCAGAGTAAATCATTAAGCTTTTTGACCTTGTTTAGCTCCTTGTGAAGCTCGGGCAGCTTTGGCCTCTAGGATTCTGAATTTTTAAATTGATCTGTGTTTGTGCATAGCTCAGACAAATAGAGTTGATAAAAAACCTTCTTGTTTTGCTTTTTTTCTTAATTTGGGGGAGTGGTGGGGGATGCTGACTGTGCATAGAACAGCAGTGCTGAGGAAAGGTACTCATGTGCCCTCTGCCTGGGCTTTTGTAGTTTTTCAGATTTGGATGGGACACACACGTACAGTTAATGTGTTGCCCTCTCCCCTGCCTCTCCCTTAATTGCTAACAGTAAACATTTGTCAAATAGGTTCCCCCCGACCCAGAGTTAAGGCTGTGGTCTTCAGCTGTGGGGCTGTTTTGTGTGTGAACATCAGCTGTTCTTTGAAAGGATGGGACCCCTGATCTTGGTTGAAGCCCCTTGGGGTAGCCTGTTAGGTGGGCCTCCTTTGAACTGCTTGGGCTTTTGTTTCCAGGTCTGTCTTTGAGGTGTTCTTGGTTGTATTGAGTTGCTTTCTGCGCTGGCTCCTGCCTTGCTCTGGAGAACTAGGTGCTCTGCCCTGAGCAACCCTGCCTTGCTGAGCTGCTTGGCTTCCTTTCCAGGACCCTTACCAGGGCACCATCGTGCTGGCCACTGTTAAAGGCGACGTGCACGACATAGGCAAGAACATAGTTGGAGTAGTCCTTGGCTGCAATAATTTCCGGTAAGTTAGGACCTCACCTCTTTCAACCCCTTTACCATTTAAAAGTAAAAACTTTTTAACAGAATAATTCTTTAATGGGTGGGAAGAGTAGGGCATGGCAGTGGATGTTAGAGGTTATTTTTTATTTCTTTTTGTTTACTGTGTTTTGTACTTTTCTTCAGCGAACACAGCATTTCAGATGAAATAAGTTAGTAATTAACCAAGTTCAGTAAGGACATAAAGAACAGTAAAAGCTATTCAAGTGGGGTGGAAACCGCCCAGAGGATTCCAGGGGTTGGATGTTGGGACAGAGGCGCTAATGGCCGGAATATCAGGCTTCTTCCCATGGCCAGTGGTGTTCATCATGTCCTCTTTTTCGTTTCAGTAAACTCAGATTTTAGAACCAAGATCTTAGGAGACCTTGGCTAAATGGAGTTTTACAGGAAGGCCTTCTCTGTACAAGTCTCAGTTGGCTTTGCTTAAAGCAGGACCCTGTGTTCTTGGTGATGATTAAGCTAGATTTTGGAATGTTATATACAAGTAAAACCCCTTTCCGATATATCTCATTATAATTAATATTCATAACAAAGTCATTTCCATGTGAGAGCTGATGACCTGTAGTAAGTATATGTTTCGCGTAGATTTGAACTATTCTTTGTAATGAAAACCTAATAGAAATAATGCTTTCTTATATCCATGTCCAGCCAACAGTCCTTTTGAGTCATGGACTTCTTTCCAATGTGCTATTTTCTCTAGATAGAGAAGAAAATTGACTGGACCTGTCCCTGTACTCCTCAGTTCTCTTCTTTGCTGTCAAGTAACAATTACCTGCTAAGCTCTCTCCGTGCTGTCAACATTTGTGTCCATCTCTGCCTTCAAGGCTAATTAAATACAGCAAAGAACCTTTCAGGAAGGCTGGAGACAGAGGAGCAGTGTCAGGAAGGCATTTTTTCTGCATCTGACTGTCTTCACAAGCACTTCTATTTACCTGCTCACTTACTGTCTAAAGACTTAGCATTCTCTCCTAGTCCTAGAAATGAGGAATACCATTTCTATCCATGTACTTACTATTATTTTTTAAAGAGATAAATTTCTTGAAGATAGATAGTTGTAATGAAATTTTACCTATATAATAAATATCTGGATAAGGTGTTCGCTTCCTAAAGTCTACAAAGCATTTCTGCTATTGGCTTACCTTTGCAAACCTGAGGTTGTTGGTTCCTGTTTGCATTTATCACAATCAGTTAAAATTTCACTTCAGTTAATAAATGTTTATAGATCATCTTCTACATACCAGGCATTATGCTAGAGACACCAAAATGATTTAGTTGACTTTTCTCCTTGAAAAAGTTTACCGTTTCTCAGCCTAAATAGCCAGATACATGTTCAGCCTTAATAATGGGACAGGAGCCACTGAAGAAAGTGATTTGTAGGTAAACTTCCTAAAAGTGATTCTTGAGATATCACTGTCATGTGCTTTATCATTATTTATTTTGATCAATGGATACTTAGCTGAGAGTATTATACTAGCAATGTTGATTTCTCCAGTAGAGACGTTTTAGAAGCCAGGGAACATTGTGGCATGTCTCCAGGGTGCTGCTGGAACTGAATGTCAGCAGTTGTGAAGATGCTTATTAAGCCTGAGGCTTTTACTGCAACAAACCCAGTTGCTATATGTTGGGCATTGGGGGTTTGCTTATCTTTGCTAATAAGTCTAACTGGAGAAACACCTTCTGATGAAACGTTACTTTCATTTTACAAAAACAAGTGAATGTGCAAACTTTGTGTCAAACATCCCTTTGGCTTGTGTGTGATAACACATAGACTCTTCCATTGGTGAGTTTAATTTTATGGTGTTAGCTAGTAGACAAGTGTCCCTGGAGATTGTCTTATGGAATAATGTGTGCTTTTACTGTCAGTACCAGGCCAGTATGCTTGAAAAAATTACCCAGCCTACTGAGTCTAGCAAACTATCCTGTATCTAATCCTTCTCTTTCCTGGCGTTTTATCATTGTTGCAGGGAACCTCACAAAATGATAACAATGTTTTTTCTTTGTGAGGATAAAAGAAATAAAGAGAGTTAAAAGTGACAGTTGTGTTTAGAGAGAAAATTTATTTTTTAAATGGGGAAGATAAAATGCAATAGAATTGCAAATTTGAGGATTTGAATAGAACTAAGGATGTATTCACCGAGAATCTACTATTACCTACCATTTTTTTTTTTTACCATGTCCCAATTTATACAGTTCTTTTATATCACTGATTTTTTTTTGTCATCTTTTTGTTGTTGTTATTTTGGTTCCTTTCCTTTCTTTTCTTTCATCCTTCCTTTCTTTTCATGGTTTTGATCCTACTACCCTGCCTGTTATTGTATTTCTCCTTTTATAGATGAGAAAACTTAGGCTTAGAGAACTTGAGAGGTTTCATCATAGTCCCATGGCTAGCAAGTGTCAAGCCACATTCAGGGCTTTTGGTTCCAAAAGCTGAGACTTTGTAATATGTCACCTTACTTTACAATATTTTTTTTTGGCTTGAGTTGTAAACAAGTATAATGTCTAGTATTAACACAGGCATACCTTGTTTTATTGTGCCTCACTTTATTGAGCTTTGCAGATACAGCATTTTGTAAAAATTTGAGTTTTGTGGCAATCCTGCATAGAATATGTGTCTTGATGGCATTTTTCCAATAGCATGTGCTCATTTCACGTCTCTGTGTCACATTTTCCTAATTCTCACAACATTCCAAACCTTAATCTGTGATCAGTGATTGATGTTACTGTTTTAATTGTTTTGGAGTACCATGAACCACACCCATGGAAGATGGCAAACTTAATCCGTCAATGTATATGTTTTGACTGCTCCACTAACCAGCCATTCCCCATCTCTCTCCCTTTCCTCGGGCCTCCATAGTCCCCAAGACACAACAATATTGAAATTAGGCCAGTTAATAACTCTGTAATGGCCTTGAAGTCCTCTAAGTGTTTAAGTGAAAAGAAGAGGCACACACCTCGACTTTAAATCAAAAGTTAGACATGATTAAGTTTAGTGAGGAAGGCATGTCAAAAACTGGAATAGGCTGAAAGCTAGGCCACTTGCACCAAATAGCACAGTTAATGCAAAAGAAAAGTTCTTAAAGGAAATTTAAAATGTCCCTCCAGTGAATACACAACTGATAGGAAAGCAAAACAGCCTCATTGCTGGTATGAGGAAAGTTTGAGTGGTCTGGTTGGAGATTAAACCAGCCACAATATTCCCTTAAGCCAGAGTCTCACCCAGAGTAGTTTGGCTTTGTTGGAGCAATAACAAATTGAAGAGAGCTCCAACCATCTTCAATTTTGTGAAGGCTGAGAGAGGTGAAGAAGCTGCAGAAGAAAAGTTTGAAGCTAGCAGAGGTTGGTTCATGAGGTTTAAGGAAAGAAGTCATCTCCTAATATAATGGTACAAGGTGAAGTGCAAGTTAACACATCTGTTTTCAGCATGGGTTTACTGAATATTTTAAGCCTACCGTTAAGACCTACTGCTCAGTAAAAAAGATTCCTTTCAAAATATTACTCCTCATTGACAGTGCACCTGGTCACAAGAATTCTGATAGAGATATACAAGGAGATGAATATTGTTTTCATGCCTGCTAACACAACATCCATTCTGCAGCCTGTGGATCAAGGAGGAATTTTGACTTTCAAGACTTACATTTTGTAAGGTTGTAGCTGCCATAGATAGTAATGGATCTGGGCAAAGTAAATCAAAAAACCTTCCATAAAGGATTCACCATTCTAGATGCCATTAAGAACATTTGTAATTCATGGGAGGAGGTCAAAATATCAACATTAACAGGAGCTTGGAAGAAGTTGATTCCAACTCTCATAGATAACTTTGAGGGATTCAAGACTTCAGTGGAGGAAGTAACTGCAGATGTGGTAGAAATAGCAAGAGTAAACCAGAAGTAAAAGTGGAGCCTGAAGATGGAAATGAATTGCTACAATCTCATAATACAACTTCAACAGATGAGGAATTGCTTCTTATGGCTGAGCAAGGCTGAGCAAAGAAAGTAGTTTCTTGAGATGACTATGAACAGTGTTGAAATAACAACAGAGGATTTAGAATAAATAGCACATAAACTTAGATGATAAAGCAGTGGCAAGGTTTGAGATGATTGGCCTACAATTTTGAAAGAAGTTCTGTGAGTAAAATGCTATCAAACAGCATCACATGCTACAGAGAAATCTTTTGTGAAAGTCAGATTCAGTTGGTGTGGCAAAGGACTTCACTGTTGTCTTATTTTGAGAAATTGCCACAGCCGCCCCAAACTTCTGCAGCCACCACTCTAATCAGTCAGCAGCCATGAGCATCAAGACTCTCTGCCAGCAAAAAGGTTACAACTCACTTAAGACCCAGATGATCATTGGCATTTTTTTTTAGCAGTATTTTTAAATTAAGGTATATATACATTGTTCTTTTAGACATAATACTATTGCACACATAATAGAGTACAGTATAGTGTGAACATAAATTTTATATGCATTGAGAAACCAGAAAATTCATGTGACTCACTTTATTGAGATACTTTATTGTAATGGTTTCGAGTTAAACCTATAGCATCTCTGAGTTATGTCTGTATTCTAAATTCCCCTCAAGAAATAATGTAGAATATTTGGAAATATTTTTGATTAATTCCGTTGAGGTTAATTTTACATATACTCTGTAATAATAACTAGGAAAAGACAAAGGACATTTTCTATTACAGATAATGCACACTATTTAATTATGTAAGAAAAATATGCTATTTCAAGATACATTTTAAAGGTATACATCTAATATTTTTAAACATGGGTCTGATAACCAGTGTTTATTAATATAGCTGTCTAGTATAAGTAAAAAAGCAGTATATGACTGAGCATGAAAATAATTCCAAACTGTATAATGTTGGAACATTCAGCTGAGTGAGGAACATGACTATACCTAAGTCAAGGATATAATAATCCAGTCTCTCCTGAGCACTTCACATGCTGATAATTATTTAGAGACTTTGGATCCATTTTTTTGAAGGGGAGAACAACAATTTGTTTTGTTTATTTTTTTAAAAAAGTAATAGAAATGGCAACAGATCCCATTGGCACTGCTTAAGTACAAGTTGGAAAACCATGGCTGGGGAATGTAGACTGGATGGAAACACATGCCATCTTGTGGTGGCGTGTGTGAATTGCAGGAGCAGCAGATAGGCTGCCACCTTAGTTAACTGAGAAATAAAGGGTAAAATGACAGTAAGTATCAGGTACCTTAAAAGGATGCAGATGCAGTTTTATTTTCCTTTTTAAATTTATTCTGGAGATGAAAAGGACTTTTTGTCTCATATTATTACAGTATTTATTTTTGAAATTCGATGTATTCTTAAATAGTATGAGATGCCTTTGCTAAAACATTCAGAGCAACTTTTTTTTTCCTGGATTTGTAGCCGAATTAAATGTTTGCTCTCATAGCTCTATTCTAAGCACTTAAAAAAATTTTTTTTATAGAGACAAGGTCTCGCTAAAGTTGCCCAGGCTGGACTCAAACCCCTGGCCTCAAGTGATCCTCCTGCCTTGGCCTCTTAAAGCACTGGGATTACAGGCATTAGCCTCCATACCCAACCTCTGTTCTAAGCACTTTAAAACAAATACTGTAAAATCAACATCTTCCGTAACATTCATTTTTATTCTGTTTAGCTTCCCATGTGGGGAAATACAAGAATGTGTATAGGGAGAGGCTTACAGACATAGGGTATGGCTCAAAATGACAAAGGGAAACTGAGGGAGAGTCAAGGAAGATGGGGTTATGTGTAGGGGTAAAACAGGAGGTTGTGGTAGAGGTGAGAGGGAATAGAGAGGGATGGTGGGAAGAATGGTAGCAGGCACAGAGGGCAGGGCTGGATCTGACGTGTGCCCTTTTCTCTGACTTAATATACCCTGGGATTCCTAGCTGGTTCAGGACTGTGGGCCCTCATAGTGCTGGTCTCTGCCTAGACTTCCCTGTTTCCTTCAGCTAATACCCACTTAATTTTTCAAAATTCATTTCAGACTTCCCCCTAGGATGCTTCTAAGTGTCACCCATTTTGGGCCTTCCATACATAGTACACTGTAAATGCTTTCGTTGTAGTGCTTGCCACACCATATTCTAATTCAGAGCTTCCCAACAGTTTCTCAACTCAGATGTGCCAGGAAACCCATTCTCTTTCCTGCTCGAGAGTGGAGTTGGGCCTCTGTCCTAGATTGATTGCCCAGGGCTATGAGCAACTTCCTTTGTGCATCCCGGTACCATAAGTGTCATTTTCTATGTGTGGAAAAAGTGGGAATTGCTCCTTAATCAGTAGTACCTTCGACCATTTCCCCAGCAAGATGACTTTGAAGGCAAGCTAATAAGCTGGAAATTGAACTTGTCTCCCAGGCCCCCTGGCTCAGTGTTCTCAGTTGTCGTCTTACCTCACTGATCAGTGGTTATGGTTCTCTCCTGCTGATTTCTCCTTCTGGGAGTGGTCTTTAAACACAGAAATGTTCTGGGGCCCAACACAGACCTCTTCCCTGTCTTCACTATCTAGGTTTGTGTTTCTCAGACTGTAATGTGCCTTCTTGTCACCTGGGGATTTTGTTAAAAGTCACATTCTGATTAGGGTAGGTCTGGACTGGAGGTTCTGCATTTCCGACAAGCTCTCAGGTAGGGCTGGTGCTGCTGGTACAGGAGCACACCTGGAGTAACAAGGCCTGGGGTGGGCTGAGGTTGTCGCATTCGTTTTGTGACTTCAGTATCATCTGATGTACTGACAAGTCCCAAATTGTATCTCCACTGTGGATCTCTCCCCCAAACTTCAGACTTACATATCCAGTTGACTCCCTGACAGCTCCATTTGGATATCTAAAGAAATCTTAAATTTAATATTTTGAAAGCAGAACTAATTGCCACCATTTTGTGAACACCTCCCCAGCTCTCCCCTATTTCAAGAAATAGCAACTTCATTTTTCTTGCTGCTCAAACCGAAACTCTTGTGTCATCCTCTCGTTGGATGACCCACATGTAACCCATCAGTTCTCCTCTCACAGTATTTCCAGGATCTGACCACTTCTCACTGCCTATACTGCTTCTTGTCTGGATTTTTGCAGCAGCCTAATCAGTCTCTCTGCTTCTCTACCCTGGACTTGTTTCAGTCCAAAGTAAATCTGTTAAATCAAAGTCAGATTTCTTACACCACTGTTCAAACCTTCCAGTGAATTCTCTCCTCATTCAGTAAAACTCAGAGCCCTTGTAGTGGTCTGCAAGGCCCTTGTGTAGTGGGTATAATCTGGAAGCTGCCCGGACCCCACCCCTGGCCAGTTAAATCACACTCTCTGGAAAATGGAGTCCAAGCTTCAGGTGGTTTGATTTTGAAAAGCCTCCCCTGGTGATTCTGATGCAAAGTCTATGCAGGCTCTGGCCTTTTCCTCCTCCTCTGAACTCATCACCCACCACTCTCTCCTTCTCCATTTCTGTTCCAGCCACAACAATCTCCTTGCTCTTCCTTAAACATGGCAAGCATCCGTATAAGATGTTCTGAGAGAAACACTCTGAAACAAGAAAAAGTAGTGAGAGCAAGATGATTCTTGCCATCGTACTGATGAGTTTTAGTTGAATTTTAAAACATACAATGTTAAAAAAATCAGCTTTGAAATATATGCCTTTTTGTCTTGATTTAAAAGCAATATGCTATTTTTCCTAGTGTTGTATGTGACAGTCTATGCTTAGTCATTGTTTAACAAAAGATCCAGGTACTAGACTTTCTTCAATATGTTAAAAAGAAAAAAAAGTGTGTGGTACCGTCTCCTCCTGCTGTAACCTGCAGTGGTTATACATCATTAACACCTCCAGCGTGCATTTGCTATCGAGTTAGTGCCAACAAAGCTGAATATACTTATCATTGATTTGAAGATGTCTTACTTTTTGTTGAAGGTTCCATATGTCATAGTTGTTTTTTTTTTTTTTAAACTCTTTTTAAAAAAGTAATAGGAGTACAAGCTAAAAATCCAGTGGTATGAAAGGGCATATAGTAAGAAGCCAGTCCCCTTCCTGCCCCAGCGTTCAGCACCCGTTGTTACCAGCCAATATGTCATGTCGTAGGTCTTAAACCTTCTTTTTTGTTCTTGTTATTTAAACGTTTTTGCCTATTTAATTTTAAGAATTGTTGATGTAATGAAATGAGTAAAAATGCATGCCATGCGTTTTTCAGTATCTTTTAACAAATAGAAGAAGATTAAATTACCAAAATGACATTAAGGGTACTCTGTAAATCTAAAATAGAGGTAATTCCTAGAACATTTTCCGGGGCAGACATTCCTGTTTCCTCTGAGTTCCAGGAAGCTGTCTCCTCCCTGAATTGAACTTTGTCTGGCACTGTTCTGTTCTCTGAGAGTGCGCTCCAGGCTTCCTCTGCCCCAGGGCCTGTTCTGTCTCTCCTGTGTGCCCATCGAGAGTCAGCCTTCCCTTTGAGTCTTGCCCTCTTGCCCTCGGTGACCTGCACCCTGAATCATTCTCCCTCTTTTTCTTGCCTTAAGTAACCAGAGTTCCCTTACAGCTGTTCATGTGCAGGACCTGACCTCTTTTTCATGATCATCCCCATTGGCTTCCATGTTCAACAGATATTTATTGAGGAGCTTCCCTAGCTCTTTTTATTGGCCTAAATGGATAAGATAATGGATTTTGGAGTGAGATACTGATTCGATCCCAACTCTGCCTCTAATTAGTTGTGTGACTAGACAGATTGCTTAATTTCTCTGGGCCTCTTCTCATTAAAATGAGACCCATAGTAGTGCTTTCATTATAGAGTTACTATGAGGGTTAAATGAGATCGTTTATGCAGGCTGGGCCCTGTGGCTCAAACCTGTAATCCTAGCACTTTGGGAAGCCGATGTGGGAGGATCGTTTGTGCCCAGGAGTTTGAGACCAGTCTGGGCAACATAGGGAAACCCTATCTACAAAAACTTTAAAAATTAACAGGGTTTAGTGGGGCATGCCTGTGGTCCCAGCTACTCTGGAGGCTGAGGCAGGAGGTTGAGGCTGCAGTGAGCCGTAATCACACTGCTGCATTCCAGCCTAGGTGACAGAGTGAGACCCTGTCTCAAAAACAACAGCAAAAGAGATTGCTTACGCAAAAAGCTTAGCACAGTATCTTTCAACAGATGAATGGATAAGCCAAACGTGGTATCTCCATACAGTGGAATATTTTTCGGCCTTAAAAAAGACTGAACTTCTGACATGCCTCGAAACATGGTTGGACTTTGAAGGCATTGTGCTAAGTGAAGTTAGCCAAACAGAAAAGGATGAATACTGTATTATTCTACTTACATGAAATTCCTAGATTAGGCAAATTCATAGAGAAAGAAAGTAGAGTAGAGGTTACCAGGGGATGGAATAGAGAGGGTGCCAGAGAAGAAGGGGTAGTTATTGCTAAATGGTTATAATGTTTCTGCTTTGGGTGATAAAATAGATTTGGACATAAATAGTGGTGATGGTTGCCCAACATTGTAACTGAAATTCATGCTACTGGATTGTACATTGAAAAATGATTAAAATGGAGAAGTTTATATTATATATGTTTTACCACAATTAAAAAAAATAACATACCAGAAACCATTGAATTACACACTTGAAATGGGTGAATTGTATGGTCTGTGAATGATGAGTCAGTAAAATTGTTTAAAAGCAAGCTTAGCATAGTGCCTGGCATATATGTAGTAAGTACTGAATAAATGGTAGTTGTGGTAATCCTTAATATGTAGTGGGCATTTAAAGTTGATTCTAGGCATTAGAGCAATATTTAATGGTTGAAATTAAAATGTTTGTTTCAGTTTTGTCTCTAATGGGCTCTCATTAATTTTCTCATATCTCATTTCTGTGCCTCAGAGTTATTGATTTAGGAGTCATGACTCCATGTGATAAGATACTGAAAGCTGCTCTTGACCACAAAGCAGGTACTGTGCAACTGTACTTTGGGCATTTCTCTAAATGTGGTATCCCCAGGTGCCTGTCATTTCCCTAGTTGTCTGTCAGTGAATAGTGATGCCTGTGAGGGATCTGTGGGACATACAGACAATCAAGTGCCAGCTCCTGCACAAGGTTGCTTTTGTTGCCATTTCTAATGGGGTTGAGAGAGGAGAGTGAGTAACTATGGAACCAAGTGCTGGAGATGGGGAATGGGGACAGACTTCTTTTTTTTTTTTTTTTGAGACGGAGTCTTGCTCTGTCCCCCAGGCTGGAGTGCAGTGGCGCGATCTCGGCTCACTGCAAGCTCCGCCTCCTGGGTTTATGCCATTCTCCTGCCTCAGCCTCCCGAGTAGCTGGGACTACAGGCGCCCGCTACCTCGCCCGGCTAGTTTTTTTTTTGTATTTTTAGTAGAGATGGGGTTTCACCGTGTTAGCCAGGATGGTCTCGATCTCCTGACCTTGTGATCCGCCCGCCTCGGCCTCCCAAAGTGCTGGGATTACAGGCTTGAGCCACCGCGCCCGGCCCAGACTTCTTATAAGAGGACAGTTGTATTAGATTTTTTTTCTGTGTGTAGTCATTTTTATATTTCTTCTCACACTGTGATATATTCAAGTCTGGGAAATCATGAGCTAAATATACCTTCTATTGCATGGCTTCCTAAAACTATGGCAAGTATTGCAACCTTAAGTTATAAATCTTATTTACTACCAAAAGCAAACAGTAAATTGAAATTCCCCAGTCGGAAAAGATGTCTTAGAATTAGAAACTGGTGACAGGCATGGTGGCTCACACCTGTAATCCCAGCATTTTGGGAGGCTGAGTCCGGCGGATCACTTAAGGTCTGAGTTTGAGACCAGCCTGGCCAACATGGTGAAACCCCGTCTCTACTAAAAATATAAAAATTAGCCAAGGTTGGTGGTGGGCGCCTGTAATCCCAGCTACTCAGGAGGCTGAGGCAGCAGAATCACTTGAACCCAGGAGGCAAAGGTTGTAGTGAGCCAAGATCGCACCACTACACTCCAACCTGGGCAACAGAATGAGACTCCATCTCAAAAAAAGAACAAGAAAGGAATTGGGAATTCGTGTTAGGTCTTTTGGTCTTCATTACAAAGTTTTTAAAATGGTTCTTCATCCTTTTCTTTTTTCTGTCATCCTCACTGTCCTTTTTGTCCTTTTTTTTTTTTAAAAAAAATAATAGATATAATTGGCCTGTCAGGACTCATCACTCCTTCCCTGGATGAAATGATTTTTGTTGCCAAGGAAATGGAGAGATTAGCTATAAAGATTCCATTGTTGATTGGAGGAGCAACCACTTCAAGGTAAGTTATATTAATGAGCTTTGTCCTCACTTCAGATTCTCTCAAATGCCAGTGTTTAAAACAGTGGTAAACCTGTGTTGTTTTGGATTTTCTCTTATGTTTAGTACATTGACTTTTTGTTATATAAACACAAAAATTTTCTGGTGTTCACTTAGGTGAGAGCCAGAATACTTTCAGAGCATGCTATAGGAAACTTTTTTGTGATTTCTATTCTTTGCTTTTTCTTGGATTTCTTTGGCTTGCAATAATCTTTTTCTTAACGCTCTCACTTCCGATTCAGTTCCTGAGAATTATAATGAACTCTTCTTGTGAAATTAAACTGAGTGGAGAAGCTGTGTTTTTTGGCACAAAATCATTACTTGAACTTTTGCCCACACTGTCTTGAAGCAGGTGTCTGATTGAATAATTATAGGTTCCTTTGAAGGAACTCTAACCTTGTAGTAGTTTGGAGACAGAAAGCCCATCTAGCAAGAATGAACTAAGTGGTCACTTTGGGGAGTTGAAAGGGGAGCTTTTTGGGAACCTTTGGGTTAACAACATAAAGAGGTATAAAATGTAAAGATGAGAAAGTTCACATTTGTTCACATGATAATTATTCAGTTTACCAGATTTTTCCTGGGATCATGATCATAGTGATATGTGGTAAGTGCTATGTTAACTGTGGGTGCTAGACCTTTTATGCCACGTACAGTTCACTTTCTCAGGGAGCATTATCATACTGGAGCATTGAACTCAATGGTCCCATAACATCTAGTTTATTTTTCTGATGCAGAAATACAATAAAGATCTGGTTATAGGTATGCCAGAGTTCCTTTTGCACTAGAAACAACTGTACATTCAACCAATTTGTATAGGGTTGTTCAGAGGAACAGAATCAATAGGATATGTTTATATATAGAGAGAGAAAGAGATTTATTTTAAAGAATTAACTCCTGTGATTGTGGAGGCTGGCAAGTCTGAAATCTGCAGGCTGGAGACACAGGTAAGTTGATTTTTTGAGTCTAAAGACAGTCTGGAGGTGGAATTTCTTCTTCCTTGCAGGGCTGGGGAGTGAACAAGAGACCTTAGTCTTGTCTCTTAAAGGCCTTCAGTTGACTGGATGAGGCCCACCTACGTAAGTGGAGGATAATGTGCTTTACTGTAAGTCTACTGATAAATGTTAATCACATCTAAAAAAAATACTTTCACAGTAACATTTAGGTTGTGGTTAACCAAAAAGTGTATACCATGGCCTAGCCAAGTTTATACATGAAATTAACCATCATACCATTTACAATTTGAATGAGTCATCTTCATCAGTAGAAACAGTATGATGTGTCTTTTATCCATTAGCTGTTCTTCATACTTGAAGGATTCGATAGTTTGACTGTCATTGCTAACGTTAGAAAACAGGGTTTGTTTTTCCACAAAGGACTTATGTACCAGGAAATGTGGCAGACTTGGTCTCAAGGGATATGGCCACCCATTAATAATGGGTTTTGATGAGCATGAGCTTGGGTAATTGACGACAAGCTTAGTGAAGAGAATGGTAAGAGGACCTAAGGACTTGTCAGAATGAAAGACTTTAATATCAATTGTAAAGTAGAATAAATAAGTATTTAAAGGAATATAATTAAAATACGTTACATGTTATGTAAATATGATGCTGGCTTCAAAAAAAGAATCTTTTTATATGGTGGGACACTATACTCAGAAATTTGCTTCTTGTGCAAATTGGAACTTTACCAAATAGTCCATTCTATTGTTTACCATGTAAAAGCTACCAGATTAAAGAAAAAAAACTTTGAGAAGCAACGCGACTAGCCTCTCAAGATACATTATTGGCAAAATTAGCTTGTTAATGATTCTTAACAGTTATAACCTGATACATCAAATTAGAATTAATGAGATAGGAAATCACCAACATCTCTTCAGTTACTGCGAAATATCTATTCTCGTTGTCTGGGAAACCGTAAATGTGTTTGGCCTGAAGGTAGAAAGCTGGGACCGCTGGCCGCCTAAGGTTTCTTTCGACTCTCCAGTGCTTTGTTTCTCTGTGAGCCCTGCCTCTTCTGGTTCTCTTCTCTTCCATACCTGTTGCAGTTTCTGGGAAATTACTTGGAAAATAAGAGCCAGTAGGTAGCACTGCTTCCCGGGGACAATTCCCTTCTACACTGCGGTGCTGGAACAGCCTTTGGAAAACAGAGTCCCGTGTAACCTCCAAGCACTTCAGGGTAGAATTTCCCAGTTCTGACTCCATTCTTATTAGTGACAGTGGAAGAGGTCTTCGATCTGAAGTCTTGCTTTATCAGGCTCTCTTATTTAAGTAAGTGCTTTTACAGAAGTTTAGCAGTTATGCAGAAAAGTACACAAATCATATAGATGTACAACTTGACAAGTTTTTACAAAAGGGAACCCACCCATGTAACCACCTCCAGATCAAAAAATAGAACACTAATGGCACCCTAGGAACCTCACCAGGTTCCTCCACCCAGTCATGCTTTCCAACAAAAGTAACCACTGTTCTTTCTTCTGTCACCATAGATTGGTTTTGCCTGCATTTCAAATTTATGTAAGTGGAGTCAATATTGTATGTGTTCTCCTGTGTCCGGCTTCTTTTGCCCCACATCATGTCTCTGAGTCTCTGAGGTCCCAGCCTTGTTACAATAGTCGTTTGTTTTGTTGTTGTTCTTTTTCAACGTAGTATTCCATTGTATAATGTGCTGTGACTTATTGACTCTTGCTACTGTTGGTGGACATTTGGGGTTTTCCACTTTGGGGCTATCACAAACAATGCTGCTGTGAACACTTATGCTTATAAATTTTGGTGCACATGTATGTGTATTTCTGCCTAGAAGCAGAATTGCCAGATCATAGGATCTGCCTATGATCATCTTCATTAGCTATTGCCACATAGTTCTCCAGAGTAATTGTAGCCGTTTACACTGCCACCAGCAATTGTGAAAGTTTCAGTTATTCCACATCCTTTTCAGTGTTATCCCTCGTCATGGGTGTAGTAATACCTTGCTATGGTTTTCGTTTGCATTTCTCTGCTGAGTAATGATGTTGAACACCTTTTCATTTGTATATTGACCATTTGGATATGCTTTTTAAATATTTTTAAAAATTGGGTATTCTGCTTTATTCTGACTAGTTTGTACACATTCTTTAATTTATAGTAGTTACAAGCCCTTTATCAGAAATACATATGTTGCGAATAGATTTTTTTTAATCTGGCTTGCCTTTTGCTGTCTTAGTGCTGTCTTTGGATGACAGAAGTTCTTAATTTTTATAAAGTCTGATTTATCGGTCTCTTCATATATGGTTAATGCCTTTTGCATCCAAATAAGTAAATCATCTCCTAGGAAAGCCACCTTTGCTAGAAAGCATTCAGGAGTTGAAATGTCTCAGAAACCCATCTAGGAGCCCTTATTATTTCCTACAAACCAGTGGAGGACTTAGCAGTAGCTCATTAGCTCAGGACTTCATGTTTTCATGAAAACATCGCTGAGGGGAAATGACCCTATGGCTTTTCCAGACATCAGTGACTTGCAGTAGCATGAGTAGAACCGAAACTGTACCCCCAGTACACTCGAAATGAAGGCTAAGGCCGCCTAGTGCAGGAGTGTCCCGTCTTTTGGTTTCCCCGGGCCACATTGGAAAAAGAATTGTTTCAGGCCACACATAAAATACGCTAACACTAACGATAACTAATGAACTAAAAAAAAAACTGCAAAAAATCTCATAATGTTTTAAGAAAGTTTACGAATTTGTGTTGGGCCTCATTCAAAGCTTTCCTGGGCTGCATGTTGGACAAGCTTAGTCTAGTGAATGAATCGACATTTGGAGAGATTGAAAGAGTTAAATAGATTTGGGATCTTTGGTCCCTGAGCATACACTAGGCATAAAACAGGAGGGTCTCAGAAGGCCATGGAGTTCATTCATCTGCCCCAGGGCCATGGTCTGGCCCCCCTGCCACTCCGTACCCCAGCCTTCCCGGTCCGAAAGATGGCTCTTGACTCACTGGCTTATGCATGAATGCCCATCTTCCAGCTCAGTTCTCATAGCCTAAGGCTTTGTAGTCCTTTGCTTCCTGTTTACGAGTGGAGATACTGTTAGGAAGATGGAACAGATGAAGTGTTACTGGTTTTGTCTGTCTTATTATCAGTTTTTAGAGCTTTCCTTGAGAAGCCTGTTAAAAACACACTCATGCATATATTACACCTATAACAGTCTCTTGGTTTTTAAAAATTATCTCAATAATCCACATTTACTAGACCTTGTCAAACAATTCAGAGGAATGTAAAGTACAATTGAGTCTCTCTCTTCCCACCTTCAGCCTCACCTCTAACCCCCATAACCAGTGTGGACACTTCGATGTGTATCTCCCTGTGTTTTTTCTAAATATATAGAAACTTAGATATAGGATTGGTTGGTTATTTGGAAAAGCTTGAGGGTGTTGTTTTTTAAAAATACAATTGCATTAAACATAGTGTTCTGCTACTTTGTTTCTTTCTCATATAGTAGCATATTCTAGATACTATTCCAAACACACATTTTTGTTGAGGGGGAAGAATATGAAAGCACTTGAGGAAGAGTAGTGCTGCTTCTGGGGAGGAGGAGAGGGGAGAAGAGGCGGAAAGCACTGCCCGTCTCGTGGGGACTGCTGCTGGCCGCCCTTCTGAAGGTGGGTGTGGCCAGAGTACACTTCTCCTCCCTCTCCAGGGGTTCTGCATTAACCACTGTGAGGGAGGCTGTACACGGTTTCAGTTTCCACTTTAATAGTAGCAGATCTGCAGCCTATCCTGTTGCTGTAAACATCCAGTCATCACAGGGCAGTTTGTTTTGCTCTTCTGTTAATTAGGCAATTTTAAGAATGAAAGGGTGTTTCTTCCTAATACCAACATTTTCAGGTTTGGTAATAGGGATTTGGGGCAGAAATAATCTTAAATATTAAAAGTAAAATATTGGCCAGGTGCAGTGGCTTATGCCTGTAATCCCAGCACTTTGGGAAGCTGAGGCAGGTGCATCATGAGGTCAGGCGATCGAGACCACCCTGGCTAACACAATGAAACCCCGTCTCTACTAAAAAAAATAGAAAAAAATTATCCGGGTATGATGGCGGACGCCTGTAGTCCCAGCTACTCAGGAGGCTGAGGCAGGAGAATGGTGTGAACCTGGGAGGCGGAGCTTGCAGTGAGCCAAGATTGTGCCCCTGCACTCCAGCCTGGGCAACAGAGTGAGACTCTGTCTCAAAAAAAATAAAAAATAAAAAAAAATAAAAAATAAAATAAAATACAGTATTTTTCTTGCTTCTGCCTCTCTGAATTATTCTGTGTGGAATTTCGGGTTTGGGGTTCCATTCTGCAAGTACAAGGTGGGATTGGGGCCGAGGAGTGTTGATGTCTCCCATGAACAGGGGAGCAGCTGCTAGACAGCCATGTCCTGTGTCCTCTGCCTGGTTCCTGGTTCCTTAGGGGCCCTGGCTGCTATCCCAGTTCATTTGGAGGAGGGAACTCAACCTGACCTTGATGACAGCAGTGTGATTTCCTGGGCCTGGTTACCTCCCTTAAGTCACACGGGCTGCTAATGAGCACCAGTTCATGCACGGGCTCAGTCCCTTGTTAACAGAGCTGAGGACAAAGTCTTTCTTATTTTTGCCACAGACTTCTGCAGAGCCTGGGCTAGGTTTCCCATCTTAGGGTAGGGAAAAAGTCATTCATGTTTTACAAGGGAAATTTGAAGTTCAGTATTTGTAGGTAAGCACCTTGAAATGTTTCTCTGGAAAGCACTGTAGAAATGCATTATCTCTAATGGCTCTGAACAAGAATTGTATAGGAACTGTCAGTGCTGATGGATATATTTTCTTTCTGACCCTTCTTTTTAGAACCCACACAGCGGTTAAAATAGCTCCAAGATACAGTGCGCCTGTAATCCACGTCCTGGATGCGTCCAAGAGTGTCGTGGTGGTAAGTGGGTGACCTTACATTTTATTCCAGATGTGTTGGAAAGAGTGCATTACAAGTAAGGGTATAGCTTAAGATCTATTCATTTTTATTCAGTTCTACTAAATAAAGGTCAAAGAGCAGCCTGAGGCTTATGGTGTGCCTCTGCAGTGACTGCCTTGCTGGAAGGAGGTCCAGGTGACCATGTCCTGTACTTTCAAAGACAGTTACAGAACTGAGCAGCAGACAGGTAGACGGCCTGGCACCAAGACACCTTTGGCCTGGACACCAGCCAAAGATTTCACCCACTCACAAACATGAATAGATATTTACTTGACTGTCTAAAAGAATGTTGGATTTTTAAATGACCTTTTTCCAGATAGAAAAACAAACTTGAAAGTGTCCTCATTGACCCTACCCAAAGACAGAAAAACATCTTCTAGATATTTAAAACCCAGGACAGTGGTTTCTGCTTCTCAGTCAACATCATAAACAATTAGCCCACGTTCTGCTTTTCTTTTTCGGTGAAGCCTAATATTCTATCTTGTTACAGGTTTCATTGTTTTCACTGAATAATGGGCTATAACCGCTGGGGGGCACCTGAGAGACCTTGTGGTCCAGTGGTTTCCAAATCGATTTCAGCCACAGAATATTTGTCTGTTAAGTGATGTCTTACCTGGAAATTCAATGTGGCAGAATTTCCAAGTAAGACATCACTTACCATCACATCCCGCTCCTAGTGTTCATCAAAAGAGCACAGTTTGAGAACCACAGATCTAGTCTAGCCTTCACATTTTACAGGCGAGGAAGGTTACTGAGGTGGCCTGGTGATCTGCGAGACATCCAGTGATGCCACGGGACCTGACCACATTTCCTGAGCTATCTTCCAAGGAAATTATTTCAGATCTGTGAATTTATTTACATGAAAGTTATATAATAATCACTAACATTATTGAAAATGTGTAGTGTGCCAGATACTGAGCTAAGCGCTTTACATGGATTTTATTTAATCCTCAGGCTGACCTCATGAGGTGGATATTTTTATTGTCCCCATTTTAGAGATCAGGAGACAAAAGAATAAAGAGATTAGGAACTCTACTGAGACCACTCATCTGCCAAGTGGCAGGTGTGGGATTTGAATGCAGGTTATCTTACTCTATGTTAAATTAAACTTGTTTCCCATTAATACTTAACAATTAGCCTTTATTAAAAAAAAGTAACTCAGTCTGGGATCATAAAATTGCAATTTTTTATTTGCCATTGTTGTAGACAAATATGCAAATAAGCTATATTTCTGCAACTCCATTTTAAAACAATGTTTATTTCTTATTCTTGGATTGTGCTCCATAGGAGCTTATGTCAGGTTCATGGGCCTCTTTTTAACACTTGTCATCATTTTCAAACACTGATGCATAGCCTTGAATAGTTTCCATTCAGAGGCAAGACTTTTGGATCCATTTAGTTGCACAGTGCCAACTTTTCCTCTACAGGCAGGGGAAAGAATCAGCCCTTTGATTCCATGTTTGGAGGATAAGCTCCTTCACCTTTTTTTGTGTGTGTGTGTGTGTGTGTGTGTGTGTGTGTGTGTGTGTGTGTGTGCGACGGAGTGTTGCTCTGTTGCCCAGGCTGGAGTGCAGTGGCGCGATCTTGGCTCACTGCAACCTACGCCTCCCAGATTCAAGCCATTCTTCTGTCTCAGCCTCGCAAGTTGCTGGGATTACAGGTGTGCGCCACCACTCCCGGCTAATTTTTTTGTATTTTTAGTAGAGACAGGGTTTCACCATGTTGGCCAGGCTGGTCTTGAACTCCTGACCTCAAGTGATCCACCTGCCTTGGCCTCCCAAAGTGCTGGGATTACAGGCGTGAGCCACTGCGCCCAGCCTGCTTCACCATCTTGAAGAACTAGAGCAGTGGGGGCCTTGCTGAAAGCCAGGCAGGGAATGAGGAGTGGGTGTTTGTGCTCTTTACAGTTTGGTCCAGCCACGCAGCCAGCAGTGGTTAGCTCCTCCCATGTACAAAGAAACGACCACGTTTTGAAATTACTCAAACGTAAGTCAGATGATAAATCATGTGGGTAACTGCTAGTGACACTTCAGGAGCCAGTGGTATAATTTGTTTCAGTTGGTTATGGGCTCATTGGCCTAGGCTCTTTTGATCTAACTGAAATGAACATGGAACAGGATCACATTTTAGCAGCTGTCTCATGTATTTGGAAGATTCCAAAAAAATGTAGCAAATACTTAATGGTTGGAGATTTAGACCTGAGGATTCCCCCTTGCTTTCTTTTTTCTTCTTTAATAAAAAACGAGGTGCAATATTTTATTCTTTTTAAATTATAAAATATCTTTTCAATTTATTTGCTCTTATTGTGTGGCTGTTGCCATGAAATACAATTTTTAAAAATGAAGGAAAATATAAACTGCGATATGTCCCAGTGGTTGGCATGAAAACACATGATGGATTTGATTTTTTGGTGGAAGGATCATGTAGGTTAGCCCACTTATTGACCATGAACTTGTTTCCATCAAGTAAGTCAGACCGGGCCAGAAGGGGCCTGCCACTGTGGCTCTGGGAGCAGCGGGCTCCATGGGGCTGTGCAAGGTGCCAGCAAACTGCAGTGGTATGTTCTGTCTACCCAGTAGCACCAGCATTAGGGGGTCGTAGATTTCTCTGGATGTCAGGGACATCTGGTTTTGCTCTCTCAGGGTGTATAATCTGGCAAAATGCAAGAGGGTTTTAAAACATTGGTTACATATACTTCAGGGAGTTCAGAGTAGACATTCCCTTCTTGTTTCATTGGGCTGTGCTGGGTTTCCTAAACGAGGACTCCATTGAGGTGAGTTTAATGTAAGGCTGGGAAATACTTTGTGGTGTGAACACTATTTGGGAATCTATTTTTGGCCTGCCACAATGGCCTTTTCTGATTGTATTCCTGAATGAGGTGATTTTGTTTTATACTAACTCATAGGTGATTAAATTGTTATTAGAGATACTTAGAAAACCCACGTAGAGTTACAGACTTTTAAAGCTGATAGGCACTTTAGCCATCATTCAGTCTAACTTCCTTAAGTTCAGATGAAGATGTTGAAATTTCTTGCCGTTTTGTGTATTAGATAATCATGCTGGAGAATGCAGGGATGGGGTAGTGCTATGTTTATTTTTCAACTGATGTGATCAGTAGTTGCCATTTCTTCTTTCTATGTAATTTAATTTTGTGCTTTGATGGTAGCTCTTCTATCAACTTGATAATCATAGTAACAAATGATATTTAGCTGATCCTGGTTTTACAATTTAATGAGTAGACTCACATTTTCTCAGATTATTGGTTTCCTTTCCAATTTTAGCAGAAAGTCACAGTGGACTATGAAGATTACCCTCGTTCCCTCAGCAAACATTTAGTGCGAATGCACCTCCAGACACTGGGCTAGGCACCAGGGCATGAAGGTGGTGAATGTGTGATTGCAGCTCTCATAGGGCTCTCTAGTAAGGGAAGTGGATATATAAATTTGATACTAAAAGGCTTTGGAAAGTGCAGTAGTAGATGAATGGAATATTTTTGAAACATTGGGTTGGGGGTTACTTAACCCAGAGGGTTCCCAAGACTGCCTTCAGGTTCCAAGTTTCACTAGAAGGACACAAAGAACCCAGAAACACTGCTATGACCATAGTTTATTATTGTGAAAGGATGTAGGTAAAATCAGGAAAGGCAAAAGCACATAGGATGGAATGCAGGAGAGACCAGGTACAGACTTGCAGGAGTCGTCTCCCCATAGAGTGATCCGGATGGTGCTTATTGCTTCCACTAATGATGTGTGACAACATGTAAGGAGCCTTGCCAACCCAGAAGCTTACCTGAACCTTCATGTCCTGGGTTTTTGTTGGGGTTTGGTCACATAGGCCCAGAATGCCCGTGTGTGTAGCCTTAATTGCTCAGTCTTCAATCCCTGCAGAGGTCAAACATAAGCATGAGCTCCGGTCCCCCACCATAAATCAGACTGTTAGCATAAATGATCTGACATGGCCCAGGGTGCCAGGCACGCAGTGACTCTCTTATCAGACAGGCTATCCCAAGGGTTTAGAGTTTGTCTCCCAGAAACCAGGCAAGGGCCAGGCCTTTCTTTGGCTTGTGCAGGGTTTGAACATCCCAAGGCCACTGAGTTTACCCTTTCCTGCATACCAGGCAGGAATTAGCACAGTTGGTGAAGGGAGAAGAAATGAGGTTAAGGAAGCCTTCCTGAAGGAGGTGTTATCAGAGTTGACCATTACTGCACCAGTTTTATCATCTTTTGCTCATCTATGGTTATCTTACATTTTCAGTGTTCTCAGCTGTTAGATGAAAATCTAAAGGATGAATACTTTGAGGAAATCATGGAAGAATATGAAGATATTAGACAGGACCATTATGAGTCTCTCAAGGTAAGTGGTAGAAACAGATCTTCGCTTGTGTTTAATGTGACTAGTTTTTATCATCCTACTTTTTAATGTGACTTCTTAAAATGGTTTTGAGGAGAATAAAAGGCTTGGCATCATTTTAGAGAATTTCTGTCTTCTAGTTCAAATCAGAGGTCTTCAGTGTCTGAGTTCCCAAATAATTTTTGGTTATATTAAAATGAATTTTATTTATTCAGCCAAACATTTATTGGGTACCCAGTAGGTGTTAGGGGCTGCTGTGCTAGATACCAGAGCTTCGGTAATGAATAAAACATGAGTTCGTACTCAGCAGGGAAACAGGCGCTGAAACAGTTTACTGAAATGACTCCCACAGATCCCCATTCTTGAGGAGCTAATGGAAGAAAATGGAGACATAAGACAGGACCAGTATAAGCCTCTTTGCCTGACTGTCCAACACTGACTGTACAGAATGATGTTTCAAGAACTGTCCCTCTCTTGATAAGCTTCAGGGAGTCCATGGAGAACAGGCATAATTATGCTTTAGAAGTCACTGAAATATTTATTTCTGGTTATTTGCCTTATGGGCTTTGGTGGGAGCATTTTGGGAGTTGCTAGGCAAGTGAAATGAGATCAACAGCACGAAGAAAACATGCTGTTTTGCTTCTGAGGTGCTGGCTAGATGCAGTGGTTGGCTTTTTTCTCTCCTTAGGTTTGCCCACAGTGGACAGTTTCTTTAATTCTACCTTCTGGTCCTCAGGGTGGGCCATGGAAGGCCAGTTAACAGCTGGCCTCAGGTGTTCTAAAAGTACAGGTGGGACACCTCCCTAGTACCTCAGGTTCAGGCCGCAGAGCCAGGCTCATATTTACATATCAGTAGTTAATGGATGCTTATTGAATCTTTACTCTCTATTATTCTGGTGCCAATGTGAAACCGACTGGATAGAAAAGGAAGAGCTTTTTAGGGTAAGGATTCTCATGAACAAGAGCTTTTGCCTTTTTGCAAAGCTTACATACTGGCCGCCTTGGACATGTTTTCATAGTAGCTGTAGAAAAGCTAACAGTCTCTAACTAATTTTTCTTTGTTTTTTAACAGGAGAGGAGATACTTACCCTTAAGTCAAGCCAGAAAAAGTGGTTTCCAAATGGATTGGCTGTCTGAACCTCACCCAGGTCTGTTTGGCTGTGGACTAGAGAAAGACTGGGTGTGGTAACTGACAATGTGCTGAGGAGATATATGCATTTACTTGGCTACAAAATCAAACCAGCAGCTAACAACCCTCAACTGTGTCTAATGCTGATGAGTGACTGAAGAACGGAAAGAAAGAGAATAGGTGCCATTTATGGAGCAGGTGTTGTGTGCCAGACACCATCCTGAGATGGACTCATAGTAGCTCTCTGAGTCCTTCAGACGACTCCGTAATGGACATGGGAATTATCCACATTTTAATTTGAAGAAACTGAGTTTTGGGTGGAAACTTGAAAGGTTACTAGGAATCTGTCTCTGGTCTGTCTTCTAAAGCCATGCTCTTTCCTCTGTGCTGTGCTTGAGTTGGTCTCTGTCTCCTTGAAGGAAGTTCTGTGGAAACCTGCCTGGTGGTACTGTCACCCGAGGTGGCCTGGGTCTCTCACAGGCCCAAGGGCAGATGTGAAGTGCCTAAAATGGGAAACACCTTTGCATTCACACATCTTTAAAACGCTGCAGCAAAGCAGGATCCTCTGTTTCTTGCTTTCTCTCTCTTCCTCTCTCTGGATTTTTCACTCTCTTTTTATTTCTTTTATTTGGTTTCTTCCTTTTTTCAATTTCTAGCCACCTTTCTTGCCTCATATAGGTGTTCACAAGGGAATAAAATATGTAAGATGTTTTGACAGGCGCAGAGAGGCGTGAGACACAAATGCAAAACCAAGACAGAGTGAGCAGGGGTTATATTAATTGAATCCATATTTCCAAGGTAATGCCTCAAATCAGCTTTCATTGCTCACGACATCTGTGTTCTACACATGCTTGGCAGAGTTGAGCGGATTAAATTGGAAATGTAGGTGTGCTTGGTTCTAATTTCATCCCTGCTGAGTTCAGCGTGGTTTGGTGGAAAGAATGCCATATTGGGAGCCGGGAGGCCGGGGTTCTCATCCCAATGTGGCTCTTGGCTCTGACTCACGGAGTGACCTTGAGCAGCTTGCTTTCACATTTGACAGTTTCTACCGTGTGAAAAAAGGAGTTACTTTTTGGAAATGTTGTAAGGGTAAAATACTCTCTGAAAACCTTTGAAAAACTATAAATTGCTATATATAGTTCAGGCTCCGATTATTTGCTCTGTATCTTTCCCTGTGAAATTGGAATAATAACACAAGGGCAAGTCTGTTTGGATCAAGTCAAACATCCAAAACATATTTTGCTGGAAATACGCTCCCAAGGCCATAGCACCTGGCAGCAGTTGGGATGCTTTTTTAGTGGCCGCTTTAACCTCTGGCATGGGGCTACTGCAGGGCCCGTCCTGCTGCCCGAGGGCCATGGGGCCTTGAGGCCTGGCCCTCTGAAATATACCTGAGGACAGCCTGTCTTAGGGTAGTTGCAGGAAGTTGATAGGAGATAAAAGAGGGTCTTCTTTTAAGGCCCTGATGGTAAAACCTCAAACATTTCTTAAACTCTGGAAGACAAGGTTGGTCAAGAGAGAGTCCATAGTGGCTCTGCGGCAGCACGTTCTCGCTGCCTTCCCAGGTGAGAGGACACTTGAATCAAGGGTCTATCTGTAGATTCCTTTTAGTTTCTCTACTAAGGGGACCATAAAGACTTTATTGCCAACAAACCAACATAATAGGATATTTCCAAAGAAGGGAATGTCCTGTGTAGTAGAAGGATGATGAGGAACAAATGGGAAAAGGCTACTGTGAACAAGTATGAAAAGGTAGAGATTTCCAGACAGAATTAAGAAGTCAAATGAGAGAAAAATAGAAGCTTCTGTGTTCTCCCAGAGCCCCTGAGATTAGTAGAGTAGGAAGTTCTCCGATCCCTGGTTACAAATCAGAAAGTAGAGAGACAGGAAGGCTCAGATAATGGCAGTGGGGCCAACACCTTACATTCCAGCCTGATCCTGCCATGTCAGACCGGAGTCCGAGGTGCAGACCACACCATGGGCTGGAGGGCAGGTGGCAGTGCTGCTCTGCCTGCCCCAGAAAGCCCAGCAGCACCATCTGTCTCTGAAGTCTTCACCATTATTTAAATTATGATATATTTTAGACTCATCAGGAGGTATGAAGAACAATATATTAACATCCATGTTTACCTACTAGCCAGCTTAAGACATAACCTACCATCTGATTTTTTAAAAATGAAACAATACAGAGTGAACAGAGGTTATATTAATTGAATCCATATTTCCAAGGTAATAAATCAGCTTTTCCTTGCTCATACATCTGTGCTACACACGTGCTTGGCAGAGTGGAGGATTATGTATTGAAGAATATGTATGGGAAGTCCCACATGTGTCCCTTCCGCCCCTGCAGAAAGCACAGCAGTCCTGAATTTGGGACTTCATTTGCCTGTATTTTGACTGGGCATATGTATCAGTAGGCAATCTAGGTAATTGTTTCCGGTTTTGAAACTTTACATAAGTGGCTTACTCTCCATGTCTCTCTGGAGTGTTCTTCACGTTCACCTTGTCTTCATTTGTATAAGTGAGGATTAACCCGTCTTGTCTTTCCTTCTTGGGTGGGGGGTGGGGATGCAAGGGTTGAGGGAACAGTTTCCAAGGGTGGTGTAGTCAGCTGCATGTGAAGAATAGTTTTATTTAAGACTCAGTGCAGAATTACTCCTTCTCCACGATAATTTAAAGTTCCCCTCTTTGTAAAACAACTCCTACGGGTGACAGGAGGGAGGCAGAGCGTGGGAGTTGGCAGAGCAGTGAGGAGCTGGCAGGGAGGCCTCCATCAGGCAGGGTGCCAGCATCAGCATTGACAACCATATTTCTCTCCTGTAGTGAAGCCCACGTTTATTGGGACCCAGGTCTTTGAAGACTATGACCTGCAGAAGCTGGTGGACTACATTGACTGGAAGCCTTTCTTTGATGTCTGGCAGCTCCGGGGCAAGTACCCGAATCGAGGCTTCCCCAAGATATTTAATGACAAAACAGTAGGTTAGTGCAGTATGTCCTTCCTTTCTGCCTCTGATGTTCAAGATGTAGGATTGTGACTTTGAAGACCAGAATCGGTGAGGAGCAGCAGATTTGGATTGTGCAGATTACAGCTGCTTTCATATTGCTCACCTGCCCAACTTTTTAATGTTTTCAAACTGCTAGATTGGTCCTTATTGTATCAGCTAAATTTGGTATCTACTTTATTCTTTTAATACATGTTTATTGACGTCAGTTACTTGTTGGGCACTAGGGATGAATGGAAGACAACAAAATCCCTGCCGTCTAGCACCCGACTAGCTGGCACAGCCAATAGTAATGGGCCCTGCCTGGGCTCCTGTGGACACAAGAGGAGACAGAGCTCAGACTGGGCGGTCAGGGCAGGCTTCCTGGACGAGGTGGTGTTTGAACTGTTTTTGAGGATTCAGTGGGAGTTGCCGTGGCTGGGACTGTGGATGTGATATGGTGTTGAAGAAGAGGACATTCCAGGTAGAGGAGACAGTGTGAGAAGGCATAGGCACATGTGCCTGTTTGGGGAATTGCAAGGAGCCCATTGTGCTTGGAGCATTGGGGAGGGAATGGGAATTTGGGGTGTAAACTAGAGAAGTAGGTGAGGTGATAAATTACTACCCCCCACTTCTCACTTCTAGCCTCATCCCAAAATCCACCAACAGAGACACAGAATCCAAATGCAAAGCCATTCAAAGGATCAGGTAGTAGCCAGATCAGAGCAATAGGGAGGGGTAGGCTCACAGAAGCATGGGATTAGGGCTGAGAGGAGCCTAGAAACCAAATTATTGCCAAGTTTCCCATGGGGGGTGGGCCTGGGTGTAGGTGTTAGGATGCTGAGACTCAGGAGCTCTCAGGTAGCCAGGAACGTGATGGTGGGCAAGGGGCTTCTCAATGTGCTGCCTGCACCTGGACAGGTGAGCTGTCCAGGGGCCGTAGGGCAGGCTTCTCACCATGGGCAGGATGGCCCAGTCTCACAGACAACAGAAACCGAGAGGGTGTCCTAGGAGCCTGGCTCGCACTGCAGGTCCGGGAGCAGGCCAGCCAGGTGGAGCACTGAAGGCACGTGTGAGGGTTTGGGCCATACTTCACCCCTTACCACTGACGTTCCCTGTTCATATACAATTCCACTGACTTCACAGTGACCTCTAGGGGACAAGGCCTGTGCCTTGTATGCACCGTGCCTTGTATTCCGTGGTGTCTGAGCCTGGATGCATACAGTAACAATTTACTGAGGCTGAATGCATATGGTAAGGATGTAGCTGTCCTTTTTTTAACACTTCATGGTACTGTTTAAGGCCCCAAATATAAGAATCCCTTCAGATGTTGTTATGTTCAAAATATCAATTGTTATGAATTATATTGTGGTTGGGATTAAAAGCACCACAGAATATGAGGCACGGGTCATGTCTCCCAGAGGTCACTGTGAAGTCGGTGGAGCTGTACATGCACGAGGAACGTCAGCGAGTGAGGAATCTGGCCTGCTTTTTCTCGTCCCCTCTGACAGAATGCTTTGGGGACCCCCAGCTTTGGCTCTCTGCTTTTTGTCCAGTGGAAAACTTCAGTGGCTTGAACTGGGAGAAGCAGACTGTGGGAGCTGCACTTAGCAGGAACCACAAAACCCTGGCTGTTCCACTTTAAGCTGGGTCAATGGCAAACACCAGAAAGCATTTGAGGAAAATGGAGAAGCCTGAAGAGGGAAGGTGTCTGAGGAGGGGTAATGGCTTTTAAAAGAAGCATTGTTTGATGGTTATTTTCGGCATCTTTAAGTGGATTCTAATTATGTTTTTCTAATAGGTGAAGAGGCCAAAAAAGTCTATGATGATGCCCAAAATATGCTGAACACACTGATTAATCAAAAGAAACTCCAAGCCCGGGGTGTGGTTGGGTTCTGGCCAGCACAGAGTATCCAAGACGACATCCACCTGTACACAGAGAGTGCCGTGCCCCAGGCTGCAGAGCCCATAGCCACCTTCTATGGGTTAAGGCAACAGGTATGGGCGGTATACTGACAGCCAGCACGCTGCTTTCACTTGTGAGTTTAAGCACTAAACAAAATAGCTTTGCATAAATGAGAGTCTGCTTCACCTCCTCCCAGATGACCAGTCACACGCCTAAGCCCAAGCCATCTGTGAGGACCGGGGAGCGAAGGCACCACCATGGGTGCCAGAGGCATGGGTGCCAGAGGCATGGGTGCCGGGGCATGGGTGCCAGAGGCATGGGTGCCGGGGCATGGGTGTCAGAGGCATGGGTGCCAGAGGCATGGGTGCCGAGGCATGGGTGCCAGAGGCATGGGTGTCGGGGCATGGGTGTCAGAGGCATGGGTGTCAGAGGCATGGGTGCCAGAGGCATGGGTGCCGGGGCATGGGTGCCAGAGGCATGGGTGCCGGGGCATGGGTGTCAGAGGCATGGGTGCCGGGGCATGGGTGCCAGAGGCAGGGCCACTCAGCAGGAGTGAGGCATTTCACGTTGTGTTCCATGGATGGACGAGGACCACTGCTACTGTCTCAGGTGGTCACACGTCAGGATCTCAGTCTTCTGAGCTTCTGAGGAAAGAGAACACTCACTTGTTCAAAAATATTGGTTAACATCTGTGCATATTATTAAAACAGACTGTCAGGTGGTTCCCCTTGAAAGGGGAAGACGAGTGGAAACAAGCATTTGCAGAATGTACAGCGGGTGCCAGGTGCGTAGTAAGATGCTTGATGGTCATCCTTTTAATTTCCATACAGCCGTGTTAGGCAGATTAAGTTTCTGTTTTACAGAGGAGAAGATGAAGGCTGCTAGAGATTGTGCTGAGTCCCCCAGTAGAGAGGGGAGAGCCCAGCCTGTACACACCCCTAGGGGCTGTTCTTTGACTGTGCTGACTTCTTTTCTTTTGAGTGGTGAGAACAGACTCTTCCAGCAACTTCTCTCTCATCCCCGCCACCTTTGAAAAGGCAGATATCATATGCATGTCCCTTTAGCTGCTGTAAAAAAGAGTGTCTTAATCAAGAATTGGAGCCAGAATTCGCCAGTCATTAACATTTTTAATAATTTGCAGTAAATTATTATTTGTTTTACTGCCATTTTCAGTCATTCAAAAATAATAGTGTTGGCTGGACACAGTGGCTCACACCTGTAATCCCAGCACTTTGAGAGGCCGAGGTGGGAGCATTGCTTGAGCCCAGAAGTGTGAGACCAGCCCGGGCAAGACGGCAAGACCCTGCCTCTACAAAACAAATTTTAAAATGAGCCGTGCATTGGGAGTGTGTGCCTGCACTCCTTCAGCCAGCTACTCGGGAGGATGAGGCGGGAGGATCACTTGAGTCCAGTGATCATGCCACTGTACTCCAACCTGGGCAACAGAGCAAGACCCTGTCTCTAAAAAACAAGCAAACACAAAAGATAGTGGCGCAATTTAATCCCAACCACAATATAATTCATAATCATAGAAATTTTGACCATAACAACAGCTGAAGGGATTCTTAAATTTGGGGCCTTAAACAGTACCATGAAGAGTTAAACAAGGACAGCTACGTCCTTACCATATGCACTCAGGCTCAGTAAATCCTTACTGTATGCACCCAGTCTCCGACACCACAGAATACAAGGTTTGGGGGTTCTAATGTTAAGTTCCAGCCCCCGCTTACGAGGGAATCTGTGGCTTTTCTTTTACAGACATAACTGTGTTCAGAAACCTCTGCTCCAGCCCAGTCTTTCATCTTTCAAGTCCTGTGTCCTCTGTGATCTCTTTTTACTTCCAGTACCATTCATGTCCAGGCAATCTGTGACATATTAGGGCATTTAATAGAATGAATTCTCAGAGTTCACCTTTTTAATAGCCTCTGGAGAGGGGAACTGGGCCAGGCACATACATTACCTACCCAGGTAGTGATTTCTCAGGAGGGGCTTTCCTCCAGTGCACTCTGGAACATTCTGGCGGCAGTGCCTTATTACTCTGGGAGTCTGCTCTTCTGAGTAGGCTCTGATTGCTGTCTCTTCTAAGGTACCATGGGGCTCTGTGATCTGTCTCTCCTGTGGTGCAGGGAAGCGTTGGGTCCCCCTCTGGCCTTTGTTAGCAAAGAATAATTGATGGGCCAAGTGTACATGGAAAACGGCTTCCCCATGCACAGCTGTCCCTAAGCTCTGTGACATTCCTGTGTGCCATTACCAAACACCTCCTCGCCTGCACTTAACAATTTCCTGCCCTGTGTCAGTGAAGCTGCACTTGCTTCCACCGTGGGCAACGAGCTGTGTAGTGTCTGGTTGGCCACTCATTAATTGATCAGTCCTGAGCAGTACCATATATGCAGGAGCATGGGTTGTGGTACCAGCCCCCTGGCCCTTGCACTGTCTGGCCTTGGGCCAGTTGATCAAGCTTCCTGTGCCCCTGATTTCTGGTCTGTAAAATGGAGCTGATGGTATCACTTATGTCACAAGGTGGCTGAAGGGGTTAAATAGTAATTCATATAAAGCGCCAAGAACAGGCATAGGGTAACCACTGAATGAGTATTAGTTATAAGCTGTTTACGTTCTCAGCAAATATTTATTGATTTTTAAAATATGTATAAGACCTTATTTGTTACCTTAGTTGCAGGGAAGAGTTGCTTATCAGCTGAGGGTGAAAAATGGGGGAGGATAGGCCCCAGGGCTGTGGAGAGAATCCAGAAGCAAATCCTGTTGAATTCTTGGTTTGGTGCCCGGCCGGCCCTAGTGTCCTCAGCCAGCTCCTGAATGACCCCCGACTCCACCCCACACGTCAGCCAGCACGTGGCCTGGGCATTGCTGACCCCAGCAGTGTGTTGTTTGAACTGCTTCAGTTGATGCAGAGTGGAGGCGCTTCTGTTTATTGGATCTCTTTCAAACATATTACTGGACTTAATTGAAAACACTTGGGGACAAACTTAAAAAAAAAAACAAAAACCGTGACGTCAGCACAGTGCCTGAAGGCATTCAGTGAATGTTTGGTCCGTGTGAGAATGAGCGAATGAGCTACTGTCTTGACTGTTTATGTTATGTCATGTCATACATTTTTAAAAATCTCATTTCATTTGTTTATCTTACAAATATTTATTGAATACTATGTGTCAGACACCATTCCAAGTACTGGGGATATATTGTGTTGTGAAACTTGTTCTCATTTGAAGCTGCCTGATTGCTCCTCATGGTATGCTGGTGCCACGTTCTTGCTAATGGCGCCCCCGCACACTGCTTGGTTTTAAGGCCGAGAAGGACTCTGCCAGCACGGAGCCATACTACTGCCTTTCAGACTTCATTGCTCCTCTGCATTCTGGCATCCGTGACTACCTGGGCCTGTTTGCCGTTGCCTGCTTTGGGGTGGAAGAGCTGAGCAAGGCCTATGAGGATGACGGTGACGACTACAGCAGCATCATGGTCAAGGCGCTGGGGGACCGGCTGGCAGAGGTAAGGCAGGGGCATAGTGCCAAGGGGCTGAGGACAGAGGCCAGGAAGGGTAGGGAGCCTGCCTGGGGTGGGTGCCTGAAAACTGATCGGCCCTTAGAACCAGTGTCTTTTTTTTTTTTTTTTTTCTTGAGTTGGATGCTGCTGACTTTAACATTACACATATTTTAATATCATGTATCCCCAGATTGCTTGTGTACGTTATCTTTGGGGCAAAGAAAAACCTTGAATGGTGCCATAGTTGGCTGTTGCTCTTAGAGCCTTTACTTCTGCCTTATCTCTGTTGTCTCTCTCTGCTTGTTGTGATGTGACATTTTCCTCAGTACCCTAAAAAATTAAAAACAAATTTTTATTTCAGAGCCCCTCATTGTAATGCTGGTGTCATCTATAGATTCTTCATCTTCCTATGCATGAAATGGGGGTAGCCTTGGCCCTGGGGAGAGCCTCTCCCTTCTCCTGCAGTGAACAGTGGAGGAACTAGCAGCTGTATGGTCCCAGCTGCTCTTTCTGGCCAGTGGAGCTTTGGATTGACCTTTAGGGAAATTGTTAAGTTTTAAGGTAGAAAATCCTCAGGTCATTAAGGATGGTCCTTCAGAGCTCAGGTTGAGGCCAAAATTGAGCTGCAGAGCAGCTAATGAAAGTACAGACCAATAGAGAATCCAGCTTGTTCCCTCTTGCCAAATTTCCCCTGGCTGTGGTCCAGATGAGGGAGGCTGTCCTCATGGCTGTGATTCAGGGGGTGGAGGCTGCACTGATGCCGTGAGCCCCCACCACTGCCTAAGCATGCCTGGTGCCCTGGGTCCCAAGGCCTTTGCAGAAGAGCTCCATGAAAGGGTTCGCCGAGAACTGTGGGCCTACTGTGGCAGTGAGCAGCTGGACGTCGCAGACCTGCGCAGGCTGCGGTACGAGGGCATCCGCCCGGCTCCCGGCTACCCCAGCCAGCCCGACCACACTGAGAAGCTCACCATGTGGAGACTCGCGGACATCGAGCAGTCTACGGGTATGAGCCAGAAGGCGTGGGTTCCTGTCATCCTTCTTCAGTAGATAGAGTCTTATCAACATAATGGCACTAAGGGTTAAACATGTTTTTAAAATGGAAGGGCTTCTCATCACATTGTCCCTTATGCTGTCCTTTTTCACTTGTAACTATTTATTCTGGCATTTTATTTCAGTATTACTGATTAGTGTTCTTACATCATCAGTTTTAGACATTTCAGTTTAAATTATTTCCTCTTGGCCTACAGCAGATGGGAGTTTAGCTTACATATACCATCCCGTGCCTCTCCTGCCCCAGTTTCCTGTCCCAGGCATGGTCATGTCTTTAATCCTTCCCTTAGAGACCGACCCTTTGTCCCTCAGTAACCTCACGTGCTTCACGCTCTTGTCCCATTGCTTATGGATAGTGTCCCTGGGCACTGGTCTTGCAGAGCGCCCAGCCTTCCCTTCAGCCCTCTCTTCTCTTTACTTTTACCCTGATACTAACATTTATACTCATCTGTAATCATAATTCTCTGTTACGTTTTGCCTGTGGATTGATTCTAATAGCTGAAAATGAGAAGCTGGCATGTGCCCTTCTGAGACAACGGCCCAGACACCGACACACGCCCTCAGCGTCCTGTGCCCAGAGCTGAATTGCTTGTGGTTCTGTGGCTGCACATTGTCATGTTGATGTGCTGGTTCTGTCATTACTGCAGAGTTGATGTAGTTGAGATGGCCCAGGCTAAGCTTACAGTTTTCAGCAGAATTAATAGAAAGCATGCCATCAAAGCTGATAAAGGCATCCAGATTTCAGTGAGAAACCATGAGCTGTGCAGCATCTGCTTCAGCAGGAACAACACTAACTCTAGGAGCCATGAGATCTGGGTTTGAGTCCTGTTTCTGCCATAAGCTAGCTGGGCAACCCTGGCAAAGCACTCATCCTTCATGTTGCTCTATTTCCTTGTCCATAAAACGAGTGGCTTCGAATAGATATCCTTGAGGGTCTGTTTGAGCTCTCAGATCCCAAGGAAAACGGTCTCTTCTTTCTCACAATGTTGTGGGCTCCTTGTTCACTGGCGCTCTCAGTCATCCCTAGTACCAGTGGCCGCACAGAGCCCGTAGAGGGCTTTTCAGCTGGTGTTCTCATCTCCGAGGGTAGAGTTCCTGCCTGAGAAGGTCTGTTCTTAGGAGCAAATCAGGGTGCCTGTAACTGATCTGGGATGGCCGGAGGTAGGAGTATAGAGTCGTTCCTAGGCATGTCCCCCTGGGTTGGAGGAGATCTGCATGTCCCGAATTTGTTTCTTCACATGGCAGGAATTTGCTAGACTTGTCTGATCACAGCTTTCATGCTGTGTCATGTGTCTACCTAGAAGGCATGAGTTCACTTTGGTTCACTTGTTCCACAAGAGTTCATTGAGTGCCTGCCAGCTGCAGGCCCTGTGCTAGACACTGAGTCAATAAGCATTTTCCCCGTGTTGCTCTCTCTAGGCATTAGGTTAACAGAATCATTAGCAATGGCACCTGCTTCTGCAGTCTCAGGCCTCTACTTCTCCAATTTGAAGTCCAAATATTTTGCTGTGGGGAAGATTTCCAGGGATCAGGTAAGCTAGCTGTTTCATTATATGTGGCTTCCCTAGTTCAAATGAAATTCTAGAACCTCTTTCATTTTAAATGTGAATGAGAATAAAGTGAGGGAAAAGGATGAAGAAATTTACTCCAGTTAATGTCTTAATTTGATTTCAGCAGAATACTTCTATTGTAGCCCCCAATTCTACATGCAAACCACACACACACACACACACACACACACACAGCTTCTAAGCATCAGATGTTTACTACATGTTGTTTTTCTGCCCAGAGAATAAGGCAACTTGGTAAATAAATATCTATCTACATTTAACTCTGTAGATTGCTATTAAGACAAGAAATGGAAGGTACTTAATGTTTTTCGGCAAATCTTATGGAAACTTCTATTCCAAAAGTCTTATCACGTTGGTTTAATAAAATGCTTCTCATCTTTTGCAGGTTGAGGATTATGCATTGAGGAAGAACATGGCTGTGGCTGAGGTTGAGAAATGGCTTGGACCCATTTTGGGATACGATACAGACTAACTTTTTTTTTTTTTTTTTTTTGCCTTTTTTGTTCTTGATGATCCTCAAGGAAACACAACCTGGAGTGCCTTAAAAATAACAACAACAAAAATCCTGTGTGCATCTGGCTGACACTTCCCTGCTTCTGGTTTTCGAAGACTATTTAGTGGAACCTTGCAGAGGAGCAGGGTCTTCCTACAGTGCCTGGAAAACAGGTGCTGTGTTTTCAGGACCTTGCGTGAAGAGCAGTGAGCAGGGCTCCTGTGGTTTCCCTGGTCCCTCTGAGATGGGGACAGACTGAAGACAGGTCTTCTGCCTTTCAAAGCAAGTCAACTTGCTTTTTTCTATTTTTAGAGTGGAATCTAGGAGGCCACTTAGTCCTCTTTTTTTCCTCTTAGAAGAAAAGCCTGAAACTGTGTTGAATAGAGAAGTGTGACCCTGTGACAAAACGATACTGTGAGAAATGGGGCATTTTAATCTAAGTGGTTATAACAGTGGATTCTGACAGGGAAGGTATAGCTCTGTTTTCTTCGGAAGACCTCATTTTCTAAAGGCTGGATTAAATGGTTGCAGAACTGCCTTTGGCAAAAGGCATGCTCTCACTGCTTGCTTGTCAGAAACACTGAAGCCGTTTGCCCCAGTGTGGTCAAGCAGCCATGCTCTCTGGGCGTTTTCATCCTCCCATAATTTCATATTTCCGTGCCCGTGAGGAAACAAAAAGGAAATGAGCGACAGTTACTGTTAAGGATTGTTAACATCTTCTAATTGTTTTCAGGATTGAGCAGGTTCTCAGCTGGGCTCTTGATATCCTGTGCATAGTTGGACAGGTGGGCAGCATAACATCACTCATTTCTTACCATCTTGTTCCCCTCCAATTCTCAATGTATTCAATAATGAAGAATGATGCCACCACTCAAGCAACAAGCCTCAAACTCACCCATGTCATCTTTTTCTTGGATGATTGCAGTTATCTCAAAAATTTGCATGCAAAATATATACTCATCCTACTTGAAGATGGTGGTGGAAATATTCAGGAGAAGGTAGCGTTGGAGTCCTGATTTGAGATTTGAAGGATGAAGGTGAAGAAGCAAGGGAGGAACAAATGAGAAACTATCTTTGTTCATGAATAGGAATATTAAAGATTGTAAAAGTATCAGATCTCCCCAAATTGATCTATGGATTTAATACCATTTTCATTGGAAATTCCAACAGATTTTATTGAATGAAACAAGCAGGTGTTTATATGGATTAGCAAAGGACTTAAAATTACCAAATGCTTCTACATATGAAGGAAAGATTGAGGAGACGCACCCTATGTGATACCAAGTTTTATTGTCAAGACAGTGTCATGTGGTGCAGAGGTAGGCGTTATGAGCAGGGAAACAAAATAAGGGTCTAGAAACTTGCCTAGGCATATGTTGACCTTTGCAAAATGACCTGGTGACATGGCAGGTCAGTGGGGACAGGAAGGATCACTCCCTAAGTAGTCCCAGAACTATTCATGTGGGAAAAAAAGAAATTTTAATTTATCTCACCTTACCCAATGATAAGTTCCAAATATGTTAAGGGCTTTAATACAGAAAGCAAAAATTGTCAGTGTTTGGATGAAAAAAGCCTTAGGGCAGGAAAGAATCTCTTGAGACATAAAGTAGTAATCACAAATGACAAGGTGGTTAAGTGAATTCTGTTAAAACTAAAGACTTACATTAAGCAAACACTTGGAAGTGAGAAGATGAGCCACAACTTGAGAAGACATTTATAATACAAATAACTGACACGGGATTCATAATCACAAATATAGAGAATTCCTGTTTAAAAAAAATGGAAAAATAGAGAAGACTACACAAGAGGAAATAAATAGGGCTTTTAAATAAATAGATGTTCTGTAGCATTGGTGGTCAGGGAAATACGAATTAGGACCACAATGAGATTCCATTTTATATCCATAAGATTTGCAAAAGTTGGGTCTGACAATACCAGGTGTTAGATCTGTAGGGACTTGTACAACATTGTGGATGTGTAAATAGGCACCACTGCTTTAAAAAACAATTTTCCCTCACAGACTTGAACATTTGCAGACCTTATGATCTTAGTTCCAACTCCCACCTGTACGTCCAGCAAACTCTTGTATGTGGCCCCTAGGAGGAATGGGTAAGAATGTTCATATAATGTATTTATAATAGTTCATAACTGGAGAAAGTGAAATGTATGTCTCTCTGCAGGAAAATAGGTGAATAATTAGATATATATATATATATTCATCCTACGGGATATTATTCAGTAGTGGAAATGAGTGAACTACAGCTGTAGCTAACAATAAGAATGAATCTCAGAAAATATTGAGGAAAAGTAGCAAGTTCAAAGAGACCACATGTGGTGTACTATTTTTATTGAGCTCAAAAACAAGCAAAACCAAAGAATATGTAGTCTAAGCATACATATACAATAAAACTATGCTATTAAAAAAAAAAAAGAAGGTAACAATGATAAACCAAAATTGAGCATAGTAATTACCCACGGAAGGAGGAAGTGGAAGGGACAGGAGCACATAGATAGATGTCAAGTTATGCGGCTGTTCTGGTTCCTCCTGGTAGACTTACGAGTGTTTATACTATTAATATATTATGCTTTATAACTAATAGATAAGAGTTTTGTACATATTAAATATGTTCTTAATATTAAATACAAAAAATAAAGGCAAAGTGGAATGATAAGCTAAAATCTGGTATGGTGGTTTTGTAGTTAGTGTTTGTACACGTCAAATACAGTTTTGTTGCCCAAGCTGGAGTGCAGTGGCCGAATCTCAGCTCATGGCAAGCTCCACCTCCTGGGTCCACACTACTCTCCAGCCTCAGCGAGTAGCTGGGACTACAGGTGCCCGCCACCACGCCTGGCTAGCTTTTTGTATTTTTTTTTAGTAGAGACGGGGTTTCACCGTGTTAGCCAGGATGGTCTCGATCTCCTGACCTTGTGATTCGCCCGTCTCAGCCTCCCAAAGTGCTGGGATTACAGGCTTGAGCCACCGCGCCCGGCCGTCAAATACAGTTTTTAAGGAAAGGAAGAGCATCTTAGGGTAAACAGGAGCTGGAAAGGTGAGGGGCGGGAGAGTGCTGCATCCGTGTGGCTGCCAGCAGTGCCCAGGTACCAGGCTTTGGGGAATGAGTGGATGGCAGGACCATTTGCTAAGACAGGCGCCAGGGGATGGGAGAAAGGATGAGTTTTAGAAAGATTCAATGGGACTAGACTGAATATGGGCAGTTGGATACTAGACTTTGGAATTTAAAAATAATATCTGGAGTTAGAATTGAGAGACATCAACGTGGAGATGGAGGTCAGGCTGCAGTGCGGTGGTATCACCTATGGAGCATATGAGGAAAAGAATCTGGAGGAGGAGGAGGGGAGCCAGCAGGGGAGCAGTTGTGGGTTGGAGGAAGCCAGGAGGGAGAGTGCAATGCCAAGAAAGCAAGGAAGAGCGTTTCAAAGCATGTCTGCAGAACCCAGTACTGCGAAGAGCTCTGGGAATGGGATTGCTGAGGGCTCTTCTCACAGTGAGTCCTTCAAGAGCAACGTCCGGATGGTGGGGACTGTTGGCAGACTCAGCCGGCTTTGCTAGGTTGAAGACAATGGGAGGTGTGGAAGATTTTTTGGCTCAGTTAAATAAGATTGGAGGAAAAGGTAGGACTGAGAGTGTTTCAGACAGAAAAGGGATTATATACTGAGGGTAAAGCACAAGTACAGAGGGTTGCAGATAGTGCAGAAATCTTTAAAAACAATTATTTTAACCCAACTTCCAGGGAGACTGAATTTCTTCTGCCGGTCAATAACACCATCAACCTGGGAGTTGCCCCGACCCCTCCAGTCTTAGCTCCTGCAGCTGTACCAGAATACCGCAAACTGGGTGGCTTATAAAGAACAGACATTTATTTCTTACAGTTCAGGAGGCTGGAAGTCCAAGATCATGGTGCCATCATGGCCGGGTTCTGGTGAGGGCCCTCTTCTGGGATGCAGCGGCCAGCTTCTCATGTTCTCACAGTGGGTGGAGGGTAAGCTTGCTCTCTGGCCTTCTCTTATAAGGGCACTAATCCCATTCATGAGGGCTCCACCTTCATGACCTAATGACCTCCCAAAGATGCCATCTCCAAATACCATCATCCTGGGGATTCCATTTCAACATGATTTGGGGGATACGTCAGACCATAACACTTATCTTTTTCGCAACCTTCACATCTAGTTGGTTCTCAAGCCCTGGCGGTTTTACACACTAGATAGGTCTTAAGTTCATCTCTATGCCTGCCCTGGTTTAGGTTCTTATCATTTCTCCTCTGAATTCGTCTGCAACACAGGCTGCCGAGTTGGTTCCCACCTCCTAGGGCTGGAAGAGTGGGCGCTCTGATTCTTTACACCCCCACCTCAATCCTCCTGCTGCCTGAATAACCATCTCCCCGTCACCTAGGGTATATCCCAGCCCCTTAGAGGCATGCAAAGCCTTCCATATCTGACCCTGCCTTATGCCTGGGAAGCCCTAGACCCCTGCTGTACCCTGGAGGAGGTATCTGCTCACATTGGCCCCTCTGTCTGGAATACACCCACCCCAGTTCCGCCCAGTTCAGGAAAGCTTCCCAACCCCTCCCTCCCACCACCCCAAAGCTGAGTGAAGTGACCCCTCTTCTTGTCTCTGTAACACTGCCATGCACATATCATACAGTCCTTGCTGAGACATAACCTAGTTCCCTGTTAGACTTAACGTTTCCTAAGGGCAGGTTTGGAACCTTACTCGTCTTTATATGGTGTCTGGAGTAGTGCTTGCTTTACGATAGGTGCTCGGTAAATGTTGTCTTGAATGAGTTGAGCAGATCCTCTAGGGACAGGAGTTGGATGGAGAGCAGACTGTAAAGCCTCGTGAGAGGAGGGGCCCTGCCTCTTCCTGAGCTCACAATACCCAGAGCCTAATGCAGTGCCTGCCATGAAATTGTTCACTCCATCAAGCCTGGTTAAATGAGTTGGGGGCGGGTGCACTATGATGGTTTTTCTTTCAGAAAGAAATTGCACTATCAAAGCCCTAGCACCTTCTCTATACCCACCTCAGGATTTCATATTAGATGGGGCCCAAGTGATATTTTCTTTACCATCCCATGAAGACAGCATATTGGCAGCCCTGCAAAAACAAAACCCCTCAATTCGTGGCATACTTGCTATAAGTCAACTACATGTATTGTCAAATTGTAGAACTGAAAGTATATTCTGATTTGGTGTGTGCGTGTTTCTATTTAAGGAAATATATGCTAGTATATGCATTAAAACATCAAGAGCTGGGCAGAGCGTCACATGCCTGTAAACCCAGCTACTCAGGAGGCTGAGGTGGGAGCATCCATTGAGGCCAGGAGTTTGAGGCTGCAGTGAGCTACGATTGCATCGCTGCACTCCAGCCTGTGCTGAGACCTGATCTCTTAAAAAGTCCAAGAGGATACACAGAAATTTTTAAGTGGTTACCTCTATGGAATGGGATTAGGGGATCAGAGGTGAGGGAACTCATGGTTTGGCTATTTCTCATTCTTTCTGCACTGTTTCAAATTTTTACAAGTGTATGTTATTGTATTTTTAAAAAGATTAGCTTGGCAACAAGTCTAGCCTGAAATGGGTGCTATTTTGACTAGTCTGAGTGAAAAGGGAGGATTTCAATGAAGTAACCCCTAAACTCAGCCAGTCCCAATTTTTTTAACACTTGGAATATCTAATTCCATTTATACTGCATTCTTCAAATGTAATTTTCAAAGATGCCTTTTGCCTCATCCCTTGCTTTTAAGTATTATTATAGCCTTTTGGAGACTCACAAAACAAGCAGCCCTAAACTCTCGCCTAGGAAAGTCTCTCGGAATAAATGGTTTTTGAGAACCTTGAGAGTGTATGTTCTATGAAATGGAAGGAACAAGAACTAGACAGAGTCATAAATGCTGTTGGTCACGGACAATCTCTGCCATCCATAAGGTAAATATAATACATACGGCAGCCTGCTGAGTGTGAACTTGGCAGCAGGTGAGGAAGGAACTTTGAACTCTCACAATCTTGTTTCTTCATTTCCCAGAGAGAAACTTGGCAAAGAGAAAAGGGACATTTCCTTCCAGATTATCTGAAAGAATTTCAATGCTTACCTTTAATCACATGACATCTTATTAATAGAAAAGAAGAGGTATTTGTTCATATTTTCAATAAAAATATATAAAATCGAGTTGGTATATAGTGCTAAATATTATTAATTAAAAATATTTTAACCTGATGTGATAGATTGTTGATTTTTAAAAATTCTGTTGAGATGAGCTTATCAAGAAAGTTTGAAGGATTCCAGGGGAAAACATTTTAGTGTTAAAGTGCTTGGTTATTTTTAAGATAATGCAGCTCTTTTCAGAAAAGGTAGCAATTCGCTCCAAGAGATATTTCAGTGGCTCATAGAAAACCTTCCAGTCACCATCAGATATTTCCTTACATTGCTATGAGCAAGTACTAACATCCAGTTTAAAACCATTGGGAATGCTGAAGTACAGCAAATAGAGGTGATAGCTTGGTCCCCAGGAGAGCCAGAACTGCTTCCTGTCTGCAGGATCCCATTTCTCTCCAGTGGGCCTTCAAATTAAATCTTGATGCCAGGCGTGGTGGCTCATGCCTGTAATCCCAACACTTCGGGAGGCCGAGGCAGGTGGATTACCTGAAGTCAGGAGTTCGAGACCAGCCTGACCAACATGGAGAAATTCCGTCCCTACTAAAAATACAAAATTAGCTGGGCGTGGTGGTGCATGCCTGTAGTCCCAGCTACTCGGAAGGCTGAGGCAGGAGAATTGCTTGAACCCAGGAGGTGGAGGTTGCGATGAGCCAAGACCGTGCCATTGCACTTCAACCTGGGCAGCAAGAGCGAAACTCTGTCTCAAAATAAATAAATAAATCTTGAATAAAGTTAGGGATCAAATATCAATCAGTGGATATATTACCCCCCAACCAAAATAAATTGGTGAGTGACAAGGAAGTGGACACATCCATGAATGTTTTTTAGTCCTGTTTGGCATAGAAATGAATTTGTTTTCTTTTGCAGTTAGAAACATTGTCAATCAGCTGAAAATAATTTAGAAACCTAGTTATGCTTTACACTTCAAATGTGCATTATTACCCAACAGATCAGATAAAGATCAAGAGAAAGACCCTGTGAAACTTCTCCATTTGTTAAAATTGACCGTCAACTGGGAAAAACAGAAAAAAATAAACCTTTTCCTAAAAGTTAGAGACAGGGAGGCATGGTACCCATTCTATTTGCTAAGGCACTCAAGGAGGAAGATCATCATATGCAGTAGATAACGTCTGAACCAAAAATCTAGCAAATCTGCCAGGCACATAGTAGGAACTTAAATATTTGTTGAGTGGACAAAGTCATGTTAGAGGACTGGACGCCAAGAAGCCAGCTAGTGCCCTCCAGAGATTTTTCAGGCAAGTTCAGAGATGTGCTGCCCCTGTCCAATGCAAGGAAACAGACAACTGCACAGAAGCAAATCTGGTCCATCCATCAGTGGTACTTTCAAAACCTACAATTCAGTGATGGCTGATATTCCTAATGATGACTCATAAGTGTTGTAATATTCCTGCAGTACCTTCTGAATCATCGAAGACTCATTAAAATTCAGTATCACTTCAGTACTAAGTACATTTTACCATGTGAATTACTGTATTTGAAGGTTGAC